CAGCATAATTCAGAATAGGAAATACCAAGTACTCACAAAGGTAGGTAGATAGGCCTTTAAATTATCATGGTCATTTGTTTCGCATACTAGATTTATCCCAAAATCACTTTTATTTTTTCCCAACCTTGAGACGGAATTTCAAAATAAATTGAATGTTGTCATTGTTACTTATTCTCCTCTACAAGATGACGTAGTCAAATGTTCAATTCGACATTTCTTCTTTTGACTTCCATCATCAACTTTGTTCCTTCATATGGACGCTATATTGGAATTTTGTTCATTTAGATGGACTTTTCAGTCGTAAATTCAGTGATGTATTTCCTTAGTTGGCCATGAATTTCTTGTTGGTTGAAAATTATAAGGAAATAAAAAGGTAAGGTGAAACTTGAACACAATATGCAAATTTTATTGATGGTAATAACAATAATAAGTAAGCCTAACTCTTCTCTGTACATTATTCACTGCTCGATTTATTTCTCTGCTTCTCAGTCTTCCAAACTCTGTTACTATGTTCAATTTGAGGTCTGGTCTAGTATACGAAACAAATGAAATCTGATAATTTTAAGGCCTAGCTAGGAACCTCTGTTTTTCTGAAATAACTAAGGTTCAGCAATTGCAATGTATGACAAATTGTACATTTTTAAAATTAGAATTAAAAACTATTAATCTTCGCAAAAAGCCAATATGGCATCGTTAAGAAAAAATAAAGGTAATGTTGAAGGACAAGAGAAACGCAGTGTTGAAGTTCTAATTATGTCATCTTGTAGAGGAGAATAAGTAACAAAGACATCATGCAATTTATTTTAAATCCCATCTCAAATAAAATCAGAAAAAAATAAAAGTGATTTTGGTATAAATCGGATATGCAAAACTAACGAGTATCTGATAATTCCATGGCCTACCTGGGAAGTTCTCCTTTTTTGAAGTAACTAAGGCTTGGTAATGTCAATGTATGACGTTTTATATATTTTTAAAATCAGAATTGAAAACACTATTCATCTGTGCAAAAATCCAAAATGGCGTCCATCAAAGAAAATAAAGGTGATGCTGGATAACAAGAGACGAAATGTCATATTGTAATTCTAATTATGCCTTCTTGTAGAGGAGAAAAAGTGACAATGTTAATGTGCAATTTATTTTGAAATCCCGATACACATAAAATCAGTAAAAACTGAAAACGATTTTGGGAAAATTCTTTTTTTCCGTCTCTTTTCGAAACTCTCCAAGCGGCATTTTGATGATTACCTAAATACGCAACTTTGCCCACATTTAAGCGGTTTGGTATCTCTTACAGTTTCCGAGTACCCAATGGTGAGAGACGAATTTGAAACACCCTGTATACTGAGAAGGAATTGCATAAAAAAAATTATATTAGGCTTTTGGATAAAACATTTTCTCTAGATGCTCATACAAATTTTTTTGAAGCCAATTTGAACTTATCATGAGGAAGCAATAATCTAACGATATCATCATTAAGTGCCTGCGAGATTACTTCGAGGCTTATATCGCAATGCACGGAGGCTCTGGATAGTTTAACAGCGAGTCTTCCGGTAACCTTAGTGTGGGTACCGGTAATGGTGAGACAAATTATACTAATATGGCGGACGCTCTTGAGAAAGCGGGTTCAGCGGGCAAGCTTTTTGGTCCTGAGCCAGCCCGGGCAAACAGTCAGAGGAAAATGGAGAAGTGGATTACTAGACAACCACCCAACAAATTTACTGGCGCAAAAATTGTGCAAAAAAATTACCTGTTTCCTTGCCTATAATATAAATAATAAATGTGCAGAAAATTAAATATATAGAAACTTAGTTCAAGGTTCTGCATGTTCTATCCTTATGGAATATTCAGGACAAAGGCATTATTATAGATTTAATCCTCATTCTGCACGCCTTTGAATATAACAAATTGAGTTCAGAGTATTAACCCTCCGCCTCCATAGTCAAAATAATGGAGGGCTTTTGAAAAAGCCGAAATGATGCTGAAGGTGTTAAATGCGAGATCAAATTGGCAAATGAACTACAATTTTTTTGAAAACCTTTCTTAGGCAGATGCTTTTCACGTCAAAATGTCACGCTATACAGGGTGTTTCAGTTTATTAGTTGCATAACTTCAAGATTCGATAGAACTTTTAAAATTAATGCATAAAGTCTATATAAACATGGGTCGAAAAATGCGTGGCTTCCGAAATCCGGGGTGTTTAAATGTACTTTCTAAAATAGTTTCTTTTAAATATTTCGAGCAATATTTGATGTATAATAGTGAAAATTGGTATACAAGGGTTTTTTGGTACGACAAAACGAACCATGGGCATAGTTTTACTGTAGCCGCTAGAGGGCGCTCTCTACTGTACCTGTAGTGTATTAAAATGACCGAAAAATTTTTCTTAATACAATTTTTTGCTTTTTGAATAAAAAAACTGATTCTTCGCACTTTTCTGCATAAGAAAGCTCTCCTGTGAATTTTAGTTATAGTTAGCCGTTTTTGAGATATTTCGATTTTTAAGGTTCGATGCATTTTTAATTATTTATGATAAAATAACGTTAAAAAGTCAGTATCTCGATAATTTTTAGAAGTAGGCTGTGCCTGCAAATATTTTTGAAATTGAAAGCAGAATAAGGTTAAACGTCAATTAGTTAACAGTTAGTTTTGTTGTCTGTTGACACCTAAAACGTTTTTTTGCAATTGTGAATGCACGAAATTTAGTTTCTTTTACCTGTTTTTTTTTTGTAAGTTTTATAAAATGTCATTTTTATTCTCCAATCAAGAGTTAGCGGAAATTCATTTTGTGTATGGCTTTGTAAATGGAAACGCAGCAAAAGCAGCCAGACAATACGCACGAAGATTTCCAAACAGACGACATCCAACTCGCTCAGTATTTGTAAGAGTGCATCGCCAAATAATTGAAAATGGTTTTGGAAATCTCCAAAGGGATCAAAACATAAATGTTCGTCAGCGCAGATTTACCCGTATGATTCTGCGTGAGTTTGATAAAGATTCGACCACAAGTGTTATGAGAGTTTCTGGTGCCTTGGGAATTTCATTTCAGCAAGCCATCTTCACCGTGTTCTTAGAAATGACCATAGACCTCCTTACCACAGCCAGCGGACGGAGAATGAAGAATCACATTTTGTCAGTGGATTCTTGATAGAACTGATAATAATAGGGAGTTTTTAAGTAACGTTTTATGGACCGATGAGTCATGCTTCACTAGACGTGTAGTGGTAAATTTTCATAATCAACATATTTGGTCGCATAAAAATCCGCATGCAGTTCGGGAAAGAAATTTTCAGCATGAATTTAGTGTGAACTTGGTATCTACCGTAATCGACTATTTGGACCCTACCTTTTGCCTGCAAGGTTAAATGCTGCGACCTTCTTGGAATTTTTAAAGGCTGAACATGCAAATATGTGGGATGATGTTATGTTAGATTTAAGAAGATTGGCCTGGTTCCAGCATGATGGTTGTCCAGCTCATTATTCGAGAATAGTTATAAACTGGCTGGACGAAAATTATCAAGAAAGATGGATCGGCCGTGGAGGACCAGTCGCCTGGCCTCCACAATACCCTGACCTAAATCCATTAGATTTCTTTGTGTGGGGATTTCTAAAAGAAAAAGTGTACCAGACTCCCGTAACCACAAGGATATGCAATAGACAGAATCAGGAATGATGAAATAAGGCCTTATTTGAATAATGCTATACCACGTTCGATCATCCGTAGATGTGAATTGTGTATTGAACAATTGGGTTTACATTTCGAGCAACTACTTTAGATTTTGTATGTTTGTCCTAACTATCCAATAGCATTTTAGTTGTAAATAATTAATTTAATTTGTTAAAAATAATATTGGAAAATTAAACAAATTAATATTCTGTTTTTTGTGTTTATTTGGAGTTAGGAATTATTGCTGTGTTTAAAAACACAATCTAAACGATCATCTTAATTACTTGTAATGCCCAAATCGAAAATGTGAAAAAATATCATTTTCCCATAAATAATTAAAAATGCATCGAACCTTAAAAATCGAAATATCTCAAAAACGGCTAACTATAACGAAAACTCACAGGAGAGCTTTCTTATGCAGAAAAGTGCGAAGAATCAGTTTTTTTATTCAAAAAGCAAAAAATTGTACTAGGAAAATTTTTTCGGTCATTTTAATACACTACAGGTACAGTAGAGAGCGCCCTCTAGCGGCTACGGTTCGTTTTGTCATACCAAAAAACCCTTGTATACCAATTTTCACTGTTATACATCAAATATTGTTCGAAATATTTAAAAAAAACTATTTTAAAAAGTAAATTTAAACACCCTGTATTTCGGAAGCCACGCATTTTTCGACCCATGTTTATCTAGACTTTATGCATTAATTTTATAAGTTCTATCGAATCTTAAAGTTATGCAACAATAAATTGAAACACCCTGTATAGGTACGTGCTAAGAATATCAGATGCCATATATACAATATTTTGCGATTGGAGTCATTTGGTAGATAGTCTGTTAAGTTTGACTTTGAAATGTAAATTGGACGAAATAAAAATGTTTCGCTTTTCAAATTGAACGAACTTCACCACTGCGATAACCAATATTGGAATCTTGCTAGACGATCTTGTCACAATATGTAACCTGGAGGTGTCATGTACCCAATGCTATAAAGCGTTTATATTATATTCGCTTAAATATAGCATTTGACAACAGGAAATTGTAAAGCAGTTTACCGTTTAAAGAACAACATATCAAAATTATATTTCAATTTTAAATATAAATTGTCCTTGTGACTATTTAATGTTATTTGTCAGGATGAGATCAGTATTAGAAGTCCAGATAATTGTTTTACAACTTCTTTTTCAAATTGTATGTTATCTTACCATGAGATTTCGTAACTATTAGATATCGATTTGTGTACATACCCTTACGAGACAAAACAAATAAAATAATAGAATATAGTAACATTTTTTACTTTGTTTCTGCCAACATTATAATATATGCACTGTGTACTTACCACCATTTCTGATATAGAGGGTTGTGAAAAACCCTAAATATCCTGTTGGTACCGAATGGATTCGGAATTTTTGTTGAGATTTTTCCTACTAGATCGTAGTTTTTTGTTTAAATCGGTAGTTTTTCGCATTTTCTTCGTGAAGCTTACTAACTTCTTCATGTTTCGAATTTATCTTGAAAAAGAAAAGGAAATTGTATTTTTGATCACCAGTTCTTTTAACTTTTTTTTATTGCAAGTGATCACGTATCTATATTCCTAAGAAACCGTAATACTAGCAAAATACATTTTAGTGATTTATTTTGTGTGTAATAAAACAGCAGATATTTGAAACATTTCGGTATTCCTAAAAATGAGTATTAAATTTGTACTGAAAATTTTGAAAGCACTTTTATGCGTGTATTTGGAAGGTGAATGTCAGTTTATTTTGAAAAATAATGCTTCTAAATAAATAAGTAATCAGTGATTTATTACAGATGTTATTATAAACATTTAGAACCAGGCATTGTTGCTATTCCTCGCCTCTCATTCATATCAAAAATAAATCTACAAATCTTAAAGAAAATCTCGGCGATGAGCTATGAATTATTGCTAAACAACACACTACAATCTTACATTTAGTATCTGCGATGTAGCTGAATAACGCTTTCTTTCACAACTTTTCACTGAACTGCTTTGTGATTCAATTTATTCACCAACCTTTTGTTATGCTACGAAAATTTCGCCGCGGTTTTGTTTTCCCTAAATACGATGTTACTTTTCCGTTTCCCCTGTTTATGCAGTTTCTTCCCATATTCGCTTTTATTGAGCGATAAGGAGGGTGAAAACAATGTTGCCAAACCTTGAGGGTTGATTTTCGCGGGATTTGCGCACGTCGGCGCAAAATACACGTTAAATGTGATTGAACTTAAAATGAATTTTTCAATCCTATTTTAATGTCTTCATTGGGCAATCATATAAGAGTACTTATTGATCTCACTTTGTATGAGTAATGCTTTGATGGTGAGTAGATTGAAACTTAATAGTCTACATATCGTCACTACAGAATAGTAGAAGACAACTTAAAAGTTTCAATTTTGGGATTTGTTGCAATTTTTAACGCTCTATCTAGTCGTATACTAGGATATGTTTAATTCCCCTTCCTTACTATTCTATGCGATCTAATCCTTGTATAAGGATATAGAATTTTATTCTGAAGTTCTGCGTAATAGTAAGACATATTTAAATCTCTTTATATTAACTTTTGCCAAGTGTTATCATTTCATAGAACTACACTAAGATATTTTAAAATATCTTTATACTGAACAAAAATTTAAATGCAAATATTTTAATTTGTCTTGATTTCTAGGTTATCTTCTTTAATCAGTCTAAAAAATAATTGTTAGGTTGTGGAACTATACTAAGAGATTTTAAAATATCCTTGTATTATCCTGGAAAGTAATAAAATACGTTTAAAGTTGTTTTCACTTTTCACCTTATCTCAGTATATACCCTATTTTCAGAGTATCCATCACTGTAGAATGACAGCTGATTGTCTAGTAATATCTCAAAATTCCCCATATCGGCACATGACACATAATTCTGACGGATCCGTCAACGTCAGGTAGTCAGAGCCGTATTCTATTTTCTTTTTTTTGTACGCTACAGATTGATTTTGCACTGGCTAACAGCTATTTTATTTAGAAAAGTTCATTTGCATACAAAAAACAATACGCTACAAACAAGTATTATTAGATTTACACCCGATTCATTATTGCCAACGTTGCAGACTAACACAAAAATGTCACCTGCCAATCAACTGTTCATCTCAGTAGACGTCAAAGCGTGATAGATACTCGTGAAATAGAGTATCCAGACATTTTTACAGAAATATTAAAGCCTATAAGAAAGAACGTCGATGACGAATAAAATAATTTAAATTTGGATTTTGTTCCTTTTTTGATGTTTATTTTGTATATTTAGAACTAACCCTAATTACGTCTAAACGAGTTTATGCGAGTTAATAAAGTTTTATTGCTAATAAAATTTGTCTTCACGAATTTCTTGTTTTGTTAAAATTTTTACAGTTACGAGGGATGTCTTTTAAGTTTCGCATATGGAAATAAAACAACATGGTAGGTAGTTTTAAATGACTTTATTGTTTTTCGAAGTACATGTGTTCTCCACGAACATTAATACACATCTGCATGTGCTCGAACCAATTTTCGAAGCACTCATTCCACTCGTTTGCTGTCAGATCCAAAACGACATTTTTGAATGCGTCAACTGCTTCTTCTGGTGACTGCAACCTTTGACCACGCAGTCTGTTTTTAATTTTCGGGAAAGTAAAGAAATCGTTAGGACTTAGATCGGGACTATATGGAGGATGGTCCAATAATTCCACGTTTTCTTCCGTTAAATACTGCCTTGGGCTGTGTGCGAGCTTGCATTGTCTTGGTGGAGGATGATTCTTCTTTCGGGCTTGATTTTTCGAAGCTTGGTGATGACTTTTGGCAAACAAATGGTGGTATACCAATCCGCAGTAACAGCTCATTAAGAGGAATTGTTGCAATATGACCCGCTTTTGACACAAATGTCGCAACCATCTTTTTCGAAACACAGCATCGACGTTTTCCTGGGTGACTGCCGTTTTTGGTGCACCCACCCTGGGATCGTCGCTATTTAAATCAAATTTATTTAAAATTTTATATTCGAATATTTTTTTTTTCAAAATAAAAATACACCCTTCCACGTCTGAATTCTCCATACCAACGGGAAATTGTCGACTGATGTGGCGCTTCGTTGCCGAAAACGAATAAATTATGGCGCGAAAATGTTCTCGGTTGAGTTCCATTTTTCTAATGACTTGGTGACACTTAAAAATTCACTGTAGTGAGAACACTGCACGTATTGTTGTGAAACTTTGAATTTAAGTTTACTAAAGAGTGAGGTTAAGATTCAGTACTGACGTTCGATCCGCGCGCCCTACTATGTTTCTATATGCGAAACCTAAAAGACATCCCTCGTACTAAACAAACAGCTACATTTTATAGTAATTATTATTGTAGAATAGTAACATTTCAATTTTCTAATTTTTTATAGAATATTTAGTAAAATAGTGAGAAAACTTACGCAAAAAAGATATTATTAAAAATATTAACATAATTTCCGTGTAATACCATTTTCAATAAAAAAAGAAGATATTTAAATTTGTTTAAGGCGTTTCAGTATTATACTAAGCAACTATTCTATAGAAAAAAATAACGCATAGCTTAAAATCAATGGTATTGTAACAGACTCATAGTTATCTAATAGTCTATAACATGCACTACTTCTTATACATATAGTTTATTATAATAATAAAAAAATACAGCTTAATGAATATTAAAAAAGCGATTATCCCAATATGGTATAATTGAAGTTGTCTTACTATCATTCTGGAGCGACGATACGTACGAGTATAAGGTAAAAAGGTTTGTTCGTATGACAGGTTTCAACTTCTCTCACGAATTTGTGTTCACGACTTACGTGGTTTCTATTCCACTCCATTTCCCAAAAAAACGGATCTAAGACCTACCCTTACAACTACAGACCTATAGCTCTGTTTTCTGTTAAAAGTATGGTCATGGAGAGGTGCATAAATCGCGATCTTCTGGAATACCTGGAACGTCACGGGTCGATTAGCGACAGGCAGTACGGTTTCCTGCACCAGCCAACCACAGGGTACCTCCTAGCAAACGTCACGCAATTGAGGAGTAAACTCATCCCCTCCTCTGAGGGTGTTGATGTAATAGAAATTAAATACTGGAGAGCCCGTACAATTAATCCAACCCACAGATATGTTGATGAGAGCACTCTAGATGCATCAAACCAAACCGGTTTGCTTCTACCGTATGTCAGCAAGCTTTGCTCCACAGAGCCCTCCTCCATGATATCGCCGCACGATAAGCCTGACGTCGGCCTACCATCGTAACAGTGTCGAGCTCCATGCATCCAAAACTGGTCGGTACGACCGCTCCTTTGTCCTTAGGCTTCAAGATTGTGGAACAATCTGCCTGAGGAGGGTTTTCCCAGTTCTACTAACCTTGGGCAGTTCAGAAATCGAATTAACAACGTGTCTTTAAGGTCCTTATAGCAGCCGCGGTGCTCTAGCTTCAGGCTTCTGTCTACGCGACTGCTTAGATATACCTAAAAGAAAGTGTTCCATGTTAACTGACAAAATACTTCCGAAGTTAACAAAAGCTTAGGGGCATCTGCTACTTCAATTGCGACTGGTAAACTTAAAGATGATCCAGGCGATAAAGATCCAAAGATAGCAACCACACCTGAATCTACCTAAAAGGTCCTCGATATCGTGTTGAACTGGAGGCATGTGAAGATGGGTAAGATAGCTGAGGTCTCAGGGATACATGGCAGACTGATTTCGCAGAAATAATTAGACCACCAAGTACCACCAAGTGTTTATGTTTATTCGTTACCATGGATGGAAGATGGGTCCACCACTCTAGTGGCGTTTATGCCAGAAATAAAACAGCAGTGAGTAGAGACTGGTGGTTTAGCGCCAAATCGAAGTTGATTGGTTCTACCAGAAAAGTCATGGCCATCGTTTTCCTTTTTCTGGAAATAATTATTTGATGTAGTATTCAAGAAAACTAATAATAATACAAGCAGAGTATCTAACATGTGTTTCTTCCATATCTACCAGATATAGCTAAGTTTAGTGTAGCTAAGTTTTCAGCGTGGGCTCATAGATTCAGTCTACTTGACACAAATGACGAATTGATTGTGTATCTAATCAATTGGTTACTTCCTCTACATCATAGGGCACGTCATGTAAGTCCTCGGGGCCGTTTATTTCATTTTCGCAAAGTCATCCCGTAGATATTTGCAAATGTTATGTAGAACTGCGTAGCAAACAATAATTCTTGGAACTTCTGTCAAAGATACTTTCACTAAATGGTAAATCTCTGTTTCAGCTGCCGAAATACTCTTTCCATTGTGACTCTTTCTTTGGGGTGCGACATATTGAATAATTCCTCTAGTCTGTTTTGAGGGTTTTAAATTTACACAATAACCATGGAGGAATTCCATATCCACTGTCTGCGAGAAGACAAAAATTGCCTCGGAATGTAGCCTTTATTTCATATATTGAACTTCGTTTCCAAATTCTGGAATCGTGAACGCTTCCAGGCCACTGAATATCTACACTTCATTTGCATCAAAAATGAGTTGTACATTAATACTCGCAAATCCTACATTAAGCAACAGGCGCAGCGGCGCTATAACCTAACGGAATCGCACAGCAACCCTCTGTTGCGTGAGTCAGTGGACTACACAATCGAGCAAGTTCGCAAGCACAAAAGGCCGCGGCTCGCACTGTAATCAAAATTAATTCGTGAACTTAGAGCAGCCAAAATTGGAGCATTTTGACAAAATCTTTAGAAAAAATAGAATATTTTTAGACCATATCAAAATCTGTGAAGTGATTTTAACAATGCATAACGCTGCCTATCCTGAAAGATTCTCTTCTTCCCCTTTGATCTCGTTCTTCCTTCCCTTTTTTCCTTAAAATTGTCTGGTTTCTGGGTTACCAGACCTGACAGACTTACAAACTGACACTGTGACTCAAGAGCTAAGGTCCCACGGACCGCTCTGACAACCAACGATGACTTGACTCGCAAATCCTTTTCTAATGACCTATTCGTCACCCAAGTCTGAAAGCTTTTGATTTGGACATAAGTACCGCCTAATACACCGATGATAGTAGGTGTAACAAATCGATCCGACCAGTTTCTTCTTGCTTCTTCCATTCCCTCCAGGTCTTTTTCAAATATTCTGTCAGCAAAATAATCTATAGTTTTATGAATTGTCGAATGGTGAACGCCGAAATATTTAGCAATACCTGTTTGATATCCATTATCACTAACATACCGCAGACATATTTCCATTCTATGCCGTGAGGTACGAGTAAGTGCTCCTCCTCTGGTTTCATCCGTCTGCAGTAAAAAATGTTCTGATAAATAGTCTACAGTTTCGCTTTCAAAACGCAATAAAACGTAGATTTGCTAGGACTTATGCTTTTTTCTCTGTAGTTTTCAGTTTTACGAACTTGTATTAGGTTTTCCATTATTAAAATTATGCTTCTCTGATAAAAGTATGTGTTGGAGATACTCTAACAGACATTAAGCTAATTCTTATGGATTTTAAGGTATTCTTTTTTTTATTCAACTAAAAAGAAGAAAGTACTCGAAAAACCTAAGTGAAGTCTTATGTTTCAAGTAATTACTTGGAACTGAAAGAGTTTACTTAATACCTTGAGTAGACTCTTCTTTATGGAGTAGTTACTGACTTTTTATTCAATGCTTATTGAGTAAATACTCAAATAACAGGAAGTATAAGCAAGTACTTTTATTCAATAGACCCATATTATCTTTGTCCACGGTGAAGTAACCAAAAACGCAGGTCATACAAAAAAATTAAATCTGTTTGAAATGGTTCTGGCGACTTCGTGCTTTCTCTGTCGTGCTGGTCGCTGCCAGTCTGGGCGCGTTCATTGGAAAACAGGCGTTTGTCTATTTCGACGAATTAGTCGGAAGTCATCAGAACAAAATTTCGCCAGGATTCGCATCCATAGTAATTGAAGAAGGAGAAGGTTCTTTCTGGAAAGTGCTTTGGGTTCGATCAAAATGTTGAGAGAGCTGTAAATGAATACTTTGACAACTTTCCAGACTTCCAGTTCCAAAAAGTAATCCTAATGCTGGAGAAACGTCTGTTGGAGTCGATGTAGTAAAACAAAATGATAATTCAACTAAAAATCGCTTCATTGTCAGATCGAGTCTACTCGATTAAATTTTTTCTTTCAGTTAGCTATGAAACAAACAAATGTTGCAAGTACATGATATATTGCAGAAAATACTATCACAATTTATTTATCGTATCTCATTTTCTTTCAACAATATCACTGGAAACTTTCCTATGTATCCCGAAATATTATTTTCATCACTGTTCTGGTGATCGTCATCACCAAACTTGATCACAGAACCATCTTCCTCCTTTGACTCTTTACTCAAATTGGTATTCTCGGTAGTGTAACGCTGATTATTTGGTCTTGGCGTAGGCTTAGAGTCTGGAGTCAAAATAATATTTTCTGTGGTGTACCCATCAGTTTGCCCATGGTTATGACGTCCGTTACCTCTTGGCCCATGGTTATGATAATCATAGTCATAATCATCGTAGTGCATTCCATGATCGTGCCTTGGAGGCCCCCAGTTGGGACCAAAACCGTCCATTGGTTGTCTGGTGTTGGGAAATTGGCCAGGTGGAGGAGGTCCTGGAGGTCCCATATTGTGTTGATGGTGGTGAGGATATGGGTAGAAGTTGTTCGGCCTACCATTACTGAAATAAATACATGTAGCCATGAGTATGCAGGGTGTTTCAGTTTATTGTTGCATAACTTTAAGATTCGATAGAACTTTTAAAATTAATGCATAAAGTCTATATAAACATGGGTCGAAAAATGCGTGGCTTCCGAAAGACAGGGTGTTTAAATTTACTTTCTAAAATAGTTTTTTTTTTAAATATTTCGAACAATATTTGATGTATAACAATGAAAATTGGTATACAAGGGTTTTTTGGTACGATAAAACGAACCATGGGCATAGTTTTACTGTAGCCGCTAGAGAGCGCTCTCTACTGTACCTGTAGTGTATTAAAATGACCGAACATTTTTTCTTAGTGCAATTTTTTGCTTTTTGAATAAAAAAAATGATTCTTCGCACTTTTCAACATAAAAAAGCTCTGTTGCGAATTTTCGTTATAGTTAGCCGTTTTTGAGATATTTCGATTTCTAAGGTTCGATGCATTTTTAATTATTTATGGGAAAATAATATGTTTTTTACATTTTCGATTTGGGCATTACAAGTAATTAAGATGATCGTTTAGATTGTGTTTTTAAACACAGCAATAATTCCTAACTCCAAATAAACACAAAAAAACAGAATATGAGTTTGTTTAATTTTCCAATATTATTTTTAACAAATTAAATTAATTATTTACAACCAAAATGCTATTGGATAGTTAGGACAAACATACAAAATCTAAAGTAGTTGCTCGAAATGTAAACCCAATTGTTCAATACACAATTCGCATCTACGAATGATCGAACGTGGTATAGCATTATTCAAATAAGGCCTTATTTCATCACATGCACTCCTGATTCTGTCTATTAGCATATCTCTTGTGGTTACGGGAGTCTGGTCCACTTTTTCTTTTAGAAATCCCCACACAAATAAATCTAATGGATTTAGGTCAGGGGATCGTGGAGGCCAGACGACTGGTCCTCCGAAAAAAATTTCGGTCATTTTAATACACTACAGGTACAGTAGAGAGCGCCCTCTAGCGGCTACAGTAAAACTATGCCCATGGTTCGTTTTTTCGTAGCAAAAAACCCTTGTATACCAATTTTCACTGTTATACATCAAATATTGTTCGAAATATTTAAAAAAAACTATTTTAGAAAGTAAATTTAAACACCCTGTATTTCGGAAGCCACGCATTTTTCAATGTTTATATAGACTTTATGCATTAATTTTAAAAGTTCTATCGAATCTTAAACTTATGCAACAATAAACTGAAACACCCTGTATAAAATCACGGGTGTATATTCAGGTTATATTCAGGATGTTCAGGATAAAATTCATCCAGATCCTACAAAACTTTGGTTATTTTTTATTGCTAGAAGGTAAAATCCAGAATCCCAAGAAATATAATATATAAGGACAGTAAATATAGCTCGCCTAGGGAGATAGTTGATGCTTTTGGGGAATATTTTCACAAAATCTGATGTACTAACTACAAATCATTAAAGCCCGCTAGCTCACTTATTGCATTGATCAGTGTTAGTGAAGATGATATTATACGCGCTTCTAGGGAAAAAAATGCCTTCAGGATTCGATGGAGTTTCCAGTTCTATAATAAAATATTGCATTATTTATGTGTTGACCAAACCTCTTTGTGCGATTTCTAATCTAATGCTATCAACATGTACATACCCAAAGTCTAGAAAATGACGAAGGTTTGTCCGATTTTCAAAAATGGTGATGTCAGGGATATTTGAAACTATAAGCAATTAGCAATACTTTGTAACTTTAGCAACATTTTTGATATCTTAATATACGATGTCCTGTATGGCTCTGAGAGGGGATTTATTCCTGACAATCATCATGGGTTTATGTCTGGGAGGTCAACAGTCACAAACTTGACGACTTGTTGAACGCAAAACATGTCTGTGATTTTGATTGATCAAGGTCAATTGTATGTCATAGTCACTGACATCCAACATGCCGTTGATCAAATAGATCACTACTTGTTATTAGCTAAGCTCGAATATTCTGGCTTGTCAGACCCTTTACTGCTTCTCATAAAGTCATATATCTTGGAAAGAAGCATGTTTGTGGAATAAAGCTACCAATACCTCAGGGGACCAGTTTAGGACATTTGTTGTTCAAAATCTTCATCAATGATTTATGTGTTTTCCATGCATGCATGTACTTTATGATAATTTGAAAATGTATGTTGTTATTAATAATCTCAATGACTGTATTCTGTTGCAAAATTGCATAAACTTTATCCACTTATGGTGCTCCAGCAATCAACTTAATATCAATATTTCAAAATACAAGGTCATGTCATTTACTAGAAAATTACACCCTATAGTATTTGATAATTATAACATTGATGGTAACATGCTTGAGCGGGCCTCGGCTTTCAAGGGTGCCGTTTTCGACGCTAAACTGACATTTATTGACCACATCCTTCATATGGTGAATAGAACATAGGCTATTGCTTCAGAAATTGGTCGGGCTTTATTGATATCGCAACGTTAAGGCTCGCATTTTAGTTGTATTAGGAGTAAGTTGCAGCACGCATCTGTCATCTGGTCTCGTACCAGAGCAAGCATTGAGTGCGTATAGGGTAAAACACTTAAATATCTTTATTTGAAGTGTCACGGTCACTACCTTGAAAGAGATGTTGACCATTCGGTACTGTTGAGAATCTTTCAAGTTGTGCCATTACAACTAAGACGCGATTTATCGGTGCTAAGATATTGATTGGGCCTTAATATTAAGTAAAATTAATTTTTGCATCCCCAGGTTAGTTAGCCTCTGTCAGATTTTGTTTTACCCTGACATTTGTAATACAAAATCGGGTGTGAATCACCGTTGTGTTTCAAAGCGATTTGTTTTTTTTTTTTGATCGAGACAAATCTATATTGGATTAATATCGCGATTGGTACCTTCGTGTGACATAAGAGCTATTTTCACATACTGGCACACTTGTATACATTTACATATGTCTTTTTGTCTGTTTATGTTCCGCTGCTGTTCAATTATTGATTTATTTCCGTTGTTGGTATATTTCCTGTAAAGGTTTGTAACCTTTTGGGAATTATAAATAAATAAAAATCGCGTGGCAAAGGATATCGTTTGTTAACATTTGTTATGAAGTCGCATGTAAGTCCCACTTCTGAAAAGCTAAATATTTTCACAGAATATTTCTAAAAACAGCTAACTAAAAAACATGAAAACAGCTGACACATCGCGATAATACTTTTGAAAAATAACAAAACGGACAGCAATGTATGCCCATTAATCATATGCAGAGAGGGTCGAGTCATGATGAATTACAATGAAGGGATGCTGTCCTGCTGTGACATATATTTAATGTAATTTGGCACAGCAACAGACACACAATTTATCTAAGCGCTTAACCCTTGAAAGCTATTTGAGACAAATGCAGTGTAAGGTAGAACCTTAGACCTGGAAAATTCTGTCTATGACACACATATTGACTACGAGCCCCTTCCCACTTCAGTTGGCCCAACTATTGAAATCTTAGTTTTTTCTTATCAAACACAAATAATAAAAATGTAGCAGGGTGTTATAGGTTTAAAATATTAACTATCAATATTTTGATAATATATAGTAGAAAACACCAACTTTATCACACAGCATAAAAATAACACATGTCGCAATTACAGTATATCAACCTATTTTCATTTCTATGCAAAATAAGTCTATAACGCATAGGTGGCTGTAAAAAATAAAAACCATGACAATTGTTTTTATTAATCACAGCTGTCAGAATACGTTTAAAATAGTTTTGGGTAGTTAAGGTTTTCAAAATGGGTAGAGGAAAGGTTATTAGTGAGAAAATTCGGTTACTGGTAATTAAATTTTCTAATTCTGGGAAATCAAACTCAGAAATTGCAACTTTGTTAGACTTATCACGGTATAGTGTGAGAAATATTGTTAGAAGATATAACGTAACTGGTTCAGTTAATATTAAGCCACGATATGTGAAAAAAAGTAATATCACAAACGCCGACCGAAGAGCATTAAGAAAGAATAATCGTGAAAAACAGGCGTGCCAATTATTTACAATTAAGTGCTCTGTGGAGTGACGCTGTTGGAAGGAGAATTTCGAGGTCCACAACTCATAGAGAGGCCCACAAACTGGGATTTAGCACTTGCAAGGTAAGTTTTCTTATAAAAAAAGTGAAGTAAAAACCCTAAAGTTGTTTATAGGCCAAAGAAAAGCCACTATTAACTCCACTGCAAAAGAAAAATCAGCTTAGATGGGTTAAAGAACATAGACAATGGACACCTCAACAATGGTGTGCAATACAATGGAGTGATGAGGCCCGAATCGAAGTTTGTGTTGGTGACAGTCGCAGTAGAGTTATTCGCAAAAAAAATGAAGCATTCCATATTGACTGTCTGAACAGAAAATTGAAATTTCCAGCATCCATTATGGTCTGGGGCAGTATGTCATCAAAAGGAGTAGGAAAACTTCATTTTATTGATGGAAATGTGGATACAAACAAATATTTGTCAATTTCAGAAGAATCGCTTTTACCAGTGATGGAAGAATGTTTGACATCCGGCCAAGATTTTGTGTTTCAGCAAGATGGTGCAGCGTGCCATACCTCAAACAAGGCTATAAAATGGATGGAAGAAAATAATGTACCACTTTTGAAATGGGTTTCAAGCAGTCCAGATCTATCACCTATTGAAGCTTTATGGCACGAGATGAAAAAGGTTCTACGACAACATCCTGCTCGTACAATCACCGAAGTGAGACAAACGCTTCAAGAAATATGGGATTGTTTTACACCAAATTTTTGCCAAAACTTGGTTAACACTATGCCCAAAGAATTTCAGCCCTAATAAAAAATAAAGGTGATCTTACCCAATGGTAATCTTTCAATTGTTGCTTTGTTAACTTCGCGCATTTATTCGCACATTGTTTATTTGTTCAGATGTTCTATTAGTTATAGGTCTAAGTGTATCTAAATGTTTTTGGGAAAGTAAATAGTTTCGTCATGTTTAGTTTATAAAGGCATATTTTGGTACAAATCTTGAAGTGGGCCAACTGAAGTGGGAAGAGGCTCGTAGATACGAAAACATTCCACTAATTTACTACTAAAGCGTAAACCCACGTGTGAATCTAGATTGATGAATCAGAGACATGAGTGCCTAAGGTGACAATACTGTATTTCGTTGCGCAAGCAAATTACACGTAACGTGAGTTTACGTTGAGCTCAGTTGGCGAGATATCTCGTGGGTTTTATTTACAATCAAGTCCAGACCAGAAGATTTGTTGATTTAGAACGTCATGAGCACCCGTCTTACGGTCTTATGCCTGAATGTTACTTCCGAATAGTGTAGGCAACCCTTTGGAAACATCTTGGCAAGCACTTCCTGTTTAGTCTTTGAGTCGGTTACAATTTTTCCATTCTAGCACGAAAGTTCCTTCCAATGTGCTTGGCCAGCGTCTAGAAAGACCAACTGCCGTGCGCCGCCACATTTCCCTATGCCTAATTCTTACATCGTGTTTGTCTTTTGCATTACGGACCGCTTCGTTAGGTATTGTGACAAAGAGCGCCATCTGTTGGGCGAGTCTCCTACTCGCCAGAGCATAATTGCCTATCTATGCTTTTACGCGAACCACGGCGCACAAGCCGCCTGGCGGCGTCTTTGAGGACCGTGACAGTGGATCGCCTTCTAGATCGACGCGAAGAGATCTCCAACATTCTAGATGTCGCTTTGTGGTACTCCCGGTTTTTTCTCGCAGCTGTAATGGGGACTATATAACTCGGCGGCCGGGAGATGGAAGCAGAGTACGGAATACGGTAGAGTAGCAGAGCGGAGTGAGGTATACTGCAGTCAATGGTGGCATAAGAATTAGTCAGACATAAATAGTGGTGTATATAAATGCTTTATCAGGTTAAATAAATCAGTGCATTTCTTTTTGTGAAATCCAGTGTTTTAATCCACACCCAAAAGAACCCAGAAAAACGCTACAGTATATTTGTTTTTGGACTCTGGACTTCACTAGACGTGGCAATAATCTATTCCCTCCTTTAGGTGCAAATAATAATTACATTTCATATCATTTTCAACCTTTAGAAAGAAACGTTAATAATTTTTAATCACATACTTATTGGGTGGAAATCCTGTATTGATAGGTCGACCATGCATATCAGTGAGTACGTAGTAGTTGCCATTGGGCTTTGGTGGACCTTGGTTAGTTTCTTCTATGATGATTGCTGCATCGTATCCATTCAGATTCATCTAGAAAGTAAAAAGAATTAGGCATTTCAAAGTAAATATAGTCATAATAATGATAATATAATCATAGCGTGATTATTGGCAGACCCTGACAATCTTTTGAGTTTTTAAAGAACATCCTCTCACTTGTTTGATTCCCGTTCGTCCGTCTCCAAGACCTAACACCTGTACCGCACTGATGAGTTGTTAAGGAGCACGAAATAGCGCTGCCTGCGGCTGGTCATGGTTAAAGATACGGAAAGCAAACATGGAAGGGTTTCTATGTAGAAATGACTTATTAAAAATGTTCACTCAATATCAATGTCGTTTCATTTTTTTTTTGTAAAAAATATCACTTGACTAGTTTGCAGGATCACCACTGGTGGCGCAATTTTATACCTCTTTACACTAAAAGATGTAATTTTATATCCTTTTATGACATGCCAAAAATAAAAATAGCTGAAGTTCTTTCGAAGATATAAAATTCTTTCTCTAGAAAATTCAACACCTAAAGCTAAAAAATTAAGCCATTGCGGGCATTTGTAATTATTGAATAACTATTAACCCATCAGTAAGGAGCACCCTGTCCCTGTATATCAGATAAACAAAACAAAAAATACAAACCGGTTGCATCTGGCGATACGGCTTTTGCTGATACTGATATTGTGGTTGTGGTTGATATTGTTGCCTCGTAGGATAAAAGTTTTGGTGGTTATTTGATCTCGTTGGAACTGTTTGTTCGATGACTTCAATCTCAACATTCCCATCGACCGACTGCGCTAATTTTTGTAAGGCTTGCTGCACGTCTGGACTAAGTTGATTCTGTCCAAAAGCTCCTGAAAACGAAAAGCTTGGTGTGATCTGAATGATTAGAATTTTGGAGTCGAAGGTCGCAAAAATTTCGTCACTTTGAAAAGTAGCTTACGTTGAAAAACGCAATTTTACAGGAGAAATCGTTCTCTGTTTTACATGCCTATAAAGATAATTCAATAAAAAATTATCCCAAAGATTTCATAAAATAGTATTTATAGGATACTTTGGAAAATAACAAAAGTTGAAAATATGTAGAACAAGACTGGATTATGTCCTATTTCGGGCATTCTTTGTATCGTCATAGCTAACCTCTTCAAAATGAGCTGTTAAGTAGTCACGTAAAACAATCAGGATTATTTGTATTCATTTTATTACAGAAACATCACTACGATAGGTCTCTTAACATACATTGAACGCGAGAGGGGCGATCATCGGTAAGAGATAATTTTCCGTGAAAGTGTGCCTGTCCACCGAAACTTTTTGAAAAGCGGGAGGTAGTAAATCTTTTCAGGGGGGGACAAATCCTTAAAATCTCTCAAATCATGCAAAATATGCACCCCTCTCCCGGCCACCCCCTGTTTACATTGCGTAAAAAGGTATACAGGGTTATATTTAAAATCTGTCAAAAATCCTGTGTTGAAGATGAGGATTCCTGATTTTTTTTTTTTCAAATAAGTATACTAACATGAAGAACACATAATTACAAGCCTTCATTTATTTAGTCCGTTTTAATGGGCATTTGTTGATCACGCCACCTTGACAGCCTAAAATATTTTTTGTCTTCTAAGCAATATGGCGAATATTAGGTTAATCACAAACTCCTTCATAGCGCCGGCATTTTAAATCGAAAATGTCACTTGTGAACATCGTTGGAAAGGGAATTTTGCCTAGAGTACGATTATGGAATGAAATATACAGGTTTCCATTTGAAAAACGAAAGTCAATGTCACTTCCTGTTAAACCGTAAGGGAGAGATAACCTACACAGGGTTATCCAAATTAAGTGTCCACCATTGGTAACTTTGTTATTAGTAAAAATACAAAGTTGTTTAAATTAGCAAACTAGTAGCATTTTTAACGCTGGTAAAAATGAGAAATAAAAAAAAACAATTGAGAGTCGTTATTTTGATTTTTTTCAGTAAAATAACATTTTTTTAAATGGAAACCCCTGTATATTATATTTTTTTCTGTTAAAGCATCAAATTTTAAACAAAAAAGTTTATAATGACTTTTCCGCTAAAGTCAAAAATAAAGTCAAAATAACGATAAATATTTTTAATTATTTGCAGTATTATAATATTAAGACGGCTATGAAAACAACATGGCGTTCGCGATTTGACAGCATTAAGATAAGCGACAAATTGTTAAACTGGACATACTCGCAACTAGAAGGCTTTGGAAAACAATGATAAAATCAAATAATGTCAGACATTAGTGTAAATACTTGTTTATAAGCTTTATTGTGTCATTAATTTAAAGAAAAATGTTCTCCCATGAAGAAAAGTGTGATATGTTAGAATGCTATTTAGTGTGCAGAAAATCCTCCTTGAGAGCAAGAGTGAATTATATCCCGCTCGCATTCAACCGTATGAACGATATTTTCTGAGACTGTATCGAAAATTTAGGGGCAACGAAAATGTTTTTGCTAAAACAAGGGCAAAAAAAGAATTCATAATAAGCGAGGCCACGGAAATTGCAGTTATTGGATATTTTGAAGCTTATCGTGAGAATTCAATAGCAGATATTCTCAAGGACTCTAATTTCAGTTATGGTACTGTTCAAAGGATTTTAAAAAAATACAAATTTATTCCGTATAAGTACCGACCAGTTCAAACGCTTTTGGCAGGGGATCCAGAGAGAAGACTTGTTTTTTGCCATTGGTATCTTAGCTTCTGTCGCCAAAATGTAAATAACTTTCGTTACCTTTTATGGACAGATGAATCAAATTTTTCAAATTCTGGAATGTTTAATAGAAAAAACCACCATTATTGGTCAAGAGAAAATCTTTTGTTAGTACATCCAAGAGGCCCACAAGTCCGTTTCAGTTTCAACGTTTGGTGCGGTATAATTGGTTCAAAAATTGTTGGCCCGTTCTTTTATGAGGGAACCCTAACTGGTGAAAGATATGTGGAATTTATGTCAGAAATTCTGACTAATTTCTTAGACGAATTGGATCTTATAAGTAGACATCATCTGCATTTTCAGCAAGATGGCGCACCTGCCCACAACTCCAGAGGTACTTATCATTTTCTAAGTACTACTTTTAATGATCAGTGGACAGGAACAAATGGCCCAATACAGTGGCCTCCCAGATCACCAGATCTAAACCCACTTGATTACTTCTTGTGGGGTTACTTAAAGAACCAAATTTACAAGCGAAGGTACGATAACCTTGACGCGTTAAAGACTGCAGTTAGGGAAAAGATAACCCAGATAGATGGTAGGACCATACTTAAGACAGTTCGAGCAGTTGAAAAACGTGCCCAAAAATGTATTGAAGAACAAGGTGGTGTTTTCGAGCATCTTCTTTAAAAAAATTGTTATTGTATTTTGTAAGATTATAAGTTGATGTTGAAAATAAAGTTTGTCGATACAATTTAATTGTTTCAGATTGGAGGCCATAACTTCAACAATTTGTAACCTAGGAGTAAAGTTATTGTAAGCTTTTTTGTTTAAAATTTGATGCTTTAACAGAAAAAAATATAATATACAGAGGTTTCCATTTAAAAAAATGTTATTTTACTGAAAAAAATCAAAATAACGACTCTCAATTGTTTTTTTTTATTTCTCATTTTTACCAGCGTTAAAAATGCTACTAGTTTGCTAATTCAAACAACTTTGTATTTTCACTAATAACAAAGTTACTAATGGTGGACACTTAATTTGGATAACCCTGTATGTAACTCCCAATCTTTGAGCGATATCTTTCTTTGCCAAAAGAATACATCGTGTTTCAATTTTCATTGTCACCCGGTATAGTAAATAGAGAAATATCTGTGACAAATTCTCATAGTTGACGCTACGGTATCTTATTGATATCTATTGAAAAATTTTTGGACGCGGGAACACAGCATTAGGTTGACTATCTTCAGGTACAATACGTTAATCCATGCTATGATACAAGAAAACTGAAGCTATTTTAAGGTGATTGCTCACCACTGGACACGTCAAATAATAATATGAGAAGCGTTATACTCTTTGAGGCGCTACTATGGCCGACAATTAATTATAATACAAGTAATGTATTGTTCAAATTCACGTTTAACTCTGACTGTCGATTAAAATCTGGACGGAGGGTCTTTGAGCAGCTTAAAAGTGGATTTTTGATGGTTTTTAGATATAATTCCACAACAAAAGTATACCTGTTGACGTCAAGTGAAGTGAAGATATAATGTACAGACTATTAGTATGCTAATATAATCCAATAACATGGTATTACACAGGATCTTATTCATTTATTCAGTATTTCCACAATGAAAATCTATGCAAGTTTGAACGCTTGTCCACGTATATATCTTCCAGCAGGTTATTAGGCTTTTTTTTAATTATTACTTGCTGGTAGTAATCGTAGTATATCATACGATCATTAGAAATTTTAAAAATCGTCATCCTGTAACGATTACTCCTACAAAACAGCTTCAAGACTTTTTCAACAACCAACTATTTCGAAAACAGCACCCGTACCACGTAACTTGAAAAGTGACATCAAACGACTTTTTTGACATTATTTAGGCTTTTTTGACATAATGTACTTGGCGCGGAATAAACTAGCGCCTTAATTCCAGGTTTGGCGATGTTCATTGGCCTTCTCGGTCCCCAGATTTATCCATATGCGATTTTTTCTTATGGGGACATCTCAAGGCTAGAGTATACGTGAACAAGCCCCGAACTCTGGACGAATTGAAGTGCGAAATTCGCGTGGAAGTCGCCCAAGTTGAGAGAGCGATGTTGGACAGAGTCTACGCGAACTTCCAAGAACGCCTCCAGCACTGCATCAACGATTTCGGCCACCACATGCCTGATGTGATTTTCCACACTTGACTGTCTCAAATGCTATTTCCTTGTGAACCTGATTCCATCAATAAATTTGTTTTCGAGTAAAAATTAACTATTTTATGATTTTTTTAAAACCGTCCATCCTCTCTGCCGCACCCTGTATTTGCATTTCATTTATATAGTCTTCCACGGCGATTTAACAATTCATATGGATATGGAAAACTACTAGGATTACCTTTTTGAAACATTCAAGCAAGCCAAATGTGAATCCTGTTGTATAAAAATTGTATAGAAGGATTTATATATTCTTTAGAGTGAATGCAAAAACCCCTCATCTCGAGACAAACAATTCTGGGTAACTCTTTTTATCAAACCTCAAAGTTATAAGTCTATGGAAGAATTGGGAAATGGATGAAAACGCTTTCAAAATGGACATGTTCAGTTCGTTGCAACAGTTAATTGGTTATTGCAAAAAATCCTTCCTTTTTTGGTGAAAAGTGTATATGAAATAGTAGCCAAAAGTTAAAGACTTTGTAATCCTTAACATCAAGAAAAATCTTCACGAATGCTCAAGCTATCCAGCGACGCAACTTCTGCAACAAATTAAGCATACATGAAACATCTATGAAACATAATAAAAAATGTTATTTACAAAAATTGTGGACTATAATTTGGCTACGTCGATATTTATTCGATGTTTTTCTACAATTACTTGAAATTTCGTCATATAGCCAAAAATAGTTTTATATATTTTTGATCTCTGCAAGGTGGCATAAAAAGAACATTATTATGATTTTTCGTCTCTTATCTCCAGCCTCAACTTTGATTTTTCTTACGTAGGCCATTTTTGCATAGACGAATATCTTTTAATTCTGATTTCAAGCCTTATAGAATGTCACACATTATTATAAATATTTTTTTTTTGAGTAGGCCTTGAAATTATCATATAGGAATTTGTTTTATGAATTATCAAAGATGATAACATGTTACGCATTGATATAAAACTACAAGTGCCTAACTTCATAGTTAAACTCATAAAATGGGGAACAACATAACATAACTCATTTATATTATTTAGAGGTCATCATGAAGACATCGAAAACGGTATGATTTTAAAAAACAGAGCTGAAACGTCAGATGGAAATTCTGGATGTTCGGAAAGTTTTGTTGCGGATTGAAGCCAAGAAAAAATAAAAACGACAGAGTAAATTCGGTAAAATTTTTAATTTCATTTCATTTTTTTATTTACCTACGCAACTAGTTCCCAAGAACTCCGCGTTGTTTAGGCAAATGTCACTAGATCAATATTTACTGTGATCCGACAATATATTTATAATGAAATGTGATATTTACTGACCGGCTAGCCTGGACATCGGTAATTATTGATGCATAATGTTACGCAGAAATCTATTGATGGTACAGAACACAGTAAATATTGATCGTGTAACATTCGCCTACCGTTTACGAGATCCCAAAGGCGAGGTTCGAATTTGAAACACACGTAGCGTTACAGTGCCTTTAGCAAAATTAATTTTAAACCTAACAGGTTTCAACTAGTCCTAGTAATTTCTCATCTATATTAGATATTGATTCAGCTTGAGGAGAGTCCTGTACATGAATAATTTAATTTTTGTAAAAAATGTACCCTCCATTTAGCTGAGCTAGGGATAAGGGTTCAGCTGCCCCCCCCCCTTGCCTCCCCTAGGTACGCCCATTGGTTAGATGCCTTAAAAATTATTCATATAGACAGTCTGAAAGTTCGTTGTTTGATAGACAAATAAGCATATGAATTCTCCTATAGCCGATTGTCCGTTATTGACGGTGATTGGACGAATATGTTGGAGTATAAAACGAGATTTTTGCTTTGTCCATGGCGTTCGCTTTGCTCGGGCTTCCTCTACTAAGAGCTTATAATATCCTACTTTTGTTGTCACCAATTAAAAAACAAGAGCTAATAAAAGCTATGGAGTTGGAATTGGCTTTTCTTAGGAATCACATCTGACAGATAACAGGCTCTTCAGTTTAATATTAAAAAGAACTCTGTGTTTGCTAGTTATTTCTAAGTTTACATTAATAGAATCGAATAGAGCGCAAAATTTCGAGTATCGCGTAATTTGCAGCTGAAAGTCACAGTGTTATTTTTCGTCAAAGTTGCACTTCAATAAATTCTTGATTAAGCTTGTTATAAGTAACATAAAAACATTTATGAACTAAGTACTCACCACTTAAGAATGATATTAAAAAACACAATACACTAATCATCAAGAAAACTGTCCGCTGCGTCATGTTAAACAACAATATATTTCTCTAATTATCTTATTAAACTATAAATTAGCAAAACGTGGTCGAATCGATAGCGTCATCTGAACTGACTAAAATGCTATTTTCGTAACTATCAATCCGTGTCTTGATCCTATGATCCTTGATATGGAAAAAACCTGTTTTGTATATAATTTGTTGTAAGTAATTGGTAGCTGTAAGGTGAGTACCTGACTAATGATTGATTTAAGATTTTAGTCGTGGTATATCCGCTTACGCATACGGGGGATCACCAGAAAATGCTAAGCTAAACAATAGAATAAGATTGCGATACCATTGAGGAATTACGAGCAAGGCTTACTCGATTCCTCTTATCGGTAAAACCGACCCTTACTACTACAGGCCTATAGCTCTGATTTCTGTTATAAGTAAGATTATGGAGAGGCGCATAAATCGACACGGGTATCATGTAAAAAACCTATAAAACGTCAAAAAAACTTATAACATTTTAACTTGCAGAGGTAGTTTTTAGGGCGCAAACAGTAATTCCACGTTTGCTCACTAGGATCGTTGCGAACGTCCATCTATGGAGAAATCACTCAACTACACGCATTATTGGTTGCATAGGTTTGTAAGGCTGACTGATCCCTGTAGTTTTTATCTCTGAGAAGAAAGTTGGTTGAATAGCAAGATCGCATCTGGATGATTATGTGTATTGGTCTTTTTTTTTATACTCCAACCACCACGATGGCTTAAGGCCAAAATACCCATGGGGTACCGTGGGGCTATAGGGGGATACAGGGGAAAGGGGGGACGCCACACGGACTCTGGCGAGAGAACACGTGTGCATGCAACATGCGCACACATTCTGGCACCGCCTACGAAATCCGCCGGGTGATACCTCCGCATGCGACAGTCAGAGACCGTCTAAAACCGACGGACAATCTCAACATCCATAGATCCATAGCCAAGAGAAAAATTTCTCCTGGGACGGGATTCGAGCCCGCACAGCGCACGGCGACTGATCAGGAGACCGAAGAGTCTACTACTGCGGAGACCGCTGCTGCCTGTCTTGGTGATATGAGATTTTAGGACCTACACTTAACAGTTGCATGTGTATAAAATCAGTGATATTAGCTGTGTGAGAAAATCATTACTGAATATGTCGAATATGACGGGTTATTTACATGTTGTGCTTTCTGAAGGGAGGTTATGTTCAAAGTTATAAATTACGAAACACTGAGGAGAGTTACGGGAAATCATCATCGCTCCTGCGTTGTGTGTAATTACTGTTAGCATGTAAATATATGGCTTGTAATTCGACAGTGCACAGTGAATATAATTATTTCTTATCTCGCTCATTTTTGAAATTCAGCAAACTTGCAACTGATGGGTTGAGCTTCTCTATGATTAAGCTCAGTCTGCCTGTTACTCTCATCTACATCACCCACCTTGTTAATATTTGCCTTGAAAGAGGTTATTTCCCTGAAACGTGGAAGCGAGCAATTGTGGTACCAGTTCCAAAAAAATCAAATCCAGATGAGTTTGCTGATCTAAGACCTATAAGCCTATTGCCTTGTTTATCGAAGGTAGTTAAAAAGGCAGTCCACATACAACTAATGCATTATGCAGAGGAACACATCATCCCATCTAATCAGTCTGCTTTTAGGAAATCTTTCAGTACTACTACTTCCCTCTTAAACTTAGTGGATAATATTATTAGAGCACTTGACAAAAAAATTGGCGTAGCAGTTATGTCGATCGAGTACTCCAAGGCATTTGACAAAATGAATCATGAGTTGTTAATAGCAAAGTTGAAGTATTATGGCATAGATTCAATTGCATTGAACTTTTTTCGAAATTATATATCAAATCGATCGCAGTGTGTATCAATTGAAAACAATAAATCTAGTTTTCTAGAAATCTCGCCTGGAGTACCCCAGGGGTCTGTTTTGGGTCCCTTGTTGTTTTTGATATATATTGCTGATCTGCCCAAGGCTGTGAGTTTTTGTGAACTCCAGTCTTTTGCGGACGATACTCAACTGGTCCATTATTTTGATACTGATGATATGGAAATGGCACAGACATCAATAAACCATGATATTCAAAAAGTGTATGACTTCTTGAATAACCACAACCTGGTAAATCCAGCCTGTTATTTTTTTGTTCGGATCGTAGGAGAGAAGAAATTAAAAGTCAATTAATTATTAAAATTGGATCTCAAAGACTGTACCCGGTTGACGAGTTTAAAATTCTTGGCGTGGTAATCGATTTCAAACTTATATTCACCAGTCATGTTAAAAATCTTTTGAAGAAAACCCTCTTGAGACTGATATCACTATATGCCAATAAAGCAATTTTCAATTATAAGCTAAGGAAAAAAACTGTGTTCATCTTTGGTTATGCCGATTTTCAACTACTGTGATATTTTATATTACCCGTGTCTCAACGTTGTTACTAGAAATCGGATTCAAATTGTGCAAAACAATTGTGCTAGGTTCATCTGCGGTTTAAGGCGCTTCGACCATGTTTCTGGTAGTCTTATTGAATTAAACTGGATGATAACAAAAAATATTGTCAAATATCATTACCTTGTTTTCATTCATAAACTAATACTTATGTCAAAACCTATATACTTAAGAGAAAAGCTGATCTTTAGGCGTAATATTCATCATAGACATAACATATTAGATTTCCAGATTTGATAACTACACCTATTCACTCCACAACTTTATTCTAGCGTTCTTTCACGTACAGTGCTTCAGTGTTATACAATGCCTTGAGTCCTGAATTCAAAACCATGTCCTTAAATTGCTTCAAGAAAGCTGTCAAATCTCATATTTGCTTGGATCCATAGTCTTAATTAGATTGCTATAGATATATTGTTAAATGATTCTTCACTTCCCTTGTGTACATGTAGTAAACCTTGGTGCAACATGTATGTATATATGTGTGTATATGTATGTATATACATATGTATGTATATATGTATGTGTCTACATGTGTATGTAGATTTTGTTTGATATCTGCTACTTAACAACTTGTTTTTTTTTTTTGCATGGGTGGTTAAGTGTAAGAGTAGCATGTTGCTAAACTTCGCCACCACATGCAACTTTTGTTTCTCTGTATGAAATTGTATAGCTTAAATCAAGACGATTATTATTATTATTATATGTAATTTCCAGAATGGATAAGATAGTAGATGCGCAACTAATTTCTAGCTATGAATCTCAATTAACTGTATTTGAGACAAGTACCCAATGTAATTATCATCAACACATAAGTACAACTTACAGCTTAGACCTCCAGTAATGCCATCTCAGAAGCAGATTTTACATCACATCAGAGCCAAAGATTGATAACAAGCCTCATGACGTTTAGGCAACACGTACAACTAAGTGCTAAGTTAACATCTTGTAGGAAACCTACATAATGTCAAAAAAACAGCATAATGTCAAAAAAATCGGCATAATGTCACTTTTCAAGATACGTGATACCCGTGCGGGACCATCTGGAGTTCCTCGTACGTGACGGTCTGATTAGCGACAGGTAGTATGGTTTCCAACACCAGCGATCCACAGGACACCTCCTAGCTTACGTCACTCAGTTGTGGAGTAAAGTCATGCAGTCTTATGGTGAGGCACATGTCGCTGCCCTTGATATCACGAAAGCGTTCGATCAGCTGTGACATGCTGCCCTCTTATGGAAACTTCCTTCCTATAGCCTCCCAGATAAGCTTTGCAGATGCGTGGCTGACTTTCTCTCTAGCCGCCAGATATCCGTCATAATTGAAGGGTCCTCCTCTTCATGCCACAACGTCAACTAGGGTGTTCCACAGGGATCGGTCTTGGCTCCGACAGTGTTCCTCTTACATATCACTTTACTGAGCATATACTCAATATCTCGTCGGCTGCCACTCGAATACTTGGTTTCTGTATCAGAAACTGGAAGGGTTTCTCCAATGTTGATACATTAATGACTTTATTTTTTACTTTTGTCAGGAGCAAGTTGGAGTATGCGACTCTGATCTGGTCTCCTATATACCAAAATTCTGTCGTGATCCTTGAGGCCATTCAACGTAAAGCTTTAAAGTATTTTCACCTTAAATGCACAGGTTCTTATCCAGAAAGAGGTTGTGACCATAGTGCCCTATTAGAGTTTTTCAATTTGGATTCACTGTCAACAAGACGAAACATATTTGCTTTGTCGTTTTTGCATGGCCTCATTCACAATAAAATTGACTGGCAAAATTTACTTGAAAAAATATGTTCCCGCGTTCCAAGGCTAGGGAGTCGACAACAAACGGCATTCTATTGTCAAGTGGCCGTACAAATGTTATGACAAAATCGCCAATTAATCTCATGTGCTGCGTCATGAACAGTGTTACTGAATCGTGTGATATTTACAGTGACAGTTGTGCATCGATTATTAACTGCTATAGATCATCCAATCTTATATAGAATGTGTGATACTATAGATTTAAGTCCAAGAACCATGTCTCTTTAATTGTTATTTTTTTCAGCATTTCCTATAATTGGGTTTCACCTGTTGGAAATAAATAAATAAATAAATAAATATCAACGATCTCCTTTCCTGAACTATTAATCCAATTCACAGCTTTGCTGATAACATCACTCTACATGCAGGAATTCGGAGCGACAAGCCGATCTCTGCCGTTGAGCTGCAAAAGAGAAGACTAGCAACGACTTCCTGTCTGACGAGAGACCTGGAAGTTATCACTGCTTGGGAAGGCAGAAATCTTGTAGAGTTTAATGATTCCAAAACACAGTACTGTATATTGACAAACAACAAGTTTCCTGGCGCTCATCCGGTTTCGACGGATGGTCGAGTTCTGCCAAAAAGCCCGTCATTTCGGCTGGTCGTAGTCCAGAGCACCGAGGACTTGAGATCTGGCACGAACACATTTCGTTAACAGCGGTAACTGCTGGGAAAAATCTATTTGTGTAGGGCTAAGTAGTACTTTTCTCCGCATGACCTCCTTACTGTATACAAGGCCCAGACAACACCTAACCTCGAATATTGATCACACGTTTTTGGGGTGCTGCTGCCCCGACTACATTATTCATGCTCGATGCTGCCCAGAGGATGAGCCCTCTCTAACAAACAGTCTCGGGATCCATTAGTACCGGCGGGCTGTCGGTGATCTAGCTTTCTTCTACCGCTGGGAAGGGTTGGAATATTAAGATTTTTAAAAACCCCTTTAGATGACTCTGTGCTAGGTAGACCTACCCGATATCTAACTGCCCTCTTCTGGGCTACGAAAACATCTTGTGAATTTGTGCTCATACCCCAAAAACACACACCATAACGAAGTCTGCTACTAAGATGGACATGATAGAGCATTAGCGATGGATCACGTTTCAGCACGGACCTTAAATTGTTCAATGAGTGTAGCTTGGAAATTAATGATTGGCAATGAAATATCCAGCTCAATCACGGTTCTAAGTGCATACCTAGGAAGTTTATGCTTTGACAGCTATTTGTGACTATGGAGTAATTTGCCACCCGTATCACCAAATTGTCACAATCACTCTGTCTGTTGTGAAACCTCAAAGCTACTGTTCTTCCCCCATTCAAGAGTAATCCATTCATATTAAACCAACCGTTGATACAATTTATCGACGAAATCAATCAAAATTCTTACGATTTATACGTATATATGTACGTGCTTTGTGACTTGTGACAAATCTAAGTCTGAGTAAAAAGTGATTTATGTTCTGTTTTTGCTCAATAGTAATTTGAAAAGTGTGTATAGCTTGGCTGATTTTGTTCAGGGCTAGTGTTGCAGTAGAGCACTATATTAGATGAACCCCTAAATTGGAAATTATAGACATTTATGAGATTTGTTTGGCGGTACGCCTGTGGCCTGTCAAGAAAATGCGTCGATCGAAGTCAATACCACACGTCCCGCATCTCTTCCCGCGTTTTTGTCTATTTATGTTGCTATATTGAATTTGTTTAAATCACAGGCTTCTGCACTGCAAGTGAATAGCCCTGTATTCCTGTACTTGTTCCGTACAAACATACATTATCAAAATAATTACGATCTAACAGATATAGTTTTTCCAAAGATTTCCAACATTTATACATGCGATCAGCACCGATTCGAAAACTGAGAAAACGAAAACTATGCCGTAAATCTAAGTTCGACAACGAAAGTCTGGAGATTAACCTTAACATCTATATTGAGTTTCAAAGAATAATTGACTATACCTATTGATATTTTTATCACCCGCTGATATAATAGAAGTGCTTATTTGTGTCAGTATTTGCACCAATTACTTGATTTGTTTAATGAGCAGTTCAGAGTCTTATCGCTAAGCTTAGTACACACTAGTAGACCCCGTTGCGCAATTTCTCTATAGGCAGTCTGGAGACGGTCTCAAGGCACGATCTACAGATGGTCTATAGACATCCTTCTTTGTCTCGTCTAGCGTCCATACGATAATCTGAATTTTTCGGTCTCATGTTCATTTTCGCCATCAAAGACATGGTTTTGTGTGGAATGGACTGGGATATGTCTCGGGGTCCCTCGGGATGTTTTTTTTATGTTTTAATCTTTAATATTATCACACTACTTAGTTATAAATGCCACGAACTTTTTTGTTCTCATATAATGAAATATTGCCTTTCTGAGGATTTCTGAGCATTTTGCATGTTTTTTTTTTCAAGTTGGCATTGACCAGATAGAACACAATGGATTTAAGGAGTAATAATAAGATAAATTTAGAAGTTCCACTGAGGTTGAAAAATTACTAACCTCAAATATATATAGTATTATGTAATGCTTTGTGTGTAAAGCATGTGCGCGAGTTTTAGTGATAGCATTAATTATACGTTAAGATTATCTAAGGGAAATTAATGCTGAATTGTCTCTAGTGATATGTATTACTTTGTAAGAAGGCAGAGGAAAATTACTGGTTGAAAAAATTGATCAGTTTTAATATTCGCGCAACAAAGCCAACAAAGAAACATATTTTCAGTCGACAATGAAAAACCTCGATTACTTACTTAAAAATTAAAACATCTGCAAAGGCCCGTTCTTCAGAATACGGTCCTGGCAGCTCACACAGAGGTGGAAATTTTATTCCAATTTTTGGTGTTCCGTGCTCTGTAACATAAGGGATGTTGGTACCTCCGTCGTTAGTCGTTATGTTTGGAAGTTATGTTTATATCTGTCAATGTCAAAGCTGAGAGGGAAACGAATACGAATTCTTAAATATAACTGATTACTTTTTAGAAAAATCTTCATAAGGCTTTTCAGTTGGGTTCGGAGCCCGAGTAAAGATAACATGGTCATGCAAGACAAGTGTTGAAATGTATTCTACTATCCGTAGCGAAATTTTTGCCGAAATCGTTGAACAACACAAATGCAAATGAGGATTGCCGCTTTGACGTTCTAAAGGCTCCCTAGGTACCCCAGGATAGACATCCGTCTTGACAGATAACCTTGCTATTCTTGCCAACTGGATTGCAGCGTTGCCAGCCTACCGGACGGTTTTGCTACCTCTGCTATTTTGATAGAATGTTATAAAAAAAAAGTATTGAATAAAATATTAAGGAATATCAATGGAGATATATAAAATTTGAGGCGTAGCAATGTTAATGTCTCCAAACATTTTTTAAACGCCCAGTTTTGTGGGATAAAATACTTTTTGAATACGGGACTTCTGCGTTTTCTTATCTGAGAGTATCACGAAGCGACTCGATGTTTACGTTGACGGGAGCGGACGCGCGGAGTGGGAGCTGGAAAGGGGCGTGGCTGTACTACCCGGCCGTTCCGTATCGCCGCAGCGAGGTACAGCACTCACACGCATCAGTCTCTCGGCAACCGTCGCCGCAGCGGAATGTCTACGCGTTCACAGCTCCTACAGAGCTCTATTCCGTTTAGCTACTTTTTTAGTAGTCATGTTCACTATAGGGTTCTCGATTGTGTCTCAGTGGTGCTTTAGAGCTGTGACGTGGGTGTCAAGTTTCTCCAAAGTGGAAATTAGGTCTACTTTCAGGGAAACAGGATACATGTGGAGCAAACTAGGTGAGCCTTGCATACTCATCTACCTGTGTGTTATGGTTGAAATCCCATGTTTTTTTTTGAATAAATGAGAATTTGAATAACGTTGTATAACAGACGGCAACGATATTGTATTCGTTTACATTTTTCCGATAGGAGGCATGAGGACAGAGACGGATCTGAAAATTTTGAAACGTTTTCTCTTTCAAGTCTGGTTGAGATGAGAGATGACTGAATCAAATTGTTGAAGTAACGTTGATAGCTATTGTAATTAAGTTTAGTTTTCATACTATTAACCAAAATATACATATGTATATGATGGTAGCGATGTCAAAGATGTGAAGTTATTTACCTAATTTGCTAGGTTGAGGAGCCTCCTTCCAGAAACACGCACTTCAAGATCATTCACCAAAATACATATTTCATTTCACTTTCGCACTTTATTCCTTTATTTAAAAAATGTGCTACAAAACTTTTCTTCCGAAGAATATGTTCCCAAGCTACATGCAAATCATTTATATCGAACTATTAGGGCGTTCTAGGTTATTGAAATGACCCTCGTATACTTCAATGCTACTTTTTTTAGGTTAATAACTTTGGCATGCTTACGATTTTCGATTGTACAAATGAAGCCAGAATCGTGGAACGACTTAATTTTTCTTCCGCTGATACCATTAATCTTATCAGTGACGGTTGAGGTTTTCTTCTTCTTGCCCAAATGCGAATGTAGTCATTAAAAAAACATATTCCTCTAATGAAGAGAAAATGAAAATCGTACATCTCCTATTAATGATCATGTAATTTTAGATTAAATAGTTAATAAATATATTTATATAATAAAAAGTTTTTTCTAATTGTTGGAAGAAGTCCCGTATTCAAAAAGTATTTTATCCTATAAAGCTGGGCATTTATAAAGGTGTTCAGAGACATTAACGTTCCGCGGCATAGACGCAAAATGTAAATAACAGCTTTTTTAGTTTTTTGGCAAACATTTTTACGCCTCAAATTTTATATATCTCCATTAGTGTCCCCCAAGATTTTATCCAAAGCTTTTTTTGTATAACATTTTAGCAGAATAGCAGAGGTAGAAAAATTGTCCGATGAGCTGGCAACGCCGCACTCTAGGTGACAAGATCATATGCCTATCCCGGGGTAACGACGGAGTCATTTAGTACCTCAAAGCGGCAGTTTTCCAATATTCATTTGCATTTTTCAAGCTGTGTGCAACGATTTCCAGAAAATTTTTGCTACGGATTGTCTTCTAGAGCCTAGTGATGATTCTCGTGCGTGGCCATGTTATCTTTACTCGAGCCTTTTAACAGTTATCTTGCGAGGCCACGTTATCTTTATTCCATTTACTCGGGGGGTCCGATCTGTCAGGAAATAGGCTGTCGGACACAACAATCCTCTATTTCTGTGTTGGTGTCTTGTGTCTAGTCTAGTGTATGTTTTGTGGTTCGTCCGTTTGAATTTCTTTAACGGCTCTGTGTCTGACGCTGAAAGTGCGAATTTAAAGATTGAAGTGTTCTTATATTTACCTATTTTGAAAAAGAAAACTCACAAATTCATTAAACAGATTTATTGAAAAGGATAAAATGAATGCATGGTGATTCCAAAAGACTGTAACATAGTCTGTCAAGATGAAGAAAAGCACAAAAACGGTGCGCGATGTCCCAAAGCAAAAGGCACCTACAGGTAGGAGGTTGCCTCTGACGAAAAGCCGTATTAACGCAATAAGCGAAGTGATTGCTAAACCAAGTTCTGAATCTATAATATCTTCGGCACATGCGAATATTCGTGTAGTTGTAAGAATTCGACCTCGGAACAGCAGAGAACATGGTGACAACAGCAGGTAGGAACTTTGTGTAGCAAGCAAAACATTTCTGATAATTCGTGATTGCTAAAATTCCATTTGTAATGAATGATTGAATTCCAAATGACAAAGACTACTGTTTTGATTGAGATTTGATAATGTCAACAAATTGGGAAATTGTTCCAGCAAAGTTTTGCATATATATGCAGGGTTCATTTTTGTTACCTAAATGATGAGTCTTTTCTCATTTCTACTTCGATTAGGCAGTCCAAAAATCGGATTGACGAAGTATCTCTAAGTTCTTCAAAACAGCTGTGGTACCCTAGCATTTAAGATTCTGCTTGTGCAACTGCTTCAGTGTAAAAAAACCTCTGGGATATCAGACATATTGAACATCTGGTCTATTCATTATATATAGTTGAGCAAAAAATAAACACATTTCTGATTCATATCATAAACATTTTTTCCTGTGTGTGCTTGTGGATAATATTATGGGAATTCAAACATTTTTCCTGTGTGTGCTTGTGGATAATATTATGGGAATTCTCTAGCTCAGCTGCACCAGCCTTTTTTGTTTCTCCATCTGAATAGACACTAGGTTTCTGTAGCTAAGCTAGAGAATTCCCAATATTAATGTTAACAAGATTTATTTGTATGTACATGAAGCACTCTACAAGAAGTATGGAGCACTTCACTCTTCAGATGAACATATACCACTCAACCATTGAATCAGCTATGTTGTTGTGGTATACAAAGTACAGTACAAAATATGCTCTACTCTTCATCATCAAGTGATACATCAAAAACTGTCTTATTAAGTTCAATGTAAAGTGTTTGCTTTGCCTAGTTTGAAACACTCTAGATATCTTCAAAATAATGCTGATATAGAAAATTTCAAGTTGATATTAACTTATTTCATTAGAATCAAACAAGTATAACTCATTTTTACCAGATGGATTGGCTTCTTGTCTCGCATTTTGAAATTTGCATAATTATGTAATATCCAGGATGAGATATTGCAGTACCTGTATAATGAAAAGGTTGACACACATCTAATTTCTAGCTCTACATAGATTCTTGCCTCAAACCATATGTTACAAATTCAACACAAAATGTTTGTTCTGGATGAAAATTATTATTTAATGCTCCTCTTTAAACCAGGTAAATTATTGTAGTTATTTAGGAGAGTAGTAATTTAAAATGTGAAATTTTTGCGCTTTGACCAACTGGGACATTTTGTTTTGTTTTAGCAACCACGCTATTATTTTTATATCACTTGATATTGTTCCATTCTATATTTCAGAATTGTTGTCGAGGCTATTGACCACCAAATGCTGGTATTTGATCGAGAAGAAAAAGCTCAAGCATTTTTTTTCCGTGGAGTTCAGCAAAAAGGTCGCGACTTGCTCAAAAAGTCTCATAAGAACATGCATTTTATATTTGACAGGATATTCCCTCCACAATCAACAACAGGAGAAGTATTCCAAGAAACCACTCTGTCACTAATTGATTCACTCATGGATGGTCATAACTGTTCTGTCTTTGCTTATGGAGCAACTGGTGCAGGTTGGTATGATTGAGCATTCTCTAAAGTTTGAAATTTTAGAATAATTAGCTGTTGACATATACTTTGATACAGTAACATTTTAAGCATATGATGATAATAATACGCTCAATGAGGCGATAATTTCGATGTTATCAAGCATCATTGCCTCGACAGAATAAGGATGCTGATGGCTGCTAAGAGATCTTTTGTTTGCTGAAAAACCGTCTCGTCTTTTCCAACAGCGGAACACCACCCATTGAGCTGCGCAGATATACTGCATCACTCAAAAACCACAGAATAAATTCGTAGTGTCTTGATAGGTGCTAAGAATTTCACAGCTCCTGACCAGCTACTGGTGAAACAAATTTCACGGTAGTGCAGGAGTTAAGTTGTGTGCTATTATTGGTATGGAATTCGGAACAGACAAATAATAATAATAATCTTTATGATCACAGAAAAAATACACGTGTTCATAGACATGTCAGTAATGAAAAAAGAAAAGTGTAGTATCGTAGACATAAAAGTACACTAACTATAATAAACTCAATATACAAAAAGACACTAATATGATTTTACAAAGTCGAGCAAAATGTCAAGAACATTATTAAATTATCCATTCAATTTAGTCAAATAAATCTTTGTAAAACAAGGATTTTTTCATCACCATATTTGAAATCGGCATCTCAAATTACACCACTGTACAGTGTTTGCATTATCACAGGTTGCGAAGATTTCTTAGGTAGAAATTTTAGGGCAATTTTTTTCTCAATACATTATTAATAACTTTTCATTTCAGGTAAAACATACACAATGACTGGAACTCAAGAGACTCCGGGCATCACATTCCTAACCATGAAAGAACTCTTCAAAAGGTGCGAAGAATTGAAAACCACCAGAGAGTTTGAACTGAACATCACCTACCTAGAAGTGTACAATGAACTTGTAAAGGATCTGTTGAAACCTGGAGCGCCACTGAACCTGAGAGAGGATTCGAGATTCGGTGTTATGGTAGCTGGTATTAAGTGTGCAAGATTGAGTGTGCAGACGATTTGTTCAGGCTTCTAGAGGAGGGTAATAAGAACAGGACTCAGCACCCGACTGATGCAAATGCTGAGAGCTCTAGGTCACATGCTGTTTTTCAGGTGTACATTCAGATGATGATGAAAGCATCACAAGAGGTAACTAGAATAATTACAAAGAACGCATAGTATATACTTAAAATTATACCTGGGGGTATTTGAAATGTGTCACTTAAATAGAACAAGTATACTGTAGTGAGCTACTTTCCTTTTAATTGTTCTCTAGGAATATTCTTCATAAATAATTTTGATCTTTATGTAATCCAAAAATCAACCCCTCTAACTATCCATATTTGATAAAACGACGATAAATCCACTGCACATTTGTTATTCACCAGAATGCATACTAGATACATCTTACTTCCATTGATTGCGTTTTAATATTAAGCCGCGCGAGGGGAGTGTATTCATTGGTTTTATTTTAGTTACAGACCTCATTTAACCACCAGTCAGAATGAGAAAGTTTCCTATATTTTGAAACATAGTTAAAATGATAGTCTTGAGTAAAGTGAAGTACAGCACTGAACAATTTTTTAATGTCTTAAAAAATGACAAAGATGTACTACCCAGAAGTTTCTTATTTGGAGAATTATCTTGTTAGAGCGTGAAACTGCATCGTAAAACGTGAAGGAATTAGAAGGTGCAGAGTAATGAGTAGGGATGCTAAATTTGCCTCTTTCGGAAAAATTATTGTACTACTGTAAATATCAGTTTGCTGTTAGTAGGTATTTTGTTAATATGGTAAAAGGATAAAATAAATATTAGTGTGTGTGTCTATCTTGATGGATAAATATCCTAAATGAGAACGGAGATTTTATTATTGCGTTTATTTCGAAATAATGTCAATATTGTTATACATGCTGTGACTGGAGAGGTAATACTCTTTGGGCCTAATCTGTGTTGACGTGGATATGCATAGGCGTGGTTCAGGAATCAAAAAACCTGACTGACAGTGCAAACAATTTGTAAAGGGTGTCTCAATAAGAGCGCTAAATTTGATTTTCAAGAAAAATACAATTTATTTTCGAATTAAGCGAGTATTTATATTTTAACACGAAAAGGAATAGTTGCGGTTAAACATGAAATAAGACATCCGGTAAATGGCCACGACGAAACCTCTTTCACAGGGTTAGTCTTTTCTTAAAATTCTGGATAACGTTTTCGCACAACTGTGGTTCGATTTTGTCGATAACGCCTCGAATCTCTTCTTTAAGGTGTTCAACTGTTTGTGGCTTGTTCACAAACACCTTTTCTTTCACAAATCCCCAGAGGAAGAAATCCATTGGCGTTCGATCGCACAATCTTGGTGGCCAATTTTGATCACCAAACCGTGAGAAGATATGGTCTGGAAACTTCGTGCGCAGTAACACCATTGTTTCGCGTGCTATGTGGCAGATCGCACCGTCTTGTTGGAAGAACATATCGTCCACATCAATTTGATACAACTGGGGCCGCAAAAACTTGGTTAAAATTTCGCGATACCGCACATCATTAACAGTTACCGCAGGTCATTTCGAAGAAATATGGTCCAATCACTCTGCGACTCCACAATAATACAAATGTATTATTTTATTCCTCGCTACATTCTATATGCAACAATTATAATTCCATAGCAGGCAGTTTTGACATTAATTTTGATTGTATCAATAAGATCTTGTCGAATTTCAGGTATTATTATAATAGCTAATTCTGTTTTTTAAGTTAGTTTTATGTATACATTATATGTATGTATTATAAGTAAAGATATCATTATATTGTCCTCTAATTGGAGTAGTTCTGTTGGGGAATTATGTATAAATAAATAAATACGCACCAAACGGTAACTCGCGGCAGCTGCATTGGTTGTTCGATTATTACACGAGGGCTTTAAGAACCCCAAATTCAGCAGTTCTGCTTATTGACGTAGCCGTTCAGTTGAAAACATGCCTCATCAGAGAAAATAATTTTCTTCGAGAAATCCGTATCAATTTGGTGGTGCTCCAGTGCTCAACGGATTCACGGCACTGCGCATGGTCCGTTGGCTAAACATTTTTACAATTTATTGTAGCCGTCATATTAGAACCGACAATTAGAATTTTGGAGACATTTTGACAAATGATATCAATATCATAACTCCTAATTTCACTACATATTGGAACATCAATTTAGCTGTAGTTTGGCAACTCACACGTCTGTCGCATATAAACACTTAGGTGTATAAAAATCCTAAGGCTCTTAATTTTGACTTGATATGCTATCCAATTTTTGATTTTACATCTCAAATCCCCCAGAGTCAGTTCAGAAAAACTTCAATATTGTAAGTGAACAGATGACGGCAATCCAAATAGTTTTTAGCATAACTTGTATATAAAGAACTTTGTTTCATCAGGTCCGAACAGCGAAATTGAGCATGATCGATCTAGCGGGTAGCGAGCGAGGTTCAGCTACAAATTACGTCGGAGCTCGGTTCACAGAGGGCGCAAACATCAACAAATCCCTGTTGGCTTTGGGTAATTGCATCAACAGTCTGGCAGATGGGCTGCGACATGTGCCCTACAGAGATTCCAAATTGACCAGGCTGATCAAAGACACTTTAGGTGGCAATTGCCAGACAGTTATGATAGCCAATGTGTCTCCGTCATCTCTTAGCTATGAAGATACGTATAATTCATTGAAGTATGCTAGTAGGGCGAAGGTAAGTTTATAAAATAGCGATTCAAAGGTATTTTGGTCATAAAATGTTTGTTGTGCGATTTTTTTTTGTTCGATGCCAAGATATACTTTGTGACACCGATCCAGAAGTCATACCCTTAAGAGTGTAAAATCTAAATTTATTCACCCTTGCACTCTGCTTATCTGCATGGCTTCTGTTTGCGTCACGTTCATTTCTTACATACCTTCCGCACCCTTCCTTCTTTCCTTACGATTGCTACTGAAGAATAGAAGAGAGGGTTATATGGCAACACCTCATATAGAAGTCGAATATCAGCGAGTGCACGTGCAAACAGCATTATTACTTATATTTTTCACATTTATCTTTACTGCCACAACCTTTGCAAGACACTCCCCTGTGAGGCATCCCCCAGCCGCGGCTGACCTACAAGGTTCCTAGTTAGTTTTTAGTGCCACAAACCAAACATCGCCTGCTTTTACTAGGACCATTTTCAAAGTAAGAAACGATTACGGATCTTGTCCGCGCAAATTTTTACGCGCTACAGATCGTATGACTACAATAATTGTCACGAACAATCAAACGAGGCCCAATTCGATAGATTTGCGTCGATTTATTACAGAGTTTCCATGGCCACCTCCTGGATCGATCATCAGATCATCTCCATGTCAAAATAACATTGCATTGTCCTATTAAACGTCCGCCATATTGGATTTAGAATATAGTTACTTTGCTCATTGTGTTCCCCTCATCAATGTGATACCTAATATAAGGGTGACTATGAAAATTATAAATCGCCGATTTACGCGGCCACCATATTGGATTGGTGTTCCTCATCAAGCGTTTTCAGCTGATAACCATACAGGGTGACTTAAAATGAAACATCATATATCAGACAGCATTTTAAGGGCGGGTCTTCTATGTAACATTTTTTTACTCGAGGGCTTAATTAAAAAGGCGTTGAAGTTAATATATATATAACTTGAGATGTGGTCAGTGTCGTTTAGACCAGTTAGGTGAAAAATAGAGCCTCCGCCTATTGTTGGGTACTTCGACAAAATTCAAGCAAGGAGGACTCTTTATACTTTATTTATCTCTAGCTTTCATTGGACTTTGCAATCTTCATCAGGAACTGCAATAACATTGAGAAGAAATAGCAACTATAGTGGCATTTTCCAATTAAAAATAGTACGCCACTGTTTTTTCTTTGAAACGCACCATTTGAGTGCACTGTTTTCGTAAAAATTAGATCATTCATGAAGAGCCGATATACAATTATTAGTTTCAAACTAAAATAGACGGTCTTGATACCAACTTGATGTTGCTTGGGAGAAAGTTTATCAAAGTTATGTGTTATACAGTTGTTATCGTTACTACTACCATTTTTTTTTTGTAAAAGTCAAGTCAAAAGTTTCTTTTTTCCATTTTGAGTGTTGTCAAATGGAATTTAGCAATGATGAGTACGCCGATATTATTTTTGTGTGCGGGTTCTCTAATGGAAATGCCTTAGCGGCTTCTCGGGAAGATCAACGTAGATTTTCTAACAGACGCGAACCTACCCCAAAAGTTTTTACGCGTTCATTTTTAAGACTTCGGCAATATGGAATTGCCACACTTCCCGGAGCTAGAGGCCATAGTGTCCAGCATACTGTTTTATTAAAAAGATGCCGCACTTGCATCCGTCAGAACATTTATTGAAACAAAGCTTTGCTTATCTAATTTGTTTTTTTATTTTTACGAAAATAACGAACTCTAGGAAAAACAAAGTAATTATTTGTAGCAAATTGAAGGTAAAATTTGAAAAATCGCGACTTTCGAAAAAAAACTGGCGTACTATTTTTATTTGGAAAAATAATGCCACTAATTCCCTGTATCTCCGCCACTGGTGTACGTTAGTTTCAAGTAAAGACTTTTGAATATGGACACTGCATTTTTGGTCACGACTTGTGAATCACCCTGTATAGGGGCGACTACAGAAATTATAAACGTCATCTTCCGACAGTCGCCATACTGCCTATTGTGTCCGTACAACCTCAGATTCTCTTGAGTGGTATCTCACTACGTTGTGTGATTTTGTTTGTCACCTTGTCAATCAGTAATCTCGTCGATTGTGAAGTGCGCTCAGTAATCCGGTTTTTAAACGCAAAAAAATCGCCGGCATCCGGTTGAAGTTATTATTGAATCGGCCCGTTATTCAAAACCACCGGCGGGGCATGCTCTGTAGCGGTGTAGTCTGCTTGACGGAAACGCTTGTCCTCATATTGCTGCAAGAACACACGCAACTGGACAAGTTTCGCTGATAATCACTGGATCCGACTTAGCGCCATCAGACTTTAATCTTTTTCCAAAACATCTCTTGGAGGAAAACTTTTGTAAAATGATTACATGTTGAAAGAAACAATTACTAACTGGTTAAACAACCATGCGGTATATAAGTAGTAGAATCTTTGATAAGATATTTTATCAGTGATTGACGTATTCTCCAAGAAGAATTTCCATCTTCACAGACATGTAGTCAAATAGGATAGCAGTAAATCTCTTAGGAGTAATAAAAACACTATTTTTTGTGGCCGTTTTTATCGAAAGCAACTGACGACCGCAACCCAATTCGGCACACGTCTTTAAATACAAGCATTCTCACTGGAGTGACGGCAACCCAACCAGTTGCTCGACGTTCTCTAAAAATCGCGGATCTTCCCGGTATCTCTGTAACATTGTTTGAAAAAATTCAACTCTTTATAGATAATCCCGGGGTTGTAGAGATTACTCGCTGTACATGGTACGGGTCGAGATCGTTCTTTCCCAGGATTCGGTGGGCCGTATCTTTGGACACTCCCGTGCTTGCATCTATTTGACGTACCGAAGTACTCGGGTCTTCTTCGAATGCTAGTAGTTAGGAAAGAAAATTCTTCCTACACCATGTGCCTGATTTTGGAATCTTCCCTCTGAAGCCATGTACAGATATGTAACAACACCGCGAACCGAACTTCGCGACGAACCGCAGCGCGCGCATTTTGACGAACAACATTGCAACGAGCATCACCACAAACCGAACGACGTCGTGAAACCACATCGTGCAACAAAATTACGATCCAGTTTTGATGTTTGCCACTCAGTGAAAGATGAATACTAACTGAAATGGATATAGCAGTAGCAGCAGCTGCCTATATTTATATTCACTACGAATTATCCAAAAACAAGTGATGACGTCTGAGACGATGGTGGTAAACGCAGTGGTATACAAATAGATCAGCACACGGTTGCAACAATTTGATAACGGAATTGTCATTTTCCGTTTACATAAACCAGCTGTTGCTCCCATTGTGGATGCTCCCAGGCACCTTTTTTTTAATTTATTGTAATTGCATCCCACAACAATTCCACTGCGCGGTTCGTCGCGTAGTTCCGTTCGCGGTGTTGTTACATATCTGTACACGGCTTGAGAGTAAACGGTGGTGCGCATTCACAAAAACTCGCTGATCGGGATGACGAGCAGCATTTGGGCACATCTCATGTTAAAGCCTGGTTACAGCGCTAGCATTGTATTTGCATTCCTCAAAAATGAGGTGCATGTTGGCCATTCTTGTACGGTGTACACAGGGTGGCACTATACAATCATGAATTAATAAAACTGGCGTTACTATCTGTTTTGCTGTCACTATGTAGAATGACACTGTCAATCAACCGTCTAAGAAAAAATTTAAATTTGTAGTAATGGGAACTAAAAGATCATCACAGGTGTACATAGATTTTACGATTTTTTTGACCTATAATTTGAAAAGTACACGACTTAGATTTTTCTTTATATTTTTTTGATAACTATTATGACTTGGCCTATCCCCCGTTTCCGACTGGCCCCACGGTTCATCTGTCCGTTTCCGCGCAGACACGATGCTTTTATTTAATAGATTTGTACTCGAATATATTTCAGAAAATCAAAACCGCAGTTAAGAGGAACGTCGTGAATGTAGAATTACATGTAACTCAATATGTAAAAATGGTAAAGCAGCTAAAGAAGAGAATGAACAACTGAGGAAACAGATACAGGAAGACAAAGAACAAAAGCAAGCTTACTTGGATTTACAGAAAAAATATGAAGAACTAAAACAACGGTTGGATTTGGCTCAACCTGAAATGACAAACGTAGCGGCGCCTTCAGACATACAACCAACAACGACTTCCGAGATTTTAGATGTAACACAAGTGAAGTTAGTTGATACTACATATGTTAAAAATGAAAATGTAATGGAGAAGGTAAATGAGCTGGTGGAAGAGAAAAAGAAGATTCTGTCAAGACACTTCCAGTTGTTGAAACAAGAAATTGAACTTGTCGCTAGAAGGTAGGATGATATGTATGTATATTTTGTCTTAGTCCTGTCCCGTTTTGTCAAAGAATCCAACATTATTCTTATCCCACTTGCAATGACTTTTAGGTTCAAGTGTGTTCGATTTTTTGGAGCCCAATTCTTCTTACCTTTGTCGGCTTTTTCTCATAGCTTTCGACATTCATAAAATAATTCCGTGAATGCATACATTTTCGACATAACACTAACGGTGTTTGGTTTTTTATATTATTAAACGTTTGATCTGCTGGTCTGATATTTATCGAGAAAATGATCCAAGCACAGATAGATAGAATGATATATATGCATTATTATCTGAATAATTCTAGATGACAAAGCTAACTTAAAACTAAAGTATAACAAAATTACAGATGTGGATCTTGAGTAGGTGAAATATAGTACTCACACAAGATATAATGCGGTGTACATATTGAAAACTTTGTTTATGGCGGAATATCTTTAATCTGTTAATAGCAACAGGGAGACACTGTACATTTTCACACACGTTTGGGATACTGCCGCCCCGTCTACATTATTCATGCTCGACGCTGTCCAGAGGACTGTCCGACTGATCTAGCACTCTTCTCTAACAGACAGACTTGGGACCGAAATCATCGGTCTAGCTCTCTTCTACCGCTACACCAATGTGCTTTCCTCAAAGCTTTCCTCGATAATGCCTCCGCGCGATGTGCCTGCCAGACAGATCCGCCTGACTTCGGGCTCCCATCCTAACCATTTCGAACTTCGTTCAGCCAGAACTGGCACACACGACCGCTTCTTTGTCCCTAGGGTGTCGAAATTGTGAACAATCTACAAGGGGAGATTTTTCCCAGTTCTACAAACTTTAGGCGGTTCAAAAATCGGATTGACAAAGTTTCTTTGGGACCCCGATAGCAGCCGCGGTGTCCTGGCATTGAGGCTTCTAAAAAAGTATCATGATTTGCAGTCAAAAGCTTTGGAAAAGTCGCAAAAAAGAACTATGGAAATTTGCTTATCACTTAAAGTTGAGTATAATAATTTATAACGACTTTTCTTTCAAGGAAACATTAAAGAATAGAGTGGAACTGTGATGAATCAAAAAGTAATAGAACCACAACCTCTTTCTACTAATTCATCTACTCTCGTATTTTTAAGAATTGGCCTCCTGGTTATATTTCCTTTTTAGGTGGGTTTTTAAATATTGTATAGTATAATTTGTTGCAGGGTATTGAAAGAAGAATTAGACAACAGACTGAGCGACATGATGACAGATACACATGATAAGGAGGAACTTAAGAGGCAAGAAGACGCATATAAAGATGGCATTGTCCAGTTAGCAGTTATCATGAGTGACATTAACAGTCAGTTCGATAATTTGATGGAAAAGTATCCTCATTTTAGCTTGGAGATTGAAAATAGGAAGAAAGATCTGGAATTTATAGAACTTGAACATGAGGTGAGTATTCTGGTGAGGAAGTATTGTAATTGCAAATTTTCGCAAATTTTATATGTTTTCTGACATGTTCCTCACGAAAAAACGTGTCACAATCCTTTGTGGTGTTTGAAAATTGATCCAGTGGCGGCGGAACTACCCGTGAAAGGCGATGAAATATAAATGTCTCAAACTTCGTGTTTTGACATTTCAGAGACACCTGGGTTATTATGTAAAAAAACATATTATGTCAAAAAATCGGTAAAGTGTCAACTTATGCAAAAGGTAGCCGCTAGCTCATTCCGCGCCTACTACAAGTTAGCGTGAAGTGAATGTCAGCTAGCTCAAAGGTGTCAGAAAAACCTACATAACGTCAATATAGCGTCACTTTCAAGGTAGGTAATACGGGTGCCGCTCATTTTCAGAACTTTTTTGGGAGAGTTTGAACGTTTAGGGGCTGTATTGGGACGTAAATGTAACTTCTTTCGTAGAAATGATGAGGTTATATCGTTAAGAAGCTTCTGATCCCGGTAATGTTACGCATTTGATAGGCAAGATATTCATGCGTAGGTTGAGACTCTGGTAAGTTTGAATCGCGCAAGATCTGGACTGTACGGAGGGTGCTCAGTAAGTTTCAGTCCAGTAGTGGTCAAGTACTCGGTGCAGGCTTTGGCGCGGTGAGCTGGAGCGTTGTCATGGTGGAGGCACCAAGTGTCCATTCTTGACTTTGGCCACAGGTTTTTCATAGACTCTATGACTTTAGGCAGGCACTGTTCCGTGTACCACTTAGCTGTGACTGTCTTCTGTGTGTCCAAAACGACACGCACCACAATTCCGCTCGATTTGAAAAATACAGCTATCACTTTTTTCTTAACAGATCGAGATTTTCTGACAGCTTTGGATGTGTCTTCATCATCAAAGACCCAAACTTTGTTTTGAGCCTTGGTCGGCAGATCGTTATAATAGAGCCAAGTCTCGTCACCCGTCACGATGCTGTTCACATACCGAGATTGCCCCTTATCAAACATTTTCAGCATCTTTCGGCACTAAGTTGTACGACGACTCTTCTGCTCTTCCGTCAGACTATGCGTGTAAATGGTCATGCAGAATTGAATGAATTGCTGGTGCATGGAGGTGTAAGGTCTCCTCTATCTGTAGGTATGTCACTCTCTGGTCTTCGTCAAACATTTTCTTACAGCAGTAATGTTTTTCTCTGTTACTGTTCATCCCCTCTCAGCGGCCTCCAGAATGAAATTGCCCCTTTGGAATTCTCTGTACCACCTGAATATAATCGTACGATGAGGACAATCATTCTTGAATGCAAGCGTCATTTCTTCTACGCACTGGCCTATGCTTAAACCACGCGTAATGTTCTACCGTAAAACTGCCCTTATCTCACTACGTGCCCACGATGCCATAGTACGCACTTTACACTGTCAATACGAATGAACAACTAAATCAGCAGACATGCTGCAGGCAGCTACTATGGTCATGTCTCAACATGCAGTAACATGCAGCATCCTGCGTCCTGCTTCCGTTTGATACGGCATATTGCAAAACTTTTATAGTACCCTTTGTACACTCCGTAACAATTTACGAACGCAGACCAGCTGTAGCAGGTGTTTTACTTCTCACGCCTACTAGCGAGAAACTATTGTGATTGCGAAACATTTTCAAAATCATAATTTGTTTCTTTTATGTGACATGACATGTCTATAAATTGGAAAGTAACGCTCGCATTTGAATGAAATTTTCACACAAGGTTACTACTATGCCAAGGCCGAAAAAGCTTTTTAGTTTTTGGAAGTGGCTGTGGAGAAAAATGCCTAAAACGGAAAAGAATGAAAATCGCTCAAACTTTGTTTTTTTGACCTTTTAGAGGCTCATGATCATTTTCGGAAAAATTTTTGTAGGGGTTGAAACTTGGGGATTTTTAGTTGTAGAGGGTAGCGGGTTGTAAATGTAACGTACAGTAGTGCGTCGATTATCCGTACGTCGATCAACCGAACGACCGCTTATCCGAACTCGGGCATGTAATTGGTGGAAAATCCAGAAAGTGAATATGTAAATGAAAAACAGGAAAATATGTCTGAAATGATAGATATGGTAAAAAAACTCAATTGCGACGAATGTGATGAAGAAGAAGTTCAACAATGGATATATTTTGACGATGATAATCCCGAATACCAAATTATGCAGGATAGCGAAATTTTAGACCTCATAACTAATAAAACTGACCCCACCGCTAGCACCTCATCAACTGCAAGTTCAGATGATAAAGATGAAGACATAATTGGTGCTTCGGAAGCGTTTACTTGCTTAGATATTTCCTTACATTGGTTTGAAGCGCAAGCTCAGAGCGACCAGTATCAAATAACTGTGACGTGACTTAGCCGCTCGTAAGCGAGTAACGATTAAAAAATCTTCAATTTTCGTCAATATATTTCCCAGAATATTTTTTGGTGCAAATACTGCACTTTTTTGTTTAATTCCTATTTGTCATAAAAGATATAAATACATATGTATGTAAAAATGGCTAACTTTCACCTGTGGATGAATATGTATGGCTATATCAAAACAGTTCGATTATCCGAAATACCAGTTTTCCGAATACCCATGTCTCCCAATTAGTTCGGATAATCGACGCTCTACTGTATTTATTATTAGTCAAAGACGTTATGTGTCTCTGTATCTCAATGTTTTGACGTTAGTATATTTATACGCCTCCAACCCCAGTAATTCCTACGTGCATATTAGACATATTTCACTCATTTACCCTTAAAACTTGGAAATATGTATTTCCAACTGTCGTGTGCCGATTCATGCGCCGCGGTCCATCTGATGGGCGTGCGTCGCAGTCGGCAGTGGTTTCCGTGCTGTTGTGGACTGTATGCTATAAAAGTGTTTCGTCATCCACGGGGATTAATCATAGCAACGATCATGTGCGCCCGCAGAACTTTTTCTCTGGGAGAGGGGTAGAGCCATCTAATTTGTTATACATGTTCGTAGATAACTTTTTCTCAGACAAGCTAACTTATGCCGAACATAATCCTTTACGAAGTGGAGACAGCGTTACGTGGAAAGTACAGAGTCAACTTGACGCCATTTTTTTTCAACCTGTTTTTATCTAATTCAAAACAATTGTATGGGAAGTACAGGGTCATCCTCCATGACGCCATTTGAGTGTGCGGAGACTGATCTTTTAGGAAAAGGAGAAAGTTTCAAGAGGGCTCTTATACCAGGAGTTTTGGATCCAGAACAAAGCCCTAATTCCTTTTTATGGGGTACATTCTGATTTTAGATGGCCGATATCGTTATGTTTGAATATCTGTGATATCTGATACTGTTACTTTTTCATATCATTGCAGGTGCAGTGAGATGTAAAGCCATATTTATTTTTATTGTTTTTTATTTGTTATAGCTTTTGTGTGTTATCGTATCGTGTGTAGTGACGTACAGAAAATTGTATTTTAGTGAAACTACTTGATCTTACACGTGCTTATTGAGAGTAAGTCGTAATTTGAACAGCTAAATGAATCGTCGGCAAACTCATAGTAATCTCTAAAAAGAGACTGATATTCAGAGCAAAATATCGGGATAAAATCGCATGCCTCAACTTCCAAAACCTATCAGACACTTATCGCTTGCAGGCCATGTGGTAATTCGACGGTGGTATAGGATTTTAAACCTTAACAGCAAGCGCATATGTGCATATCACACAAGTCGTTATGAGATCACGCTTTTTCGCAGCATTTAGAAACATCAGTTACTAAATCACAGTTCGTGGAATAAATTCCACCACTAATTCTAATAGAAAAAGTTGATTATTGGAGCCCAGCACAAACGACTTCAACGACTGGCATATAGTCCTCTACCTCTTGACTCCCAGATCATGTAGCTTGATAGAACTAAATAAGCCAGATTATTACTTTTGCAAATGCATCTATGTTAGTTATTTCATGTTTTTTTAATATATTCCAGTTAGAACTGCAGAAAGAGGCAGCTCAAGTGGCAATGCGAGACCATGGAGACCATTTGACATTGCTAGAAAGGATGGCATCTACCATCAAACCATACTACATGCAACTCAAGGGTCACGGCTTGCTCTCTACAAAGACCATCAAGGAATATGATCATATTTTAACAGCGTTCAAGGGCAAAAAGAATTTGAAAAGGAAAAATAACTTGGATTCAGGAGTCAGTTCTTCGACAAGTATTGATATGCCAGTTGATCAAGTTAAAGTTGCTGGTGAGTGATCTTGCATTTCATAATAATTTCAGCTGATTTGACGAAGTTCAATAATCATGTCCCCAATTTGTTGAGAAAAATGATAAATATGCTTTATTGTCTGATGACAAAGCTAAATTAGAACTAAACTATAACAATTACATATGTGGATTAAGGTAACGGTGAAATATTGTAGCGTTTTTCTGGGTTCTTTTGGGTGTGGATTAAAACACTGGATTCCACAAAAAGAAATGCACTAATTTATTTAACTGGATAAAACATTTATATACACCACTATTTATGTCTGACTAATTCTTATGTCACCACTTACTGCACTATACTTCACTCCACTCTGCTACTCTACCGTATTCAGTACTCTGCCTTCATCTCCCGGCTCCCGAGTTATATATAGTCCCAATTACCGCTTCGAGAAAGATCACAAAGCGACATCTAGAATGTTGAAGATCACTTCGCGTCGATCTAGAAGGCGATCCTCTGTCACGGTCGTCACAGACGCCGCCAGGGGGCTTGTGCGGTCGTATACAAGCAGAGATCGGCAATTAAGCTCTGGCGAGTAGGAGACTCACCCAACAGATGGCGCTATTTGTCATATCTTTAAATTTTCAATGCTTGGCTAGGATCAGAGATACATATGTAAATTCTTAGACCATTATAAATGATTCAGTCTTTCACAAGTGTTCACTTAGGCATTACAAATTTAAGTTTTTGTTTTTGTCTAATGTAACTTATATTTCATGTGTACAATGCTTTCGAATTTTCCAGGCTCCAAGAGGAAGAAAGAAGAAGATGACGATCGTGCACACCAAAGTTCTCCGCCCTTGGACAGAACATTTCCCATAGCTGTTTTAAGCCCTATGCCGAAACCATTGAAGGAACCTAAGCTATGTAGCTTGAACGCTCAACAGATTATAGCTAAAGGTGGGGATTGCTTAGGGGTCATTGCTTTTGAACTTATGAACGGAGTGTTCTGTAATATTACGTTTAAGAAAAATTGAAACACGTGTACATGTACGAAATTAAAATTTCAAATATGTAGGAACAGCCTCTTTTTGTGTCAATAATGTGTAATGTTGAAGAACGAACGCGTATCGCTATCCGAATCATTCTTCTATTCAGATATTTCTATCAAAAGGTTTCTAACATTATTTATTACATCACGACGTCGTAAATGTCAAAAAATCTTTTCAACATGAGAAAAATGCAGTTTATACAGTGAGTCAAAAAAGTATTGGCACACCCTATTTTTTTTTCTTGAATCTCATCATTGAAAATATGAATTTTGTGATACGAAATTTATTTGAAAACTAACATCCAAATAATCATTTTCGGTGACAATATATTAATCAAGCTGGAAATAATATAAGAATAATAACAAGAATTATTGAATGCAAGGGACAAAAAGTATTGGCATTAAAAAACGAACAAGTAAATAGACATTAACAAAATTTGTTTACAGTACTTTGTTATCATACCATTTGCATCAATTATGGCCTGAAGCCATCATTACATGGAAATTTTAAGTCATTTCTGCATAAGAACATGTAGCTGTCACTTGACACAAATTTCACTTTTTCGGGCCTTCATGTCCAGCAAGAAGCACACATTTTCAACGGGATTGATATCCGGAGATTGCGGTGAAGTTTTGAATTATGCGGACTGTTAGGCTGACATGTCTCATTTCAAATTGTTAGGTTTTCACCGTAGATATTTGCGAACATCAGAACCGAAATCTTGAAGATTAAAGTAAGATCAGGATTTCGGCTCTGATGGTCGCAAATATCTATAGTCTAATCATTTTAGACGAATTGAGATATAATTGTAAAGTCTGGTTTTATTGATGCAAGTTGTTCAAGGGGGTATTCAAACCATGGGCGCATAAAATGGGTACAGCAATTTTTGTGGAAAAACTTTTTATACAGCAACAAATGATGAGAAAATGTGAGTTTTGGGGTTCAATCAAAAGTGTTGGCAGGAACGACAAAACTATTCATATAAGATTTTTAGGTATTTATGAGTCCTACAAAATTAGACTACACGTAAAAAGATCCGACTAATAGCAAAAAAGTTATGGCCGAAAACCGAGGCAAACTGCAGGTTTGGCACTTGTTGGTAATGCGACGATGGTTTCTCGCAGATATTTGAAATTCTTCAAATTCGTAGCATTCGTACTTCTAAATAACCACAACATAATTGGAGTAGATTAGTCAAGTAGTTTTTGAGAAATTCTAATTGTTTGTCCCAAAACACCTGTTTTCCGGCCATCACTACTAGTTTATTGAGCAATATACAGGGTTAGTTCAAATGGCATTTTATAGCAAAATACATTAGTTTACCTTGCCGATATGAATCCCAAAGCATTCCGGAAGATAAATGTTATTTTTATGCAAAAAAGGATGGGTTGTTTTCTCTTCTGGCCAAATTCAAACATTTCGTATTGGTGAGTAATTCGCAACAAAAGATGATAGACACATCCGCTTTGTTTTAAAATGTGTATAGTAATGTGTTTTTCGAATATCGTAGCGCATTTGTTCAATTACTCACAAATACGAAATGTCTGAATTTGTTTAGAAGAAAAAAACGAAACATTTGTTTTTCGCAACTAGTAGCGATGGCCAAAAGGTGTTTTGGGATAAACAATTAGAAATTCTCAAAAAACTACTTGACCAATATGCTCCAATTTTGTTGTTGTTATTTAGATATTATTCCCATTAAATATTTGCGGTACTTGCTGGCCCGAAAAAATAAAAAGTCCACGAAACGACAAGATGTTCTTATGCAGAAATTGGACCAGAACTGATTCAGAATTTCCATACTATGACGGCGCTTGAGGACATAATTCATGCAAACGTTATGATAACAAAGTACTAGCTGTAAATAAATTTTGTTAAAATATATTTACTTGTTTTCTTTACCAATACTTTTTTAACTCTTGAATTCCATAATTCCCATTCTTATTCTTATATTAAATTTAATTTGCACAATCTATTGTCATCAAATTGGATTTGGATGTTAGTATTCGAATAAGTGTTGTAACAAAAAATGCATCGTTTCAAGAAACAAATGTGCGACAATGATTTTTTGATCTCCAAAGTTTTCAAATTTATGCTTCAAGCAAAATTAATTTTTAAAATTGTTTGTTTTACAAAATTACATAATTTCAAATAGCAGTAGCTAAAGGTTTGAAAATTAGTTTGTGAGCCAAAGCACAATGAACATTTGAAAATATGCAGGCTTATTCAAAATGAGTTGGGCCATAGAGATACTTTTGCTTGATTCATTTTGTAACAGGGACATTTTTGGGTGTTACATCCTTTTGTTTCACTTTTTATTCTATAAATATTGCCAGTATTTCTTAATCAGCCTGGATGCACAAGTTTTTTGTATAATGCTCTGATACCATTAAATATTTCTTTTTTGTGATTCTACTGATATTACTTGTACATAATTTTGCGTTGTTATTCCAGTGTGTGGAAAGCAGATGGCTCAGAAGTGCCAAAAGAAGGAAAACATGCCTGCACCTAGATCAGTTCGTGTGATAAGGACAAGAAGTGCAGCGAGGATGAATGCCAAGGCTAAAGTTGATACAGGACTAAGAGCAATAGGTATGTTTCATGGTCACTATTCTTTTACTTGTTTAGTAATCACGAGATCAGTTTGATATTTTTTTGTGGAAAGTTTGAATTGATTTGACAGCCATATAAAGTATAATTTTGCTTTTATTTACATAATAACCGGCTCAAATATGAAACTCCCACCACTGAACAAACTAGAAACAACTGAATCTTGACTGCACTTCCTATGGAATGCCGTCATCGGTTCATGAAGGATTAAACTTAACGCAATGTAAATCCTTTAGAGAAAAAAGTCAGTTAGGAACATGTACAACATGGAAATTATGCGAATCAAGTCAGTCAAACAGGCCCAGACACATAGTCCTCAGACATTCTTTCCCTGTCCTACCGGTAGTTACTGACCATCTGGCAACGTTGTCCCTTTCCACACCTGCCCACAGTTCATTCCCTGTATATTTTTTGTGCGCTGCAGTACGGATAGCCTAATCAGCCGGACCTTTACGCCAGACGGTGAGCTTAGCTAGCAGGAGTCGGCGATCGAAGACATTTCTCTACTATTATAAGTTTTAAAGGCAAATACGGCTACACTGTTAGACATAATAGTTAACATATATTTTCCCTACATCTACTAAGGAAACAGAAATATGACAAATTTGCTTTATGAAGTTTGATATGCAGATGTCGAGGATTCATTATGTCTAAGTGAACCTACCTAATAACGATGCGATATCGCCTTTTGAAACGATTTGATTCGTCGCTTTTCTTTGAAAACTCCAACAAAGGCGTAGGAAGTATAGAGTCGATCTACTTGACGCCTTTTTTATAAATACACATATGTTTTTCTGAATTTTATTATCCTTAAATTTACTCGCCTATTTCGCCTAACCTTTAATGTGTATCGTATATTATGGTTCTCTGAATATTTTGTCAAGTAGATTCACTCAGTACTTATTACATATTGTTATAAAATAGACACGGAATCACAAGCCGACATAAATGAGAAACACGAACTTATGTAATCCAAATATCTTCAAGCAACAGAAGACTTGTCAACTGAAGTTCGAATATAATAATAATAGCGTTTATTTGCAGAGCAAATACAAAAAGAAAAAATTAAAAATGAAGAAACAACATGAATTCCCTGCAAAAGGGACTAGTAAACAGACGAGCTGATCAAAGTACTAGCCCAACAAACAAAATTACAATAGAGGAGTTATTAACCAAATTATATAAGTTAATATTAATAATTTATAAATAATAATTACAAACGTCAAAAAAAATATATGTATATAAAGAAATTATATAATTTTACGAAAAGGGTCAAATTATTTTAGGCAGATTTAACAAAAAAAAACATTTAAAATAAAAAAGGAAAGGAACAATATAAAGTAAACACTACAATTCATCTAATAGAAATTTTGTGTAACTTCTTTTAAAAGCTGACACAGACATAGACTTAAGGTTTGTGGGGACGTGATTGTACAAGTGGTAGATAAAATGAGAAAAACATCTGTTAAACATAGATGTACGATGACGTGTTTGGGAAATCAGTTTCCGATACCGAACATTGATATTGTGAACATCACTTCGAAATGTAATCTTATTATATACATAAGGTGGAGTTTATTATAGAATAATTTTATGAAACAAAACTGCAGAGTGCAGATTTCTCCTAGCTTCCATATTTAACCATCCTAATACAGGTAACTTATAAGAAATATGTTAGAATTTTTTCACTCTGAAAATAAGCCTAAGACAAGAGTTTTGGACACTCATATACGATCAACATCATACCTTGTTATACAAGACCCATAAACTGAGTCACAGTAATTGAATAATGACAAGCGTGTCACAAAGCAGAACCTTAAGTTCAGTAGAAAAGATATGAAGATGTGGAAATAACATTTTAAGCCGACCATAAGCACGGCAAAATGCACTTATCAACATTCTTTGAAAACCTCGGGTCATTATCCATAATCAAGCCTAAATTCCTAGTAGCGGATATATGAGGAATAACATTATTATTAATTGAAATATGGAATGAATCTGCCTCGCTCTTTTTGTCTTTCCCGAACAATAAAACATTTGACTTGGTTGGATTTACATATAACTGATGTGCTATGCTTTCATTTGTCAAATTACTAAGATCTTCATTTAATAATGTAACAGCAGTTGTTGTATCTGTATGAGAGAACGAACATTTTATCTGGGTATCATCAGCATATAAATAAGGCCTTGAATATATCAAACTACTAGTAATGTTTGCAGAGTATACTGAAAAAAGTAATGGACCCTAGATAGAGCCTTGAGGTACACCACACAGAACAGGCTTGGAAACAGACACCCCGGAAGAGGTTATGACAAACTGCGTCCTCTTCGAGAAATAACTTTTGAATAGTTTAATAGCATTAACGGAACGTCTCATGTATTTTAAAATAGAAAACATTAACTGGTACAGGTATATTTTGTGTTTTAGACTTGCCAGCAATATCTAGGCTTTGCAATTTCTTCCAAATAGATAGCCTTTGAATTCCCTCGGCAGCTGTTAAACGAATACTTAAAATATGATTTTTGTTCAGCCCTAACAGCATTGGTGGTGAGATTCCTCATTTGTTTATAATAATCCCAATGTACCGGCAAACCTGTTTAAATTTTCGAAACGTCTTGTCACGAAGAGACAGCATTAATTTAACATTGGCGGCTAACTATCGCGAGTTCAACACTTCCATAGTTTAGGTTCAGGTAGTAGTAGATTTAGATTCAGCGGCGACGGAATTGACAAAAAAATAAAAGTCGCTGGAGCATAGTGTTACAACGTTTCAGAGATTCATGCGCATTTGCAGACCTTACTTGGAGGGGTTGACTTTTGTAGGTTGCAAACTGTATGCGATAAATGGTTGTAAATTGTTGCTTGTTTGGTGTTAGTGAAAGACCTTCTATTATTAAGAAGTTGCTGATCTCGATGACATTACATTATTAGGCATAATAAGTCACATATATTTTCCCTACGTCTGCTATGGAAACATGATAGATTTATTTTGTATAGTTTGATATGTAGAGGTTGTGGACCTACCTAGTCACGATTCTATTCCGCCTTTTGAAACAACTTGACTAATCCATTTTCTTTGAAACTTCCAATGAAGGCGCAGGAAGTATAGAATCAATCGCAGGTGCGCCACTGGACCAACGGTCAAAAATTAAAAAGCTTCTTCGTCCTTGGTATAGTAGTAACCTTGTGTGAAAACTTCATCCAAATCCAAGCGGTACTTCCCAAGCTTTAGGCGGTTTAAGGCGGACAGACCGACGGAAATGAGTTACATGGTTTTTCGTGATGTACATGTACAACATCCAGTGGCGTAGGAAGTAAAATCAAAAGCATAAGCACAGCGAACGGAACTGGCAGCACCTGCCTAACCCTTATGCCTGGATATAGGAAATACGTTATCTGTCAAAACCGATAACAGAAAGAATGAATATGATTATGTTTTTTCTCATTGTTTCAGCTAAATCACCATCCCCAAGGCCTCAAAGAGGATATTCGAAACGTCGTTAGTACTAGGTAAGTTATAAAAAAGTAATCACAAACATGTAGTTCTTTTCACGGTTTTTGGCAGGTCACAGAGAAACAACCTGTACCACATACAGCTACAAACCATGAAGTGAAAAAGGCAACGTCACAACACGACGAAAATCTTCAGTAAAGACTGATCATAAACGGATTATCAGAATTTTGCGATTATTATTATTAATATAGGGATCTACTATAAACGATAGATAATCATACTTGCATTCAATCTGGATATATCTATAAAGTAATGTACTAAATGTTCTAAGAAAAATAAATGAAAAGTGTTACTGTATAACATAATGTATGTAAAACTGCAATGATTCACTGCTTATACGTTTTCCTTTTTTTGAAGAAGTACACAAAGTATTATATTGTCTTTGAAAAAAAAAATATGTAGGTCTATCTTGGGAAATATGAGTGTGTCTTAAAACTCATATTTCTGGCTAGAGTACTACGTCCAACAAACATAGATCTATGAAAAACTCATCATCATGAAGTGTTGATGTAATTATTTGAAGATGCTATTGAATTCGTAAATACATATATCCATAAATAACTGTTGACCTTCTGCCCTCTTATGCAAACTGCATCGTATAGCCTCCCAGAGAAGTTTAGCAGATGGTTGGCTGTCTCCTCCGGCCACAACGTCAACTAGGGTGTTCCCCAGGGAACAGTCTTGGCTCCGACACTGTTTCTTTTACATATCAACGACCTCCTTTACTGTACCGTCAATCAAATCTACAGCTTTGCTCATGACAGCTCTCTATGTGCAGGAGTTCAGAGTGAGCTGGAGTAAAGAAGACTAGTAGGCGACTTCCGTTCTGACAAGAGACCTGCTGCTTGGGGACACAACAAACTTGTACAGTTTAATGCTTCCAAAACACGGTACTGTACCTTGACGAACAAAAAGCGTCCTAGTGCTCATTCGGTTTCGATGCATGGCCGAGTTTTGCCAAAGAGCCGTTCATTTCGGCTGGTCGGATTCCAGATCACCTAAGACTTGATCTGGCACGAACACATCTCGTCAGTAACGGCACTATATATTGGGTCCAATATTAAGTTTTTCATGCAATGTTTTTTGTATACCGAGTGTTTCAGAAAAGTGTCATCGAACAAAGTTGTATTTTTTAAATGGAACACCCTGTATATTTTCAGTGAAAATGATAGTTTTTTCTGATTCCAATTATACACGGTTTGTCAAACCTATGTTTATTACTTTAGTCAAAAACTTGATGTTTGTGTGTCATTTAATCATATGTAATCCGTCCCGCATAGGCGACTAGATGCGGACTGGTTCTAACTCTGATACACATGCGTAAATGACACTCAGACTTTTCAAAACTCATCAAAAGACCCGCGTTTCTGATATGTAAAGATTTTTATGATGTTTTTTGCTACTAAACATGTATGGCAATAGAACATTTTTAAAACTGTGTTTTGTTTCAGTGGCTGGCAGTTGATCTCAGGCACGTCAAAACGAAATACACGGCAATATTATGTTTAAAACATTTATATTAAAACAATGACATATTTGATACTATTTTATACATTAACCCTATAAATTGCCTTCTTGATTTCAATTGAAATGTCACAAATGTGTTTATTTTCTGTTTTTATTGTGAATAAATGTTATACTACTAAATGTGTTTTATTATATGTATATTTTTTCAAATCAGCTCTCCAACTTGAAATATAAGATTCTTAAAAAAATTTGCCCTAAATATTTAAGGTCATACTGTCTAAATAACTGGCAAATATGTCAAATACACCGACCGATTAATCAAATGAGCAATTTGAGGTTAGAAAAAAATTGAATTTTCATCTTTTGTCACTATTATATACCGCGTATGGCCATAAAACTTGAAGCTATCTGATAATTACAAGAATAATTTCTGAATTCATAAATTTATGATATTATCATATATCTATACTCTATTTCATGAGTATCCATCACGCTTTGACGTCTACTCAGGTGAACAGCTGATCAGCAAGAGATATTTTTGTGTTAGTCTGCGATGTTGGCAATAATGAAGCTAGTAAAACTTGTTTGTAGCGTTTTGTTTGTATGCAAGTTAACTTTTCTAAATAAAAGAGCTGTTAGCAACTACAAAATGAATCTGTAGCGTACAAAATACGGCTCTGACGTTGAAGAACACATAATTATGACAGATCCGTAATCGCCAGGTAGACAGAGCCAAATTTGGTTTTGATTTTTTGTACACTACAGATTCATTTTGTACTTGCTAACAGCTCTTTTATTTAGAAAAGTTCATTTGCATACAAAAAACAAAATGCTGTAAACAGGTTTTACTAAATTTACACCCGATTCATTATTGCCAACGTTGCAGACTAACACAAAAATGTCACTTGCTGATCAGCTGTTCACCTCAGCAGACGACAAAGCGTGACGGATACTCGTGAAATAGGGTATACTGACGTGGGCATGGTAGAGCAATAGCCATTGATCACGTCTCAGCACTGACCCTAAATTGTTCAGCAATAAAGCTAATGAGTGTACCATGGATGAGATTGGCAATGAAATCGCCAAGTTAAATACGGATCTAAAGTGCATATCTAGAAATACCATGCTTTCTCAGCTATTTTTAATTATAAGTATTGACTGCAACGTCTCGATGAAATCAAGGAAGTAGATGCGACGTACGAAGAAAGACTGCATTAACACCCCAATGGAGAAGCTCTTCAACTGGTGGACAACCACAATGCTGTCTGATGATTGAATAGGATTACGCCGCGCGAATTTATGTACTGCCGAGCATACGCCCGAGTTCTTAATGATAGCATTAATTCTACGTTAAAATTATCTAAGGGAAATCAATGCTGAATTACCTCTAGTGACGTGTGACTTTGTAAGAAGACAGAGGAAAATTAATGGTTAATCGAATTGATTAGTTTTAATATTCGCGCATCAAAGCTACTCTAAAAATACACAAAAACATTTTCAGTCGAATAGACGATGAAAACCCCGATCCGTAAAAACGTCTGCAACGGCCCATTCTTCATAATACGGTCCTGGGCACAGAGGTGGAAATTTTATTTCTATTTTCGTCGTTCCATGCACTGTAACATATGTGAACATAAGGGATATTGGTACCCCTGTTGGTATGTTTGAGGGTTATGTTTACGTCTGTCAATGTCAAAGTTGAGAGGGAAACGAATAAGGAAGTGTTGAATAAGATTCTAGATTTCTGAAATCAAATTTCTACTTGATTCCCTGTTTTTAAAAGTCTTTATGAGTGCGTGTTCCAAAGTACTACTGATGCACAGTTCTATAAGACAAGGAAATTGTATCTTTTTTATCCTGAAAATTTGTAGGACACCTAAATAGCACGTTTCAAACGTAACCATTGCACAATTTTCATTTTGATTACTACTTTAATTTAAAAGGACCTAGAGTATAATTACTATAAAATAACATGAAACTGGATCTTGATATGGGAAACTTATATGCAAGATTAATGTTGTTGTGACTATAATAGGTAATGGATATAAGCATTTTAGCTAGGCGATTTTTTATATATATATATATTAATTTTCAGTTTTGATGCCACTGAATTGTGTTCTTAAAAGTTCAATATGGTATCTAAATCTGATGAAAATTTCATGAAAATGGAAATATATGGAGATAGCACTGATCAAGGATATGGAACGTAAGAATTTATCCATCTCTACAAAGGATTTCTGTTAAATCTTATATAAGAATCTATAAATCTAATGGATTTTTTCCTCCCTATTCTTTGTTGTGTGGCTTCTTTTTTAATATCACTATCAATATTGCAGATTATCAGAAACTTCAAGCACATGTGATTTCAATGAGATAAAGAACGATACTGAAGAAGCTGATGAGCAGACTGACTTTAAAGTCATTATATATGAGTTCAATGATGACATAGAAATTGTAGTTCAACCAGTTTCAAAATATGATGGAAAAGATAATATAAGGTTTCACAAACTTTTGACAAAAAGTAAGAAGAATAAAGGTAAAGTTTACAATTCAACAATTTAATGTAATTTTTTTTCTGATACTGTATTTCTTCTGTTACCATGACCAACTTAAAACAATGCTGATTAGCAGCTCACAGAGATGTTGCACTGCACCATCATGGTTGACTGTCAGGTGGTTCAAATACTGAGTATTCACAGATACTGCAAGAATGGATGCTTGCTTCCCATTTCATCTGTCTGTAAGACTAGACCTAATAACACCTATACCGCACTAAAGAGTTGCTGATGAGCAGAAAACAGTCCTATCTGTGGTTGGTCATGGTTACAGAAGACTGAAAGGAAACATGTTCATTTCTGGTGTGTCTGTTTATGCTTAGCTGGTTTGCTCTGTCAATACCTAGTGTTCTAACCAGTTGACTGTGATGATGTGGTGCAACATCTCTCGGCTTAGTGCAGAATGACAAGTGGTAATGGGCTAGAGACCATAAGGGAATTATAATAACTTGCAGTAATTGCATATATTTGAAGGATGGCATACATGTCATAGACTTATGTACATTTTTTACATTTAATGCAGAAAAGAAACTACCATGGGCACCTCAAATACTCAGACCAAAAAGCATTTTGACAGAGATGCCATCACAAGGACTGACCAAAATGCAAGGTCTTGGTTTGGGTAAACAACCTGAAACGATAAAAATTCCTACAACAGAAACATATGCTGTTCCAAAAAAACAAAAACCATTGTTAAGTGGTGAAATTAAAAAAGAGCCAGAATCTTATAGAAATGTTATGGTGGAAACAAAATTTGTTAAGAAGCAAGAAGAAAAATCATTGTTGGATGAACAAATAAAACAAGAGCCAGAAATTTGTAGATCACTTACAGCATGTACACATTCTGTTAAACAAGAAAAGACATCTTTCTTCAATCAACAAATTAAAAATGATACAGAAGTATCCAATAAAATAACAGAAACATACTCTTCCAACCAACATCAGAAATCATGGATAGATTTTGTGAATAAGAAAATCAAAGAAGAAGCAGAGGCTAGCAAACCAAATGCACAAAATATATATTCCTTAATTCAAGAGAAGAAACCATGGTTGAAAAATAGTTTCAGTTCTGAATTTGATAAGGTATGGTAAAGAAAACTTATGCAATGGGAGAATTGAATTATGAATCTGTTAAACCTGAGCCAGTATTCTTGTTTTTGAACACATTTTGTTTATCTAGTTTACATTTCAACAAAGAATCATTTTTTACTTCTTGCACCACAGGGAGTAAAAAATTTCGAAGATGAGATATGTTTTTTTGGATGTTATATGACATGTACATCACAAAAAACCATGTCACTCATTTCCGTCATAATAACTATAACTTGAGAAGTACTGCACAGATTTAGAAGAAATTGACGACAGAGAAAGAGGCCAAAAACAGAAAAAATAAAAATTCCCAAACTTTGTTCTTTGACGTTTTAGAGGGTGATGATCATTTTCAGAAAAATTTTTGTAGGGGTTAAAATTTGGGGGTTATAGGGGGTCAGAGATGTTTAATGATTTTTTTAACTTGGTATATTAATACGCTCCCACCCCTCGGTAATTCTATGCACCTATCAGCCATATTGGGAAAGAGGCTAAAGGCAGATGTACAACATAAAAAATGACCCTAGTAAAAGTTGAACTGTTTTTTGATATATTGATTTTTTTGTCTTTTTCGAAAAATTTCGTTTGATCCACCTTTGTTGCTGATTAAGCAGTAATTGAGCAGTAGCAATTTTATTTCATTGCTGAATACCAAAGTTGAGTTAAATGGTTTTCTAAAATAAAAATTACGAAGATGAAATTAGTTTATCAAGTTTACCTATTTATATTTACCGAAAATGACATTTCAAATGGCACACCAACTATCTAAGAATATTTTGCAAAAAACCAGACAGATATCTTGTTATTTCTAGGCACAGCAACAAAAAATAGATTAAAAGAGGACATTTTTCGAAAAAGACAAAAAGATTAATATCTCAAAAACAGTGAAACTTTTAATAGGGTAATTGTTTGGTTTATTGTAGATCTGCCTTTTGCCCCTCGTCCCTATTTTTTTGTCGTACAATTTACCGAACACCCTGTATATATGTATCCGTATCGAAGGGACAGTGTTGCCACATGGTCGGTAATTGCCACTAGTGCAGGGAAAGATTGTCTGTGGACAAATTGCATGGGCCTGTTTGACTGACTTAATCAGTTTGATTTCTCTGTTATACATGTCTGTAACTCTTTCTCAGAGGATTTAAATTGCGGTTGCGTAGGAAGTGCAGAGTCAACAGACTTGACGCTATTTTTTTTATGTACTCATCTCCAAGGATACTGACATTTATAAGATGTGATAACAGAATATCTAGTGTTTTAGGTAGCTAAAGATGAATCATATACTAAGTGACATATAAATCCGAACACCCAGTTTAAATGGTTTTATTTTAATAAAATTTTGTATAAGTACTTAATGAAGCATAATAAGTAAATGATAAAAATTTCAAAATGATTGCACTGCTTTAAAGCCGTTGGACCTTTAATAATGTGTGGATGCACCCTGATGTGCTACGCCTTCTCCAACGCGCCTAGGCATGCTTCTGATCAGGTGGTCAATGTCCTCCTGTGGTATCTCATTCCAGGCAAGCACCAACTCCTCTAGAAGTGCTTCTAGAGTGTGAGGAGGACGTTGCAAATTGAGCAATCTCCTACCCATCATATCCCACACGTGCTCAATTGGGGATAAGTCGGGAGATCTTGGTGGCCATGGTAACAATGTGACATCATTATGTTGAAAGAAGTCTATTGTGACTCTTGCAACATGTGGTCGGGCATTATCTTGTTGGAAAGTTGGATCTGCCAGGGTGTCAAGATAGGGTAAAAGATGGGGTTCTAGAACCTCGTGGATATAACGCTGCGCGTTCATGTTACCTCTGATGAAGATTAAAGGTGACCTGGAACCATAAGCTATAAGCACCCCAAACCATAACTCCAACAGTGTGATGAACATGTCTTTCAACAAAAAACTGTGGATTCCTCCTTTCACCACGTCGCCTTCTAACCCTGGCACGACCATCGTGCATGCCTAGACAAAATCGAGACTCGTCACTAAAGACAATACTGTTCCATTCCTGATCCCAGAGTGACCGTTGTCTGCACCACTCAAGGCGATTACGTCGGTGTTCTCGAGTTAAAGGTAGGACCCAGTGTGGCCAGTATGAAAACAAGCCAAAACTTCTCATTCGTCGGTAAACACTTCGCATGCCAATAGGTCTTCCGTGTTCTGCAAACCATTCATTTGCAATGGATCTGGTAGTGGAGAAACGGTCCCTTAAGGCCAATAATCTTAGGCGGCGATCTTCACGGTCTGTTGTTCTACGGCGGCGTCCAGTGCCCCTTGCTCTTTGCGTACGGCATTCTCGAAGCCATGCCTGACAATACCTAACCACAGTGTCTACACTTCTTTGCACTCTAACTGCAATTGCCCGAAAAGAAAGTCCAGCTTCCCGAAGTCCCACTATACGGCCCCCATCAAACTCACTAAGTTGACGAAATCGTACAGGTCTCCGTACTCTAGGCATCGTAACCGATCGTAAAGGATGTCAAGAACCAAAATCCGCCAACGTTGATTCTTTACTGCGGCTGAAATATTCATTTTTAGAGCGTTAGTGAATTCAAAAAAAGCAGTATAAAAACCGGAATGTCCAACTGATAAGGTTGAAAATTTGTTCACTTGTTATTTACACTAAGATAAATACATTCACCAACTTTTATTAAAATAAAACCATTTAAACTGGGTGTTCGGATTTATATGTCACTTATTATATTTTAACATACATGATGCACTTTAGGTAAATCTTTTCAAACATTTCCAAATCATTTTTCTTACTTTTTAGTTTCTTCTGTATAAAAAAGATCCCAGCCTGATTCCAAAACCGATTCCAGAACCTGTAAAACCAAAAATGAGTATTGAGGAGAGGGTGAGTATTTTCAAATATTTGAAAATGTTATGTTTGAATAATTTTTCATGTGATGAGTTTCATTCAATTAATTTACAGTTGAAAAATAGGTGTGCTGTATATTATGCAGGATTTGAGTTGTGCGCCAGAGTAAGACCAAGAGAAAATAAGAGAACAGGACTAAGTAATCAGCAAATACTCTTTAGACAAAAAATCTTGAACAGGTATGAACAAAATAGCTCCTCTTGTGATACTCATCATATTTTGGATGGCCAATAGTTAAAGCTATGAATGCTATGAACTCTTGTGCTTATAGGGATACTGTAACAATCACTTACACTTACAGCATTACACCTTGTTCATCAGGTTTATCATTCTATAATTCCATTAAATTTCAGTCCTTCCATTCGACCTAAACGTCCTTGTGACGATATCCATCAGAACACGTTTAAAATTGTCAAACACAACGAAAAAGTACTTCTAGACCGTTTAAGAACTTGTGACATTGAAGAAGACACATATCCACTAAACGAAAAAATTGTGGAATGGCAGTATAATCAGTTGAAGAGATACTGGCAGTATAATATTTATGCAACAAGGTAGATCATCCATATACAAACACTTCCGATAGACTGTTCTGTTTAAACTTTTTGTTATTTTTGTGAATCTGATTTTACATTATACAATTAAATTTTCTCTGGTAGGTATATTAACTTTGGTTGTATTTTAGGTCCAAGATACATGGTACGGGTCTGTTTGCAGCAAGACGCTTACAAAAGTGCTGTATGATTATTGAATACATAGGAGAGATAATTAGGTCTGAAGTTGCAGAATGTCGAGAAAGGAAAAATTTGATGAAGGTATTGTTTGAGTATTTTTGCTTATTCCAAGTTCTACAAGAAAAAACATCGTCTGAATGTGGGAATTGATCAACATACCGCACTGGGAGATGTTTAAGCCAATTGAAAGCTGTGTCTGCGCGAATAGGAACGATACTGATCAGGATTCGAATCTTGCCGCTACCGTATTAGAATAGTTGCCCTAATGGTTTTGATTTAATTTTGATCATTTAGTATGGAGTTTGGATTATTGACGATTGTTGAATACATGCTAAGTAGTTTCGAATATTATGTTTTCAGTGGCCATAAATCCTGAACCCCTCCCCAACCCCCAAAAAAATTTCAAATTCATCATCCTCCATAATTTTTTCGAGATCCGCCCCTGTATATTTCTACTGAGGAAATATACCATGCAAATACTACTCATATAATTGCACAATTTTCTAGGTTGAAGTCTGTTTGTTAACATGCGCATCACAAAAACCTATGTCAAAGTTTAGTTGTATGTCTTTCAAAAATGGTAGAAAAAATGATGATGTAAGATTAAAAAGGAGGGCTTGATCTAATTTTATACAATTTGTGGTCTGCTTGAGCTGTGTTTCGGTAATAGTGAGGCTGCTTTTCACAATCCTCCATGTTTTTCTGGCCAATAAAACCATACAGGGTTTATCCAAATTAAGTGTCCACCATTAGTACTTTTTATTCTGATGATACAAAGTTGTTTGAATTACAAACTAGTAGCTTTTTAACGCTGAAAAATGAAAACTAAAAAAAACAACTTATCAATGATATTTCATAAAAAAACCAACTGTCACCTAAATGAAACAATAAGTTAAATCTTTGGACTTTAAAGCACATCTTTTAAACGGAAAAGTTCTAACCGAATTTCAGCACATTCAATTTCATGTTAAATGCATCCGATAAACGGACGCTCTTATAAACGGACGCGGACACTAGATTTTCCTGTATGTGATCAAAAAATCTCCCATAAGCGGACGCGAAACTCTAATACCCGGACGATTTTTTAGTTCCGCTTATTGCAATGCACATATCTACATACATAAAATTCGGTAATTCCCCGATTTATATTAGGTGATTCCCCATTTACGCATTTCGTTGGGTAGCCTGTATGTAATCTTGTGGCTTGTCTTCAGTTCAGGCAAATTCGTAGTTGATTGAGTTACGTATTTTATTATTGTAACTGTAAAATGGCACCAAAAAAAAGGATGCTCTCGTTAAAGGAAAAGATGGAAGTTGTTAACGTATTAGACAGAGAAAGTGTTTCAGTTCGTCATTTGGCAAAGAGGTTTAATATTGGGAAAACGCAAGCAGCTGAAATTGCCAAAAATAAGGAAGATATCAGGAGTAAATGGCAATCAGGAACTAATATAAATCAAAAGAAGGATTTTTTAAAAAAGGAAGGTTTTGCTATAGACAAAACATGTTTTGAGTGGTTTGTGAAAGCTAGAAGTCAGAACATTCCAATCTCAGGGCCGTTAGTGAAAATGAAAGCTAAAGAAATCGCCACTACTTTGGGCTATAATAATTTCAGTGCGTCCGACGGGTGGCTGCAAAAGTGGCGCAAGAGACATAGTGTGAGTTTCAAATGCATATCTGGCGAAGCTGCTGCAGTAGATCAAGTTGATGTGTCACAATTTTTGGAGAAACTTCCGTCCATGTTGCTTGGCTACAAACCAGAAGATGTGTACAACGCAGATGAGAGTGGACTTTTTTTTCGCGCATTGCCCGACAAAACTCTGTCCTTTAAAGGAGAAACATGTATGGGTGGACAGTTGTCTAAAGATAGACTAACCATTTTATTCTGTGCAAATATGGCCGGTGAAAAATGCGATTTGATTGTGATCGGGAAAGCGGCTCGTCCCCGTGCTTTAAAAAACGTTGCTATTAAGGATCTACCAGCGACTTGGAAATCCAACAAAAAGGCATGGATGACCCGAGAAATCATGTCTGAGTGGTTAGTCGAATTCGACCGGAAAATGAGAATCCAAAAAAGGCAAGTTCTTTTATTTTTAGACAATGCATGCTCTCATCCTCGTGATATGAAATGAAAAATGTGAAAATTATATTTTTACCGCCAAACACAACTTCTGTTTGTCAGCCCATGGATCAAGGTGTCATACAGAACTTCAAATTTTATTATCGGCACTTGATTTTAAAACATATTTTAACAAAAATTGACGATGGTCAAAGCTTATCTGAGCTTACAAAGTCTATCAATGCGTTAGAAGCTTTGTATTTTATAAAAACAGCATGGAATAAAGTAAATTCCTCTACAATTAAAAACTGTTTTGGCAAAAGCTGGATTCAGAAAAAGTGAATGTAGCTCAGAATTTGCTGAGCAAAATTATTGCGATGCTGAAGACGATCTGCCCTTAGCGACACTTGCTCAGTTACTGCGACATGCCAAACATTTAGGAGTAGCAGATCCCCAGAAAGTAGATGATTTCCTGGCCATAGACAATAACATAACAACAGAAGAAAATGCCATTGGCAACTTTTCGAATTTGGATGTAATGTAATGTCCAAACGACTCAGAAGAAGAAGTGGAACTGGTGGACTCACTAAGCGGTTCAAAAACGATAAATTCATATGGGGAAGCTCTAAATCATATTTCTATATTGAAAAAATTTGCTAAAGATGATTTCACTGCATTTCAACATTTGAAAAATTTAGAAAGTCATTACTAAAATTGTCTCCTTCAGCAAAAGATGGTGAAATTTCGTCAGACAAACATTTTAAACTTTTTTCAACAAGCTAAAGAATAATGTTTTTTTTAAATTCTCGTACCATGTATTGAAGCATTTATGTTTTTGTATGCGTATATGTACATATATTATATAGATATATAGCATAAATACATACTTTAAAAATGTGGCGAGTTTCTGTTTCATTTTTCTCATGATTATAATACCTCATTTCCTCATGATTATATACCCCGTTATTTATACTCTATACTTACATACTCTCTTTTAAACGGACACCTCCCATAAGCGGACAAAAGTTACGGAACCGTGAGTGTCCGCTTATGGGAGCTTTCACTGTATATTGTTATTGTACTGAAGAAGATCCCATTTGTGATTGAAATGTTTACAGTAAAGAAGATTCTGTCCATACATGTGGTTTTACTGGACAGACAAGCATGGGGAATTATCGACATGTACACTATAGGATAAGTTTCAGATGTTACATTAACTGCTTTTTATACTAACCAGTGCGAAATACATACGAAAATTTACTTGGAAAAATATCTGTTAGACCTGTTGTCATCATTATGAGTTTTGCAGTCGATGTCGCCAGAAGAGTAAAACACAAAATTTGGCCGCATATTTAAGTTTAGAGTGGAACATTTAAGAAAAAATTGGTCGAAGTTGCCTAAATTTTGATATGAAATGTTTGTTTCCGGTTTTGCATTTTAATGTCTTCTAAATTTCAGATATGATTTTTTGAACAAACTTTTAAACCTCACTTTTTTTCGTTATCCACGGTAATAGTTTGGTTGGCTCATAATAAACAGATGTAGTTTGAACTGAAGTAACGCGATGGCCATCCGATATCGCTGCGATGTATAAACAATACCTATAAGCAACCTGATTTGACCAAGCGCTGGATGGAATTGAGTGTGCAAAATACTAGGACCACACTTCGTAGACAGATATCAGCTGAGAAAAAGCAGAGAATAATAATCTGGATTTTTCCCTGCCACCTTTTGGTATATTTTATTTAATCCCCTCCTCTCTTGAATCATTACACAAAAAGTTGTTTTTGTTTTTTTTCTGAGTTCTTAGTAACTCTTCTCTAAAGTTAGTCGTTTCCGATCTATAAGCCACTTAATGCCTGAAAACACTAAAAATGCTCATCCAGAATAATTAAAATCATTATTTTTGAGGTTGCCAAGTATTTAAATCAAAACTAAAACCTTCCGCTACAAGACTCCGCAGGTTATTCCAAGAGTGACATATCTGAAGCCATTTTTAAACTACCTTTTAATTTTCGCAGACTACGTATTGTGCAGTCGCTGGATGTAATTGAGTTTATAAAGAGATATTAAATGAAAAATGAGAAAAGGTCCAGGAAAAATAATCCAGATTGTGCCAGCCCGCTTTTTGGACCATTTTCTTTTACCCCCCTCTCCCCCTTCCTCCTTGAGTTTAAAGGAAATGTTCAGGGCTTGCCTATCGCAAACGATGTACGATATATATTCGATCCGCGGCATGCCGACTCGTAACGCGCGCGCATTGGCAACGCTGCATTTTTCAATAAATTTATTTATCGAAGGTGTATAGTATTTCATCTGAAATATGCAAAATATTCTGAATAATTTGTTTTTTATAATTAAAGGGATAATAGGTTGTTCAATGAAGCATCAAAACAAACGTTGTTAAAACTTTATAAATAAAAAAGGAATGTCAGTAGGGATGCAAGAACTGGAATATTTGTTCTTTTTACTTCATACGCCAATGGGCGAGGGTGATGATTTCCTTTTACTGCGATCCCCCTTGGCAACTTGACCGTGACGAAGCAAATTGTATGAGAACGTCCAAATACAGTATAGGATTGAGCGCCTTCTTATTGAATCCGTTAATCAATAATATCTATATATTTAGTAGAATCATTACTCTACTCCGAAACAGGATAATAACTATTGTTTTGATCGTTTTTTTTTTAGAATCGGCTGACATACATGTTCAGATTAGATGAAGACAGGGTAGTTGACGCCATGTATCACGGAAGTCTAGCAAGATACATCAATCATTCCTGCGATCCAAACTGCTTTGCAGAGATTATAGAATTAAAAGGAGATCTGCGGATTATACTGTTTGCCAAAAGGGACATTTACGAGAATGAAGAGGTAAGAATAAATCTACGAATGCGCAATTTTTTCTCTGGTTAAGTAATTTTGGGCTCGCTAATTTAAATCCATATCGTCGTCGCCAAGAAATCTTTCCAAATTATTACTTCATCTCACAGATGCCCAACTCTATGCTTTAAAATCGCTGGTAATTCCCTCGGAAGTGATAAAAATACACTTCATTGTCGTTTTAAAGAATTTGTTTATTCTTAAGCATAACATCAATGTTCAAAGAAAAAATCACCCTTCAACATTCCTCGTTATTTTTTGTCATTTTTTTATGTTTCAAAAGTATCTTCATGTAAATGACTCAAAAATTAAGCAGTATGTTCCAGTAAATGTACACAATGATTTTTTTTTTATTTTCAAAATCGTAGGTATAAGAAATAGCAGCCATCTACAAAAGCTAAATGCTTGATTTTTATACCTAATCAGTGTTTCGTATCAACATTCTTGTGTACCTTTGGCGTGCAAACAGATATGTTAAACTTTGGTCATTGAAATAAAATGTAGCTCAGGAAGTCGGACCATATTCAGTTGTGACCTATGCAAAAAACCCAATATGCGAAAAATTTATGAGGCTTATGAGGGGGTGATGAAACTTTCTGGGCAAAGAAACCAGATCTCTGCTTGGCCAGAATGTGAACAAAAATCTGAAGAAAGTTGTCGACTTGTTTATAAGCAAAACCAAAAAATACATGGAGAGCATTGAAATCTTTGATAAAGCTGGGAGGAAATAAAAGTTTGAATTGAACAATTTCAACGTTTACTTTGTTAGCAGTATTTGTGACATAGTAAACAAATATCTAATCAGATAATATTTGTGTGGTCAATGATCTTTCTAGTGATGCTGCTACTTTTCAGGATTTCAGATCCATGTCATTCGATGAACTAAAAGAGATTATTATCATACACGCTTATTGATAAATATGTTAAAACAATATGGAGTTGATGGCACTGTTCTAAAATGGATAGCTCGTTGAGTGACAGCAGTCGAAAGACTAAGTTCGGTTCTTCTATCTCCAAAAACATAGCTGGTACATTTAGCCTGCAAAAGCCTGCTTGAGGCTGTTCATATTGTGAACTGTGATCTTGCAATAAACATATCTGAAAATAAACAAAGTGAAACTGAATCCTCAAAAAATGATTATATTATGTAGAAACAAGAACAATAATATCAAATCAAAATTGAAAATACAGCTTTTGATATTGTTGACCCAAAATATCTGGGATTTATGTTAGACAAAATCCTAAATTTCTGCTGTCAGGGAGTATTAAGAAGATTTCAAAGAAAAACAACAATAAAGTGCCATTTCCATTACTGCTCATTTTTATTGTATTTCTTCATCAAAAATAAAATAAACACATTACAAAAACTACAAAATATGAGAATGCAGATAATTTCGCAATGCTTTCAATGCACAAGAATTGGAGGCTTGCTAAATACTCTACAGTGGTTAGCTAGCCAACATCTTTACTTAGCGACCATGACATTTATAGTATATACAAAATTGTAAAAGGAACATCACCTAATTATTTAGCTGCACCACTACGAAGAAACAAAGAATTTCATACCTATTAAACCCAGAACCTCATTTTCATTGAACTAAAACCAATAAAAAGTGCACAATGAATATAATCACAACGGTCTGAGGAAATATCGTAAACCACCGAATCAAATAAAAAATGCATATGAGGAATAGCAATGCTTAAATTTAATATAATCAGATTTAGTTGAAGAATTTGTTTTTTTATTCTTATGCGAGCCGCCAACTGTTGTTTATTGTTGTTAATTCCTCATCTAAATAAAGGTTGGTATTATTAATGACAGAAATCGAGCATAACCTGAGGCAACAGTCCGAGACGAGGCAACGCTAGCCTAAAGACGGTTTATAGTTGTAAGCATAAGTGACTTTCACCGCCAAGGTGCACATGCTTTTTGCAGAGGCGCAGCTTTAAATCGGATCCTCTGGTCTGGTGGAATAAGTTAATTATTATAAAAACTTGTATCTTTTTTTTTAACATATAATTGGCATTGGAAGTTATACATTTGCCACAGATGTGTGTTACTTATATTTCTCTAATTATGGACAAACACACGACGTCACAACATCCATGGCGAAGGCGAGATTCGAACTCGCGGCCCGGCCGGCCGGCTGATCAGTAGCACGACACTCTGACCAATGCGGCCAACCGAGGCCCCAAAACTTGTATCTCTCCAAACAAAAAGCTTATTAGTTGTCGACTAAATGCACTAATTTCTCTTTCAGCTTACTTACGACTACAGGTTAGATAAAGAGGATGAAAGTCAAAAAATAGCGTGTCTATGCAAATCTTCTAAATGCCGGAAATATATGAACTGATGGATTGTTGGCAGAGATTTCACACGATAGAATCGGGAAAGAAAGATCATCATGTTAGAAGGAACCCACTGATAGTGGAACTGTGATAAAATGTATTTTTCTATTTTATTACTCAGACTAGTAATATTGAGTCAAGTATTTAATTTCAATTTAACGCTTTAATTTTATAAGGAGTTTTTTCTTTCATTGTGTTTGTATATGCATGAACATTTACAGTTGGCTGTTTAATAAATAGTTTTTATATATTTTTGTTGTGTAATTTTCATTGGTTGGTTCATCTAATTTAGATCAAGGTAGTGTTGATACTACTTTTGGGTATCAGAATCGCGAGGAATTATACAAAAGGTACTTTGTTGCTACAATAAAATTGGGAGCTCAATAATCTCGCTAGTTGTATAAGCTTGATACAACATTTATACCTCATAACGTACATGAATAGACATTTGCGATAAGGATCAAAGAAATGGGGAGAATGTACTTTAGTCCTGCTATAAATTTGGCGGGAAAATCAAACATCTGAGAATTACCCCGCTGCTTCTGCGATCTTGTTACATAATACGTATATATAAAATAAGTTGGAAATTGATCGGAACTCCCTTGCAAGATTTTCAAAATTACTGACAAATATTTGTCATCAGGATCGCAGAAATGCGAGGAGGTCTTGAATAGGTAGTTTGTTCCTGATTTGATATTGACGGGAAATTCAGTCATCACCGACAATTACCTCTCGCTGGTTCTGCGATCCTAATATTGTATTTCTGGTTTACGAAAACTGATAAACGAGCGGACTTTTCTTGTGCATTCGTGGACTAAGTGTTGATATCAGGATTGCAGAAACGTGAAGAGCTAGGGAGAAGGTTCTTTTGTCTTGCTTTAAAATTGGGTGGGTCCTTACAGAATTTTCAAATGCATCGACTAAACTTGGTTATCAGGATAACAGAAACGTGAGGAGGTTTTGAGAAGATACTTTACCTGCTACTGAATTACTACCTTGGGCTGCTGAAATCCGCTCAGTAAGCCCCAATGCATGTAAAGAGGAGGACGCTTGTTTTTCAAAAAACCGAATCAATACGTAGTATCAGATATGATAAACTAATAAAAACAAAGCAATCTTTTCAACAAAAAAAGGGGGGAATTTCAACCCCCTTGACGGAAATTTAAGTTTCTTGATCTTTGAAGATGCGTTGCCAGTTCTTAACATCTGTCTAGTTGAAAATGCCCAAAATTAGCCTAAATTCAATTTTAAGAAATATATCCGGATGAATATATTTTTTATTCGGCTAGTCTCCAATAGATGGCGCTGCATATCGGTAGCCACCACAAAGTCCACCATTTTGAATGACTACCTTCGGCTGCTGAAATCCCTTCAGTAAGCTCCAATGCATGCAAGGAGGAGGACGGTTTGTTTTTCAACAAAGCCAAATCAATACGTAAAATTACATATAATAAACTAATCCAAACAAAGTAATCTTTTCATCAAAAAATGGGGGGAGTTTCAACCCTCTTGACGGAAATTTAAGTTTCTTGATCTTTGAAGATGCGTTGCCAGTTCTTAACATCTGTCTGCCCAAAATTAGCCTAAACTCAATTTTAAGAAAGGTATACGGATGGATATATTTTTTATTCGGCTAGTCTCCAATAGATGGCGCTGCATATCGCTAGCCACCACAAAGTCCACCATTTTGAATGACTACCTTCGGCTGCTGAAATCCCTTCAGTAAGCCCCAATGCATGCAGGAAGGACGCTTTGTTTTTCAACAAAACCAAATCAATACGTATAATTACTTATAATAAACTAATTCAAACATATACTAAGTGACATATAAATCCGAACACCCAGTTTAAATGGTTTTATTTTAATAAAAGTTGGTGAATGTATTTATCTTACTGTAAATAACAATGAAAAAATTTCAGCCTTATCAGTTGGACATTCCGGTTTTTATACTGCTTTTTTTTAATTCACTAACGCTCTAAAAATGAATATTTCAGCCGCAGTAAAGAATCAACGTTGGCGGATTTTGGTCTTGACATCCTTTACGATCGGTTACGATGCCTAGAGTACGGAGACCTGTACGATTTCGTCAACTTAGTGAGTTTGATAGGGGCCGTATAGTGGGACTTCGGGAAGCTGGACTTTTTTCGGGCAATTGCAGTTAGAGTGTAAAGAAGTGTAGAAGTGTAGACACTGTGGTTAGGTGTTGTCAGGCATGGCTTCGACAATGCCGTACGCAAAGAGCAAGGGGCACTGGACGCCGCCGTGGAACAACAGACCGTGAAGATCGCCGCCTAAGATTATTGGCCTTAAGGGACCGTTTCTCCACTACCAGGTCCATTGCAAATGAATGGTTTGCAGAACACGGAAGACCTATTGGCATGCGAAGTGTTTACCGACGAATGAGAAGTTTTGGCTTGTTTTCATACCGGCCACACTGGGTCCTCCCTTTAACTCGAGAACACTGACGTAATCGCCTTGAGTGGTGCAGACAACGGTCACTCTGGGATCAGGAATGGAACAGTATTGTCTTTAGTGACGAGTCTCGATTTTGTTTAGGCATGCACGATGGTCGTGCCAGGGTTAGAAGGCGACGTGGTGAAAGGAGGAGTCCACAGTTTTTTGTTGAAAGACATGTTCATCACACTGTTGGAGTTATGGTTAGGGGTGCTATAGCTTATGGTTCCAGGTCACCTTCAATCTTCATCAGAGGTAACATGAACGCGCAGCATTATATCCACGAAGTTCTAGAACCCCATCTTTTACCCTATCTTGACACCCTGGCAGATCCAACTTTCCAACAAGATAATACCCGACCACATGTTGCAAGAGTCACAATAGACTTCTTAACATAATGATGTCACATTGTGACCATGGCCACCAAGATCTCCCGACTTATCCCCAATTGAGCACGTGTGGGATATGATGGGTAGGAGATTGCTCAATTTGCAACGTCCTCCTCAGACTCTAGAAGCACTTCGAGAGGAGTTGGTGGTTGCCTGGAATGAGATACCACAGGAGGACATTGACCACCTGATCAGAAGCATGCCTAGGCGCGTTGGAGAATGCGTAGCACATCAGGGTACATCCACACATTATTAAAGGTCAAAGGGCTTTAAAGCAGCGCAATCATTTTGAAAGTTTTATCATTTACTTATTATACTTCGTTAAGTACTTATACAAAATTTTATTAAAATAAAACCATTTAAACTGGTTGTTCGAATTTATATGTCACTTAGTATATTTTTATCAAGAATGTGGGTATTATTTAACCCCCCTCACGGGAATTTAAGTTTCTTGATCTTGGAAGGTGCGTTGCCATAAAGACCTCCCAAACCCCGTCCAACCACCCCTAAAGGATCTTTTTGACTAGTTTAATCTTGTGTGGCCTGCGATAACACTGTACAAAGAACCTCCATCTATGGACTGGTAGCCCAACTGAACGATTGTTTTTTTCATTTTTACAAGTTTTATGCTACAGTATTCAACATTTGTCTAGTTGAAAATACAGATAATTATCTTGAATTCAATTAAAAAGTATCCGGATGAATCTATTTTTTATTCGGCTACTCTCCACTAGATGGCGCTGCATATCGGTAGCCACCACAAAGTCCACCGTTTTGAATGACTACCTTGGGCTGCTGAAAGCCGTTCATTAAACCCCAATGTAAAGCCTCATCATAAAAATAAACGAATAATCAAAAAAAAAATAATAATTTAAATATTAGAGGTTTTTACCCCCCTCACGGAAATTTAAGTTTTTTGATCTTTTAAGATGCGGTCGCCGAACATCACCTCTCGCTGCTTCTACGATCCTGATACACAATTCTTAAACGGCAAATCTAGTGGACGACCTTTCTTATATGTATAAAATTTTGCTATCAGGATCGCAGAAACCTGAGGAGAAAAGGGAAAAGATGTTTATATTCTGCTTTAAAATTGGTGGGCAATTCAAACTATTACTCTTACTATTTCTGTCATTCTCGTAAAGAATCTAGGTACATATTGGACAGAATTGTCAAATATTCATGGCCATTCTACAAATGAATTCACCATAATTTCTCTTATAGTTTATTTCACTTTTATAACAATTTCTTACAATCACGAAATGCCTGTCTAATAACATTAATCCTCTAGGTTCACAGATTACATGAATCTATTTTGGAAAATTACCATAATATTTAAGTTAAATTACAGTGGATGATTTATTGATTTTACGAATCACATTTTCAATACTTTTTAACGAGTTGTCTCTCTCATATATGTACTCAAAAATCACCTACTATAACTCAACCTAACAAGAAAAACTACAAAAATGCCATATATTTTCACTATACACGTATTTCTCACTAATTTATATAAAAATACACATTTGCTTGCAGAAAAAATACTCTGGGTTGGGAAAAATACATTGTCAAATATTTTAATACAGTCATGAAATTTGGCCTTTTCGTTTTAGATGAATGAATTACATTTTGGATTTTGTACATTTATTTATGTATAGCAGATGTCAAAGTAGGCACACTTTGTCAACATATTTCGTCAGTATAATATTTAAAAAAAATGACATTTATAGCAGGGTATAAAAAATTAATACAATAAAAAAATCACACATGATAGATCGCAGGAATAATGAGAACAGCGGAAACTTCCGGTTACTGTTTGTTGAAAATTCTCGATGATGGTGCATCTCAGAACAGTCTTTTCTCATACGAAAACAAACTGTGAACATTGCCTTCAATTTGGGCTGAATGAGATCTTAGCTCAAAGCGTAGGTTATCAGAATACATAGCCTCCCTAAAACAAAAAAGAAAATATGTTGTGTAACATCAACTTGGAATAAAGGAAAAATGGGCGCCGGCGAGATTCGAACCGGCATCTCTATTCCGTGGAGCCGACCTAACATATTAGTCTACAGCACCAATTTTCAGAATCGGCTTTTCCTTTATTCTTTGGAGGTGCTCAATACCCCATCTGACGGCATTGAAGTGCAACAAACCGATTTGGAATCTTCAATCGCTTTCTAGTTGCACCACGCCGCCTCGTGGGCACACACCACGGTACCACCGTGCGAGAAGAGTAACCTACAGTAGCGGACAAAAGTTTGGAAACATTCTTAGTAATTTTTAAGTGCGCTAATTTTTCTTTATTATTAAGGACTATTTTTTTTCTCATATAGTTTGCTTACAGTTTTGACGATACAAATGACAATTTGTGTTTGCTGTAGTATTACAGGCTAGCATTAAAATACCTTCATAGTATTTTATGACCAAAAACGAGACGACAAAAGTATGAAAACATATTTTTTATTACAAAATTAAATACAATAACTCTACAAAAAAAAATCTAAAAATACTGTTTAGCTAATATTTGGTAGTATAGCCTTTAGCATTCAACACTGCCTGACAACTGCTGCTCATAGAACATACCAATTTTTTCCAGGCGTATGTTTAGATATTTTGCCAAATATTACATAATCAAATAAATCGTTCCTATTTTTTAAGTTTTTCATGTCAGTTGTCTTTTAACATGCTCCCAGAGATGTTCTATAGGGTTTCGGTTCGGAAATTGCGAAGGCCATGTACGAACATCAACATTTTTTATTCTTAACCAGTCCTGTACGAATTTTGAGGTATGCTTGGGGTCATTATCGTGCCTGAATATCCATCGTAAAGGCATTTCTTCTTCAGCAAAAGGGAGCATGTGTTCACTAAGAATACCTCTGTAGAGTTTTTGATATATTTTCCCAACAATTTTAACAATTGGACCCGTTCCAGACCTAGAAAAACAGCCCCAAACTAGGATGTTGCCTCCACCGTGCTTAACTGTTGACAACTGATACTTTTTGTCGAGTCTTTTTCGTATTGGACGTCTCACATATGCACATTTTTTTTGAAATGAGATGCTTTTGCACTGGACGCCTACCAAGTCCAAAATCCACCAAGCGTCTCTGCACTGTTCTGACAGAAAGATTCTCGGCACCCTCTTCTACGATTCTTTTGAAAATCTATGTAGCTGGCATTTGAGAATCTCCATGGGACAAACGTTTAATGTAGTGATCTAAAACATAATCGGTTTTGTTCTGTCTTCCGCATCTGGGCCGTGTTGCTGTTGTACGTATTCTTAATATTTACTAATAATTTTCGAAATCGCCCATTTGTTCATTTTTAATCTTTGAGAAATGTCAACTTTTCTGACACCACTTCTAAATAATTCAATTACTTTGTCTCTTAAATCTTTTGAAAATTCTTTTCCTTTTGCCATTCTCACTGATGTTAATATTTACCGCACACAACATAAGAATATCGCAGGACGAATAAATACGACAAAACTGAAATGTTTCCATACTTCGGCGTTACAAAAACTGTGGTATTTAATGGTTAGGTCGGCTTCAAGGAATGGAGGAGATGCGCATTCGAATTCCGTCGGTGCCCATTTTTTCTTTCTCTCAAGTTGATGTTTACTAAACATACTTGCTGTTGCGGATGCGCGCGTCCAAAAAATTGTATACAAAAAAGAAAATTTGTACTTTCAAACAGGTCAACATTTTTTATTTCGAAAAGACCTTTTATAAGAGACCGTTCTGACCGGAAACAACTCCTAATTGCAACCCTAATCAGCACACGCATTCAAATTTAAACGTTCTCACCAAAACGACGCGACGGCTCGATTACTGACACTGCCGTCGCAGTCAGTGTGGAGTTAACCACCGGTTGATGTAAGATGACATACATATATTGATGTCATGGTGACTGAAACGTTCGTATCCCCAAAATTACATTGAAAAACCGATAAAAGTACTTCTCCATCACGTGTTTTTTCTTAGAAGTAATTCAGTTGGAACAGCAGTGTTGAAACCCTTTCGCGACAGTTTATACAGTTTGACAACCAAATCAATAGCGTATAAGTAATCATCGGGATCAAGAAAATATGTCTACATGAAAGGTGTTACTTAGGTCAATAAAAAATACATCTGTCGATTGATTGGTAGACCAATCAATCGACAGATGTAGCTAGAGCTAGATTTTATTTCTGAGATACGTTACTTTCAGTCAAGGGTTTTAAGAATAAAAACTTTTTCCACAACTTCAAAGAGAGGCTGCCAGTTGCTGATCAACTGCTTTCGATGAAACGCAACTAAAGACGACATCGGATTAAAGTAGAGTTGTCGTCGGGATTATTTTGGTGAGAACATTGCCATTAAAAATATTTAATTGAAATTACATTTTACATCTTGATTTTTTATTTAAATTCTAAAACTCACCTCAAATCCGTAAGTGACCTAACCCCTATATCTTGGCAGCTGTGCTTGATACCACATTGCAAATAAGGAACAAATCTCAATACTGAGCCTTTATCAACTATAGAACCGCTTACACCTTGGGCAACCTTCAGCTTATCCGCTTCACTAGAAAGAAAAAGGAAAGAAAGTTAGTCTTGAAGCACCTGAGGGTGTATGGATGTGGTGGCAGATATTTCACGAACTGTGATTTAGTAACTGATCTAAGTCACGACCAGGACCAGATACCGTGAAAACGGTGACGTCAACAAGATTTCGAGAACTTGGGGCTTCACGGCAATGATGAATAGCATCATGGGATCACGGCTTTAACGTTTGAATGTGAGTAAACCACCGAGAGACTACTTTGACCTGTAAGCGACTACTTATAGGCTTTGGTAGTTGTCTTCCATCGCGATATTTTCTCAGGATAACAGTATATCGCGATCACGTCACGAAGTTTTAAATCACTGGTATCAAAAACTAACGATATCAGATACCACAGATATCGGCCGGAATGTTGTAGCTTGCGATTTCAAATCAAACAACAGTAAATAGTAAACGTGACTTTGTATCAGATTTGAGCGTCATCTGGAGAAAGTGATCTATACTAACTGTATTAAAAATGCGTAGTGCTATCACTGTTTAAACTTTCAAAAGCCTTATTGTTAATTGTAAATTGTCGGATATGTCAAAAACACCTGTTGTTTTCAAAAAAAAAGATTCTCACGATTTTTTAGGTATCTTCCTGTCTAGTATGTATAAAAGTGGTGTGTAAAAAATTAACAGGATATAGTTATTCCGAACATATAAAAATTGTGTGACGGAGAGATTAAATTTTTGTAACACTAAAAATATTTTCCGAATATGCATTCAATCGCTAATTTAACGGCGGAAAAATGGCTGTCACGAACGCCTGCTGTTGGAAGCGATAGGATAAAACGTTTGATAGTGGAAGAAAGCGTTGGATGTCCACAGTTCAAATGGATTATTTAAGCAATAGTACTGAAGAATTATACTTGCAAGCACAAGTAACATGAACTCGATCGCCATAGTTTAATAGCAGAAAATTATATTTTTGCAGTTGATGTCTCCATCATACAGCCCTATTTTGCACAGGCGTTCTTTCAGGCCTGTATGCATTGATTTAAAAAGGCGAATTAAGACATGGTCCAGAAATGAATTATTTCTCATCCCTGCATCCAGTCACTAAGTGCCAGTATTCCTTGCACTGGTTTCTTACCCCTTCTTTGACTTGGTTCCTTATTGTGCTTTTTGACACCCCCAAGGAATCTGAGCCTTGCAATCTCATTCGCCCTTTCATTTCCTACGTTACCTAAGTGTCCTGGGACCCACGTAAAAGTCACCTTGTTGTCTCGCCAGTGTGTTCAGTTCCTGTTGTCATTCCCAGATCAATGCAGATGTCTGTCTAGGACTTCTTGACTCCTTGAGTGATACCTGACTGTCGGTATATATGGCTAACCTTTTAATGTCGTACGCTCGTTGATATTTACTGTTGCACAATGCATGATGGTATACTGAAATGTGGAGGTGTGTCTTCCAAGTGGTATACTATGCTTAGGACTACACCTGTTCCCAAATATACCTGCACCTATTTACCGCTCATTCCGAACTTAATATGACGGTTATTTTAAGCCTTTGGTGTTTGTGTTAGCAGAAAAACTTGCTTGATGTTGCCTCACCTATATGCTCTATAAAGTCTCAACTTTGAGGACAGATGTGTAGCAAATAGAGAAACAGCTGTGACAAATTCTCATAGATGACGCTACGGTATCTCATTTTATCTCGGATAATTTTTTCGACGCAGAAATATAGTATAATGTTGGCTATATTCCTGTAGAGTACATTAATCAATTGTACTCATAATCTGTAGATACGAATTTTATCATGAGAAAAGAAATACATATACTCGTACTTACTTGTGGAAATATCTGTTCATTGCAGCACCTTCAGCATCTTTACGATCCATCGCCTCTATACTACCCATTCCTCTGTATTTTTTCAGTCTCACGCCGTCTGAGAAGAAGTATTCACCTGGAGCTTCAGATGTTCCAGCCAAAAGTGAACCCATCATCACTGTAAACGGGAAGTCTATTGAATATGAAATACAAGGCGTTTGCTATGCATCTGACGAAAAATAGAGTCAAGTGGTCGACTCAGTACAGACTAATGTAAATTACGAACATCCCAAGTATCACTGGTGATAGGTAAATGATCCTTATTTAATTTATCTGACCCTCTAAAATTTTTCAACTACTTCTGAAAAGTAATCAGAAAATTGAAAACGTCAAAAAACAATCAAGATTTTAGCCTTTCAAAAGGTTTCAACTACGACCAGAAATGGCCAGAAACACAGAAACCACGTAAAAACGAAGTTTTGAAAAATCCAAAAATTTTCGTTGCAGAACCGACAAGTAGCAGCCTGAGTCATGTGAATAGACAGTTGTGAACCTCCTCCCTTCAAACAAAAAAAAAACGTAGGACGGAGGCGATATTCTCAAAACACTATTATTTCCTGAATCTCGTTATCTGTTATAAACATTACTTTGTATTTTCAATACTCATAACAGTTCATCACCTTATTATCAATTAAAAAAACAATGAACTATCAATTAAAAAAACAATGACGCATTTTTACGACAATAACATACAAACTGTAAAAAAAAGTTCAGACTCAGGGGAAATATTTACAAAATAAATTCAATGACCAGCCACACATTATTATGAATTACATTTTTTTCTACCAAATAAAAACTAATCGCGTGAGATATTAAGTGTGAAACATATAATAGCGGACTTCAATAGCAGATTGAACGTGCAGATATGTTTTATCATGTTATGTCATACCTTTCTGATATATGGGATTTGACAATAGTGACTGAAACGCTATAATTAAATGTACTTTTCACCATAATATGTGGTGAAATTCTAGTCCTTTCAAAATCGATCTGCAAAACAACATTGCAATAACATTGCTAATGAATATTATTTCTATCGAATATTTTTTTGCAAAATTAGAATTTTTTATTACCTGTGGATGCTCCCAGTGATAAGGCTTTGATGATATGTCCTATAGATTGAATGCCTCCATCTGCTATCACAGGTACTCCAAAGTGTCTGGCATATTCTGACACCTTTATTGGACATACAATAGAAATATATTAGATAAACTTATGGATTATCAGCTACATCAAAAAATTTAATTTAAACAATTATGAAACAACTTCAGTAACTGAAAAGAATGAAGCTTTTCTTGAGCTATCAAATGTCTAAATCTAAACTAATTTGATTGCTTTTAGGAGACAATAGCATTTTTAATTTTAACGACTATTTCTCTAGTCTTAATTTCAACCAATTACAAACGCGCAATTTTGAATTACATATGGTTTCTAGATGGAAAAATTGTATTACAACACCTGTCAGCAGTGTTTTTGAGTTTACCCGCGACAAAACTTGACAACTGTTATCACCAAAAATTACAATACTTTTGATAACAAGTAATTATAGTCTCCTAGAACACCAAAAAACGACGCTAAATGATTTTTTGATTTTATTGTCAATAAATTTTGTAATTTTGTTTTTCAACAGTTGCAGAATGATCTTGTCAAATACCATTCGGGCATCTAATGTTTTCCTGTGAAAAAAATCGAAAAAACAATGCAAAGTAATATTTTTTTAACAAAAAACATTCGTGCAGGTGCCAGCAGCACTCATCCTTCTTATTCAAATATTACTTAGCAACGTATTTTTTAGATTTTTTTTTAGAAAGATTGTATGTCATGATATTACTTATGATAAAATCAACTACAATTTGAATTTATTTCTGTGAATTTGTTATGGAAAAAATCTATCTGCTCGTCAAATATGGGACGATATGTATATAAAATCTTTTATTTTGATTTTGTATGAGTTTAATAAAATAAAAATACATAAATAACATACTCGCATTTCAAGACAAATCTAGAGACGCATCGTGTGTTAAAATCTAGGCAGCAATATCAGCTGTAAACCGTGAAATAGAAATTTCAAACTTGATACTTTAGATTAAAATTCGTTATTTTGATTGTATAAGGGTCACTAGCACAGCTAAGAAGATCGAAAAACACCTCATATGTAAAAATTCATCAAGCTGTTTGGACTGTAGTTCGAGTAATAGATTTTTTTGTCCACATAATCTCCTAGCCATATCGTAAAATATACCATTTCCTGAAATGTCCGGCTACTTCATGAAATTATTGAGCATGTTTGATCAAATCGTAAGATATTTATATTAATTACCGATAGAGTCGCTGGCAGCGCTTTATGTAGCACATGGCAGTCGTTAATAAATTTGTTTTTCGAAGTAAAAATTCCAATAACTCATTACCAAATGAGGAAGAAAGATTAAAAGGCTTTACGATAAAAAGGTACTCGAGTTCTCGAGAGTACAGGATAGCAAATCGCTCTCAAATTACATTATCATTCATTCATTGAAAGTCCATTTATTGGACGTGGAAATCCTGTGTCAGCTAAAATATTGTGTTAACTATTGATATTATTCTACGTATGTAAAACTCACCGTAATTTGTATTTCATTTTTAGTGAGGTGATCACGCGAGGTAATAGCTTAATGTGTGATGTCTGATATGTTCAAAAATTTATTGTAATATGGTGTGCAATTTAAGAATGTTTTAATATAATTAGTTTAGTTTCCTTAAATGAATCAATGAAAATGGTTATCGTCATTAGAGAACAATAAACGAATGCCTAACATATTCTGCATTTTTATTAAATATTCTATGGACACACTATTTTACGATATGATCAATCTTGGATGACCAAATCGTTATTCTAAATATCCAGCAGTTACTGCAAGCATATTTTATAACTAATCAACATATTCCACAAGAAGACACCCAAGTCAGTTGAAAACCCTTTATGCTGACAACTAAACTTCTTTTCACGGTTTTTGGCCGTTACGTCACAATACCGTACGCAATAAGTGGTCAGACTGATTAATGGTACCATGTGTGTAGCTTAATTTATGGGAACCTGCACACTGTGCAAGTCTATATTTAATGCAGCTGCTACTCACTCTTGAACAGACCATTGTTGTCACTCTCTTCTGAAGATGCTTCTAATACAGAGTGTCGACATTGTAATTGTATCTGTAGGTACTATTATGTTTTAGATCAAAGATCAAAATGGTACACAAATCACACGCCCTTGACAAGCAAGTTCTCATACTGGCAGTGACAAGTATAAATGTGGAAGACATACGTTGATGAAAAACAAAGGATTTAATATTTATGTGTGAGATGAATGAAAGTAATTCCTGTAGATTACCTGTGACTCGCCAAAAATCATGAAGAAACCTTTATATGCTTCCTTACACCATTTGTAATACCACTTCTCGGACTGTAGCCACATGTTTAAGAGTAAGGAATTTTCTTTCAAAGGAAAATGGAGTATGTATTTATTGGTCCTAAGGAAATTAGTGTGATGGCTATGAAATTATAACCGGATGTCCAAATACAGAATAGATTTGAGCATCTTCTTGGAAAATACGATAATCAAACCATTGTTTTATTGATAATATGATTAGTACATATACTTTGAAATAAATGCTTTTTATACCTTATATACAGCTGTTGCTTGAGGCCTTCCAACAGCCATAACTTCCTGGGTTATGCATATACTTCCGCTGCCCATACCGACCCTCAAAGCGTCAGCACCTGCTTCTATCAGGTTTTTGGCCTGTTTTTTCGTCACAACTGAAACGAAATGATTAAAATTGCATCTATGAAATATAACTTCCTTTAAATATGAGCCTAAAAGCCGCACGGTTTTTACATCTCATAACCATAGCACATACAGACATGGCATAAAGTGCACTACCCACACAATGCTGTCACCAATTCATTCTGAGATAAAAGTTAGCTAGCGACATGTATAACAAAAAAATAATAGTCAGTCAAATATGCCTACACATTTATTTGTTATATTATTATTATTATATTTATTTATTTACTCATGTCCAAAAACGTTCTGATATCATCAAGCAAAAACAATCCAGTACTCCTCCTAATGGACTCAATCTCTAATGTCCATTTCCCTGCCCCATTATATAATGTAGATACCTTAGAAACTTGTCTCAAATGGCTTCAATGCGTTTTTTGTGAATCTTGTAATATGGACTCTAGATGGTTGACCCAGATTCCAATACAGATCTTACTAATGAGACAAAACGTTGGACCATACAATTAATCCACAATCACCACTATTTGACATCGTTATTATCTAGAAATCTCTTCCCTGCCCTATCGACATTATCGACCATCAGACAACGTTGCTTTGATAACTTCGCTACTCGCCAGCCAGCCATCGGTCAGACAGTGACGTAGGTATATCCAGAGATGCGTGTGTTGAAAATATTTCTCTATCATTCTCAGTATTAACGCCAAATGTACGGGGAAATGAATGATTAATCGGTGCGTATAACTACCGGGGTTGAAAGTGTATAAGCCACAACAAATTGATGAATACCCTCCGCTACAACCCTTCAAGCCCCAATTGCGGCAATCTAACGCTTTATCAATGAAACTCGACCCCATTCATGCACAATGGACGTGAATAATTTCGGCAGAACATCTCGCAATGTCGAGACCGGTATTTGTGCTATACGATGCATAACCCTATACTGTGTATTTTATGATTGAATAAATAAATCATGAATAAAACAGTATTTTGATCAGCAGAGAAAACAAAATTTGGAGGGAAGTTTAAAATTATTTCCATTTTATTGACCACTGAAAAGAGACATAAAAATTGTGTGAAAAAATTATTGCCGTCTTTTTATATGTGTTCAAAACAGTACATTTACAAAACGTTTATGAGTTGAAAGTGTTTAAAAAACTAACACCTACAACTCGCCGAAAATTTACATATTAAAATCAAGCAATGTAACTGCAGACTTCTAAGCTTTTTACCATAACTAATTCACGGCATATAAGCTTTCAGTATCTTAGCTTATTATTTGGTTGAATTACTTACCATTTCCTGCAATGACCTGCAAACCAGGATATTTCTGCTTGATATACTTAATCATCTCAATCTGATAAATAGAATTACCCTGAGACGAATCGAGAACGACAACATCTACCCCAGCCTGAGCTAGAAGAGCTAAGCGTTCCTTATCATCTTCTCTAGTTCCCAAAGCTGCTCCAACAATCAGTTGCTTGTTATCATCTTTTGAAGCTATTGGATAGTTTTTGGCCTTCTTCAAGTCAGTCCTTGCCATCAAAGCAAGTAGATTGCCCTGATTATTCACAATCGGCAATTTTCCTTTTTTGCTTTTTTCCAAAATATGATTTGCTTCGGTTAAAGTAACGCCAGATGGAGCTGTTACTAGATTGTCTAGCTTGGTCATGATCGTTTCTAATTTGATATTGTTATAATCGGTATTCTCCAGAAAGTCTATATCGCGGGATGTTACTATGCCAACTAATTTATCTCCTAGCTTTCCAGTTTCTGTGATTGGTACGCCACAAAATCCGTGTTGCTTTTTTACCTTGAAAGTAAAAAAATCAAGTATGGTAATCGTGTATGAATAAATTGGATGCAAAAAATGTTTATTATCAAAATGTTGGCACAGAATTAGGACATGGCCTAATTACTTCCTTTTTTAACAGTATTTTGTACAAGTGATGAATAGTTAAGCCTTCCATTAGACTCTCAGAGTGACAGCATATGAGGATAGTTGTAACGAGACTTTTTATGATCACCAAAAGTGAACCGTGGTAAATTGACACTACTGACTACTGGTACTCATGACGTGTTGCTATTTTTTCTTTGATTTTTCGATCCGTCTTAATTTTTTTCAAAATATCGGTAATATTTGTGTCCAAATCGAGATTAGGTTTATCAAGGAACCACAGAACGCCAAGTGGCCTCAAAACCAGCAGAACTACAATAAAACGCCTCACTGCATATACAGGGTATTTCACAACTTATCCGACAAATTTTAAGCACATATGCACTGTTACGAAAGAAGTTGATTTCTCAAAAAAAAAATGTAATAAAAATCATACAGAAATTAAGTTATAAACCTGAGTTTCAATAATAAATTGAAAAATAAATATCTGTATTTTGCGTTCATCGTCGTGATATTAGAACACGCATGAATCATTTATTGTAGCAAATGTTGTAAAAAACAACTGACGAAAACAAAATACCAGAAATTTTGTTTTTTCATACTGATAAGAACGTGTAAATAACGTTTAATCTGTATCGCGGGTGATCTGAATGAAGGACTGTCGATTTTTGAGAAGTTAAATAAGAAAGTATTTTGCGAGTTTATGTTTTTAGTTATTTATTAATCAAAATGACACATGTGTACACTAATGAGGAGTTAGTGGACATTGGTTTAGCGTACGGAGAAGCAGGGCAAAATTCGCGAGCGGCTGCTCGCTTGTATGCACACGGATTTCCGAATAGGCACATACCACATCACGAAACATTTAGTTCAATTGTTTTACGTGCACGTAATTGGATTAGACGCGCCCAAGCTTGATTGCAGTCAATGGAAACAATTTTGAACAGCTTTTATAAGTGAACTGTTGAACTGTATTATTTTATTATCTTGATTTCTGTACGACTTTTATTACATTTTTTTTTTGAGAAATCAACTTCTTTCGAAACAGTGCATATGTGGTTGAAATTTGTCGGATAAGTTGTGAAACACCCTGTATATACGAAAACCATATTGCGAAATTCCCTGTATCTGACATAGACTGATCAATACGAAATTGAACATTTCATAAAGGGACTAAAACTTAAGAAATCACCGAATTTTGATAGTATAATCGCATACACTCCGAAACAAACAAATTATGAAATTTCTAAAGTACTAACATATCTTACTAACACCTGCATGCATTTTATTACATTTTTTTTTGAGAAATCAACTTCTTTCGTAAAAGTGCATATGTGGTTAAACTTTGTCGGATAAGTTGTGAAACACCCTATAAATAAGAAAACCAGGAAAATTCAATTTATGCAGAACACTGTCTATTTCTTGCATTTATTTTTATGTGATCAAAAACACAAATTTCTATTTTTACCAATATGTTTTTATAACTTGAAATTATTTTTAATCAAACTTTCCCAGTTTTACGAATTGCGGCAACATCGCCGAATAAGAAAAAAATAATCTTACGAAATAAGCCCTCCCCTATTCTTCATAACTAAAAGATGCATTCTCATTTAGATAATGGAAAACAAAGGATTGTCATTATTGCGCAAAACCAAAATAATGGACATCATAATGCAGCAAAACAAAAACACTAAAAACTCCCAAATATCAGTGACTAATCAGTCCTTTTGGCAATTAAGGAAACAATGGAGGTGTTAAGCACTTACCTTCAAAATGTCAGAAACAGTGTGTTTGGGACTAAGTACAAGAGGATTGTGGATAAAACCATGCTTGTATTTCTTCACTTTTGAAACTTCATTGGCTTGGTAGGCTGGTAAGCAATTGTGATGGATAATACCAATGCCACCACACAACTAGAGAAAAAATAGAAAAACCATTAAATCAACATCTACTTTCTTGATTTAGCTTGTTTTGAATCACGATATTATTGGTTTTTCACATATCTAGAAGAACAGAACATCAAGCTAGTACATTTTTAACAGATAAAAGACACAAAAATCTCGACTGCAGTAAGGGAAAATAATGAATGTTTAATTGTGCTATAAAGACAAATGTCAAAATCCATCAAACCATTTGGTCTGTAGGTCGTGAAATAGAAATATCAAGCTTGAAGTGTAGCTAGTGTCATTCACATTGGAAAGACCAATCCAAGAAAACCTCATAGCGTCAATCCATTTAAGCTGGAGCCTGTGAAATAGGTGGCACTTTGTGCTGCCTTATTTCAAAAGAATTACAAAGTTGAATTTTTTTATTCAATTTCGCCATTTTGTTTTTATAAAATTATAATAAAAAGGGTACTATAAAAGTTTTGCAATATGACTTAACAAACGGGCGCAGGAGGCTGCATGTTACTGCAGTTGTTCATTCATATTGACAGTGTAAAGTGCGGCCTATAGCATCGAGGTCACGTAAGGGCAGTTTTCGGTATATATACGCGTGGTTTAAGCGTAGACCAGTGCTTAGAAGAAATGACATTGGATTCAAGAATGATTGTCCTCATCATACGACTATATTCAGGTGGTACAGAGAATTCCAAAGGGGCAATTCCACTCTGGAAGAAACTGAGAGGGAAGGAACGCCGCGAACGCCAGTAACAGAAGAAAACATTACCGCTGCGAGGAAAATGCTTGACGAAGACCGGAGAGTGACATATACTTCGTGCACCAGTAATTAATTCAATTGAGCATGACCATTTACACGTAAGGAAACTTTGTTCTCTGTGGGTACATCATAGTCTGACAGAAGAGCAGAAGACTTGTCGTATGACTTGGTGCCGAAAGATGCTGAAAATTTTTGATAAGGGTATGTGAACAGCATCGTGACAAGTGACGAGACTTGGCTCTATAATTACGATGTGCCGACCAAGGCTCAAAACAAAGTTTGGGTCTTTGATATTGAGGACACACCTGTAGGTGTCAGAAAATTCAGATCTGTTAAGAAAAAATGATCGCTGTATTTTTCAAATGGAGCGGGATTGTGTCATAGGGTATGAAAAACCTGCACAGTGAGATTCACTTGCACTGCTAAGATGGATCCAATAACACCTCATATGTTAAAATCGATCAAGCCATTTGAGCTGTATATAAATAGCTCATAAAGCAGAATTTTTTGGATATATACATACCCACGCGCGAAAAACATGTCCCTCTTTCTGAGGCAGTCACATCAAAGTATATTAAGTAGTCTGGCTAGTACCTTCCCTTCTCAAATTATAAATTACTTATAAAAAAGAAAGCACCTTACAAATGCTTGTTTGATTTGATAGATGTTGAGGGAAGAATATTCAGGGTCCATTATGATGTGCTAATATCCCAGGATATGATTCCCCAGATATTATATAGAAACAACATGAAAACAATAAGGTGCACATTTTTTTTTAATTTAGCCATGATGGAGTATTACCACATCAAAAAGAAACACCATATAAAATTGATTAAAAAGCCTGAAGTACTCGATTGGAACCAATAGCAGTAAGTTTCAGCAAAGCAAACTTCCATGTTTTATCCTCTGGGAATATTTGTATGCATGTTTTACAAAAATCATCAACAATGGGTAAAATATAGAAAAACACACTTTTAGATAGATGTGGAGAAATTTCAAAAATGTGGTGCTAAATAAATAAATATAAATCACTTACAGCCATTGCAATAGCCATTTCAGCTTCTGTCACTGTGTCCATTGGAGATGAAACCAATGGAGCTTTCAGTGTGATCTTCTTTGTCAGTTGACTTGTTAAATTCTGAAATTTACAAATGAATCATAATATTTGCCAGCATAATATCTGTAAAAAATACTTACAACACTGTCAGCTGGAAAATCAATATATCCAGGCAGGATGATAAAATCACTGAAACAACCAAGACTGTCAACCAAAGTAACAAAAAAAAAATGTGATTCTTACTTGTATGTTAAGCCACTTCCCTTGTTGATCAATTCTTTTGCTGTCAGTCCATCTTCCAAGTCAAGAGCTTCATTCTGCTTTGAGTTTGTATCATTGTGACTCACGTTATTCATTTTTCTGGAAAATATATAGACTCACAGGAAAACAGTTTTTAAATGAACATTTATTTGAGAAACATATTGTTTGAAGTAAAAGTGAATGATTATTTCATGAACTGTACCCATTTACATGAGATGTGCAAGGCAGCTGTATCTCCAGTTAAAAAATTCAAAATCCAGGTATTTCTGAAAATATGTGACTGTAGATGACAGGTCAGTCAAATGAGATCATATCAATAAAACTGTGATGATTGATTCATAAAATAATTGTGTTCAATATACTTCAGCATTCAATTGTTCATTTTACAAAAATTGTTAGTTTAACAGTTCCCTTGACCAGTCAGATTATCTTATTTTGAAAATGCACTCGAAATATTCATAATTGTAAAAAAGATATCTTACATAAAAAGTTCACTACTCATTGATTGAACCTCACAATCAGCCCCAATTTTGTGGACTTTGTGATTCTTTTTATGACTGGTGCACCCTTCAAAATCAGGGTTGATTATGGGGTAAGGGATCAAGTGCCGTTTTTCTGTATATTAATATCATGATATAAGAGAGACTGAAACACTGCTACAGGCATAGAAAATGAAACTTTATATTACTCATAAAAGAAAATAAATAATTAACTGCAATTTGGAAACATATTGATGTTTTGTTAATATTGGACAATTCTTTCTCCATAGTGTGCATGCCTAATTAACAGTCCCAGCACATCAAATAAAGTGCTGTATTGTTTGAACTTTTAATTATGTGGTCAATACTTAATAAGAAATAAAGTATAATTTTATTTCAATTAAGTTTTAATTGCATTTGCTCTTTTAACGAAATTTAAAGTTACTGATGTAAAGTTCATACAAATTTCCTGTTTTCTACCTACTCAGCTCGCTATATTCTCAAAATGCTTATCTTGAGTTTTTTTGATAAAGTCAATGCTTTATGAATGAATAGTTCATTAAAAACAGTTGTTTGCAATTGCAAATATATAACCATAGCATAACATATAACAATACATAATGATTTTGTTCTACCCCTAATAATTTCCTAGCCAAAGGCTGGGGTGGAGTAGAATAGGATCATTATATTCAAATAAAATCTATAGTTTGAAGTAGCATTGTGGCAACAACATAATGATCTATTTAGTTGGCGTTTTGGTAAGGGTTTAGTTCTGGGGCTTTAGAAGGTAATACAATGAAAAGGAAAAAAAAGACAAGATATACATAGCAGATTATGGGAAAATCTAACAGAATTATTGCATTATGTGTTCAAAGTCTAAAAATAGTCTTGTCTATTTTAATTTAATTAATGGCTTGATAAAGAGCTTCTTCGCACATGTAATATGGTATTACATATTATATACAAGAATTTAAACTGCTAGAAATATTTGAAAAAAAAAGTCTCTACGAGGAATAGATATTCTGTAATTACTTACCTTTTGTTATATTCCGCTGCTCCAATTACAAATTTAGTGATTAAAATAATTCGCCACAAAATCAAAATCGCACGTGTTTGAAGGCGTTCAAATATTATTTTGTTATCACAGGTTAGGTTCAAACAAAAGAATCGATAAAATTGGCAAGTGAAAAACAAAATTCTATGGAGGATATGTATTCAGTATCAAATTACCAGAAGCCGGTATGCAAATAACACGGATAAACAAATGTTATCTGTATATTCAAATTACAGGATTTTTTTAAATCAAATTACACATGGACAGCGTACCAGCATGCTGCTTCACTAGTTTTGACAGATGACAACTTGAGAAACCGACGGAATGGCAAAACGCATGTCTGGCATCGCTTTTATAGAACAAAATGCGACGTTGCCAGAAGTTTATTATTGGATTGGAGAATATCCAGGGGTAACTGACAAGTTTTCCAAATGTAGTAGCAAATATGGAACAATTTAGTGTAAATGCAAAAAAGTAGTCCACTTTTATCCGATATGCTGCGCTATATTTTTAAGCCAAATATAATATGAGTAACGGGGATCAGGACCATTGTTGTTTCTAGATAACCAAATTGTAAATATTTATTGAACTTGCTAGATTGCCAAGTTGTACTCAATTTCTTTGTCTTGGTGTTCAATCATTTTTTAGAGTATTCTATTCAGTAGTCTACCATTTTTTTTTATGAAAGTGATGTATGGTTCTATATTGCTAAATGTTCGATTGTTAAAATTACCTATCTAGATTTGAATATGTGCCTGAATCATGAGACATGTCCACAAAGTGCTCTATTCTTGTTTTGCTGAATTATATCAGAAAAAATATAGTATTCAACAATTTGAGTAATGTTTCAGTAAATTTAGCAATAAAATCGGTAGTTCAGTAGCATATGGCTTAAACCGGTCAACCTAGTTGACACTGCTGTGCCCCACTAGGTAAATTCCTGAATTTGCCCTTCAGCATAAGAATAAGAACCCTAAAATTACCTTCCACTGGTTAATATGTGATCAATGATAAAATAAAATAAGATGAACCAACATGGATGTTAGTTTATATTTATTTAACAAAAGTTGAACATGTCATAAGTTTAAGAAGATGGGGCAGAGTTGGAGTTTGGTCCTCTCCTCCTGCCAAAGGATGCTACTACATTCACAAATCTTCTGTTATACTGGATACGTCTCTTGGCCCTGCCTGTCTTCTTCTTTTTCTTTTCTTGTTTCTCAACCTTGGGAGTCTGTCCTTTTACTTTACCTATTAAAATAATGATTTTTATATAAAAATTCACACAATACTCAGCAAAAAGCAAATAAAAGTACAGTGGACCTCCGGTAATCCGACAAACATTATGCAGGGCAGTGTCGGACTATCGAATTTGTCGGATTATAGAGCACTGCCTAAGAGCCCCTATAGTCTGGAATTTTCTACAACAGAGTAGCTTGTAATCCGACAAATTACATATCCAATGGTAAGATTATATATGTATTATATATGAATATATATGTATGTACTTTGAAGTACAAATCATACATAGTTTATGTATGTCGAATTTAGTAAATTAAACAACAATAGAGAGCTTACGTTTTATTATAAAATTAAGCATAAATGCACATACATATGTACCAAAATAATCAAAATCATTAATGAATTTATCAAATTATGAAGCTTGGAAATATTCATCAATTTTTTTTTTAAAGTTGTTATAACGCGAGATCAGAGCTTTTTGCCTCAGTCCTCTCAAAAGTAAAAGTTCGTTGTAGGATGTACCATTCTCTTCAGCCCATTGTAAACCTAGCTTTAATTAGGCGTTAATTGCGTCTTGTGCTGTGACTTGTGGAGCAGTTGCAATCTCGTCATCGTTATTTTCCTGATTGTTTGTTATATAATTAGAAACCTCTTTTATAATCTCTTCGTCAGACATTTCATGAAAAACATTTTCCTCTTTCTCCATTCCACGGCACCACATTTCCAAATCTTCCGGACTTATCTGTGTTTCAGTAGCGACTTGTTCTATAACTTCCGAAGTAACACTGATTTGTGGAACGTTGCTAGGAGTGATGACTATATCTGGCCATAACTTTTTCCAAGACGATTTAATAGTTGATGACAGTAACGCATTCCACAACTGACAAAGAGCAAAACCAAGTCTTTCATATTAAATTCTCTTAAAGTTTTTTCTATTGGTTGGTCTTTTGATACGGCTCTCAGAAGTAGGTTTTTCTTTTAGTCTTGCTTGACAAACTGAATGATATTCTGGTCCATTGGTTGAATCAGTGCAGTGCAATTTGGCGGAAGAAACATTGCAGTGATGCATTTATCCTCAGTTGTTAGTTCTTCTTCAGACGGATGACCAGGAGCGTTATCAAGAAGCAACAACACTTTTTGAGGAAAATTATGATCTTTTAACCATTTTCTAACTTCAGGTACGAAGCATTCATCAAACCACTTTTTGAAAAGGTCTTTTATCATCCATTCACTTTTTTGTCTGTAATAATGTACAGGTAAATCAATGTTTTTGAATGACCGTGGTTTATTAGATTTACCAATGACCATCATCTTAAGCGCGTGTGTGCCCGCAGTGTTAGCACATGGCAGTATGGTTACACGCTCTTTACTTACTTGTCATCCAGGTACAGATTTTTCATTACAAGAAACGAAAGTTTTGTTAGGCATCACACGCCACCTTTTGCAAAAATCTTAATTTAAAGGGCTCTATGCAGGTGGCATTGTTGGAAAGTTGCTCTCCTGTAATAGTCATTAAACGCATGCTATGACGACTTTTAAAACGTTCTAGCCATCCTTTGCTGGCCACAAAATCATCTTTTTTTGTTATTTCCTTATAAAAAACTTAGCTTTCATGGCCAACATGGGTCCTGAAATTGGTGCATGTCTATTTCTTTCCTGAAGAAACCACATGTACAAAGCTTCTTCCACTTCTGGATGTTCAGCTTTTTTGAGTGTCTGTCTCTTGCCTGGCCCGCAGTCAGTAGTTGACATGAACTTCTTGTGGTTTCTTTTAATGTCATAAATTGTAGATCGGCCTACACCATATTCACTTGCTAAACTACTGAAAGTTGCATTGCGATTTAAGCAGTCTAAAATATCACATTTTTCTTTAATTGTCAATGTTTTGTGCTTTCGCTTCTGAGTTTGTGATGACATTACTAGGTACTATACTTAATACACAATGAATAAATAGTAAACAATAAACGCACGCTAGGCCGTACCGCTATCACCAGTAGTCAAATTCAAACTAAGTAAAACAATGCTTACGCGTCGAGCACGATAGCAGTGGCGCATACAAGTTGTAACCTGTTCAAACCTGCATGATCTGCCTTAGCAAATATTGTCAAATACATATGTATGTAATACATATTCAAAAACATGTCGGATTACAGGGGGCGCCAGATTATCGGGGGTCCACTATATACAGTTTCATGGGTGCCAAGATGAATTATCTTCAGGAGGCTCCAAATTGGCAAGAGATAACTTTTTGTGACAGTGTACCTTCCCCAAAAACTTTTTAAACAAGAGAAGTGTATCTGCCATAAAAACTTTTTTAAGAGGGAGGGAAGTTAAGCTCCAGGGGATGCACCACCCCCAAAAGATAGTTCTAAAGTATACATTCAACAGTAGAAAGACATATTTGATCTTACCAGCTCTAGCAAGAGATCCATGGACCTTTCCTCCAAGAAGACCAACCGTGAGCTCAATGTCGGTAGTTTCAAACTCCGACACTAGGCTAGAGTCAGCTACAGGTACACCAGCCGCATATAAGCTGACTTCTGAAGCATTCAAACCTTCCAGGGATGCGATCTTTTGCTACAAAAAACAAGTACATCACTCAAGACTCAAGCTGTTATAGGTTATGTGCGGACAAAACGTGTGTAAAGCGGAAAACTCATAAGATGTTGGCAATAATAAAAAATGAGTTGATAATCACTTACTTTGATCTCCCCTACGGTTTCAGTGCCTTGGCACTCCAAGTAATGCGTAGAGTTTCCTCTGAAACACAGCTGCATGTTTGTATATTTGCACACTCCAAGTATGAAGATTAATCTGGAAGAATCGTAAGTGGTCGGTGATATCGTTTATCACGTGAATTACCCCAGATATATCTTAGAAACTCAACAAGACACTCGAATTTATGAAAAAATTGAAACTAATAGAAGCTTACTTCTCCACACGACACGGATCTGTCAAAAAAGACGGAAGCGGATATGGCGTTGACATACGTCAGGTCACAGGACAATCGCTCTTGGATAGAACACAGAATATCTGCACCATTCAAGGTCACAGACCCTAAAAACTATAACGTAAGGTAAGCAGGTACTCGTTATCGCCATTTTCATACCTATATTGGAACTTGTAAATTCGTAAGGCTCAAATTAAGGCGCATGCACTTCTATTTCTATTATTTTATAAATTCGTTCTTGTGAACAATTACTTAAAATTTATAAAACTCTTCCTTTTATATTAGACAAGATGGAATTTGTCTTTAACATAAAAGAGGAGCATTATTTAGAACGGGAACCCATTAATATATGGTGCTCGCGTAGACTTCGCACCATTTTTTCTTGTGCCTTAACGTTTGTGTCCATAAATTTCAGCATAAAGATTTCTGAGCAAGCTCATGCATTATTCTTTCATGTCAGGTTTATAGAGCATTACTGAATAGAATGTACATGTAACTGATGGAATTATGTTACTCAGAGAAGTATTTACTGGAAGAAAATGGCAATTTGGCGTACTTGTATCAATGGCTTGCGGTTCTACCGGTATAGGTCTTTCTACGTTGTCACGACTGTCAGTAATTGAGGTTAGCATTTTGTTGATATTTGATTTATCTGTTGACGTTTGATAAAAGCTAAAAACAGGTGTTGTAAATAAAGAAGTATAAAACCAATATTTTATTATATAAAGAGAAAGTTAACTGTTAAAATTATAAAGCAGTATTTATACAAAGGTTCTACACCAATTGTGTTTATTTTTAGGTAATAGAATATTATTTATTTGAGAAATCAGACAACTGAAAATACATCACAAATTGTTTTTAATGATATAAAATTATAAGTTTTTTACTGTTTTGATATATGTTTTGACACTGCAGATTATTTGTGTTATTTTAATCAGTACATGAGTCCTTCTGTATCGATTTGGCAAAGGTTTAGTCACAGTTTTATGACAAACTTTAGTAATATGGGCCATAGCAGCATAGAAGCTTGATATTAAGAAGTAATTTTGTAGAACCAAAATTGTCACTGTTAAATATTTTCTAATGGATTTTTCCAATAATGGATTTCCCATAGTCCAGAACAATCATTCCCAGTGAACCAAATCAGTTGAGTGCTTATCTAGGCAACATCATATTATTCATTTGTTCAGATGAACTATTTAACAGTCTCTGCTAGTCAGAAGTTCCTTGTTGGAAATAATAATATTTTGTAGTTACTCTAAATAAGATTTGGAGGTTGAACAAATCAGAAAAGCTGTTTCCGTACTATTGATTCAATTATTTAATAAAGACTTTTTTCAGGGTGTTAATATAGTATGACAACTGCTTACATGATGGATTACGAATTTAAAATGAAGACTCAAAACGAGAGAATAAAGGTTGAGGATCTTTTTGATTATGAAGGTTGTAAAGTAGGAAGGGGTACATATGGTCATGTATATAAAGGTAACGTCTGTGCCATCTATCCGAACAAGTTTACTTACATTTATTATATTGTCTTTTAAGGTAGAAGAAAAGATGGTTCAGACAAGAAAGATTATGCTTTAAAACAAATTGAAGGTACAGGCCTTTCAATGTCTGCTTGTAGAGAAATTGCTGTGAGTATATTACAATTTTTAGTTGTTCAATGTTTTTTATAGTATTGATGAATTCTTCCTGTTCTTATCAAATCTGTGTAATGTAGTATCATGACTTTGTGAATGTTCCATTCATACTGTGTTCTGAATTTGTTTTTTCCATCCTTGACTATCTTGATATGATTTGTTACAAATTATCTTATTATTATTAAATTTAGTGAAGTGGCAATAAACAAGATTCTAACTTAACAGTTGATACTCCTGTATATTAATACAAATTTACAAGTATTGGAACTGAAAAAACATTTACCTATATGTTTATTATTTTTCAGCTGCTACGTGAGTTGAAACACCCTAATGTGATCAATTTAATTAGAGTATTCTTATCCCATAATGACAGAAAAGTTTGGCTACTTTTTGACTTTGCAGAGCATGATTTGTGGCACATTATAAAGTTCCATAGGGCTGCAAAAGCTAACAAAAAACCAGTATTAGTGCCTAAAGGAATGGTAAAGAGCCTGTTGTATCAAATTTTAGATGGAATTCACTATTTACATTCTAACTGGGTGCTACACAGAGACCTGAAACCTGCAAATATTTTAGGTGAGTATAAAAATTTTTTTCAACATGGAACTTTACTTACCAAGCAGATTTTTTTCAGTTATGGGTGAGGGCCCAGAAAGAGGTAGAGTAAAAATTGCAGACATGGGTTTTGCAAGATTATTTAATGCACCCTTAAAGCCTTTAGCAGATTTAGATCCAGTAGTTGTTACATTTTGGTATAGGGCTCCAGAGTTACTTTTAGGAGCTAGACACTATACAAAAGCAATAGGTAAGACTCCTCAACTCAAGTTCATATAGTTTTGTAACTGTGACCTTGGGCTAATGTTTCAATACAATATACTCAATTATTATTTTTTTACATATTACTTTGAAATAAAACACAGTAATAAGTTCAAATTCAAGATAGAGCCAAGCACAACAAATACATGATTGCTTAGCAAAACTTGCTTGGTTCACTGTGACACCAGCAAAGAGTTGCAACCAGGATGATTTGCATTACATAATATAAACCTTAATGAAAATATTTCTATTTTATGCATTTTTCTTGTGAGACTAACAAACAAATGCATTTTTGTCTGTATTATGAAAATATTTCACATCCTCTCCAATTCTTCAGCTTTCAAGTATCACCCACACAATGTGTTTATATCCATTTTATCTTGACACTATGTTTGTATTCCGATTGAAAATCTTAGGATTCAGGATGCATGCACATGTGCTCCCTCGCCAGAGTCCGTGTGGCATTCCCCTTTTCCCTGTATCCCCCTATAGCCCCACAGTACCTATGGGTGTTTAGGTGGTTCGAGTATAAAAAAAATGTTTTTTCTAGATATTTGGGCAATTGGCTGCATATTTGCAGAACTTCTAACATCAGAACCAATTTTTCACTGTAGGCAAGAAGATATTAAAACAAGCAATCCATATCATCATGATCAGCTAGATAGGATTTTTAATGTTATGGGATTCCCTCATGAGAAAGACTGGGAGGATATTAAAAAAATGCCAGAGCATCCTACTTTATTGAAGGACTTCAAAAAGAACAAGTTAGTTTAAAATAAAGAAGCTAATTATATATACGAGTATATTGTGATCTCTGCAGGTTTTTATAACATTAGTAGTGAAAGTTTTTAATTTTAAGACTGTTAATGTACTGAGTAGTAGCATTAAGATATTCTCCAAGAAGATGCCCTATGCTGCCATTGGACGTTCGCATAGAAGTATCAAAAAATCATGTCGAGTAGATCGACTCTATACTTCCCACACCTTCCATGACATCAAAACAACATAGGTTTTGCCAGAACACTATTGCACTAAGTATTTGGGTTTGAGCATATATGTAGTCAGGAGCCTAATTTCCTTGGCGCTCTGGTATAAAACTGCTTGTCAAAAATAAATAGCATTATTGAATTACACTCCAAGCATAATGTTCATATATACAGGGTGTTTCAAATTCGTTGGGATCTCGGAGACTGTTAGAAATACGAAGTTGCTTAAATGTGGGCAAAGTTGCGTGTTTAGTTAATCTACAAAATGCCGTTTAGAAAGTTTCGAAATTCAAAGTACTTCCGGAAACAGACGGAAAAAACGGAATTTCCCAAAATCGTTTTAATTCTCTACTGACTTCAATTGTAGTGGGATTTCAATATAAATTGCACATTAAGATTGCCGCTTTTTCTCTTATACAAGATGGCATGGTTAGAATTCCAATATGAAGTTTTGTCTCTTGTCCTCCAGTATCAATTTTATTTTTTCTTATGGACGCCATATTGGATTATTGCGCATATGAATAGCGTTCTTATTTCTGATTTCAAAAATGTCATACATTTACATTGCCAACTTCTAGTTATTAAAAAAAAACAGAATTACTTAGGTAAGTTTGAAACTATCATATTTCATTTGTTTTGTATACCAAACCAGAACGCAAATTGAATACAGCAACAGAGTTTGGAAGACAGAAATAAATCGGGCAGTGAACAATGTACAGACAAGTCAGGCTTTGCCTACAAAATAACAGACATTTTGAAATCTGCTATGATTCACCTCTGCGTATTTATGATTATTATTGTTATTGCATCAGTAAAGTTTTGTAAAGTGAAATTCTAATTATGCCATCTTGTTGACGAGAAAGAGTGACGATGTTAATGTGCAGGTTATTTTGAAATCAATGTACAAATAAAGTCAGGGAAAAATTAAAATAATCTTGGGAAAATTCCGTTTTTGCGTCTCTCTCCGGAAATACTTTGAATTTCTGAGCGGCATTTTGGTAATTACCTAAATACGCAACTTTGCCCCATTTGAGCGACTTTGTATATCTCACAGTTTCCAAGATCTCAATGGTGAGGGTCGAATTTGAAACACCCTGTATAGATAACATCGCGCCCACCTCGTATGTCGCCTGCTAGGAACGAGTACCAAAGGTGCAATATTTATACATAACCTCATGGCGAACGGCGTATGCGACCGATAGGCGGTCTGCGGGAAATATTTAAATTTTTAAGGTCAAATGTACGAGGAAATCTATGGTGTGTGAAATATGTCTAATAGGTGCATAGAATTACCTGGGCTGGAAGGGTATTAATATACTAACATCGAAAAATTGCCTCCACCTCCTACAACCACCCATTTTCCTTTTAAAGATGATAGTTTAGTATTTTAAACATGGCATCAACCTTCCAAGAAAAAATCACTCATCAATCTCGCTCGTAATTATTCCTAAGATTTCATAGTCGTTTCTCAACAATTGAAAAGCTGCTAACAGTCTGAGAGTCGGGCAACGCAAAAACCTAAAGACGGTGGTCGACACGTATATAGTCGCCATGGTATGTTATATATGCTTATTCTTGCACAGGCATGGCTTTCAATTAAGTAGGGTATTTTCCTGTAGAATATGTTAATCAATGTTTGCAGCTGATTTCTTGATTGTAGAACATGGTTGAACAGTCATACATATGTGTTTTTATTTTTTAGTTATGTGAATTGTTCCTTAGTCAAATACATGGACAGGCACAAAATAAAGCCAGATAGCAAAGCATTTCATTTACTTCAAAAACTATTATTGATGGACCCAAACAAACGTATAACGTCCGAACAGGCGATGCAAGATCCATATTTCCAGGAAGAGCCATTGCCTACCCAAGACGTTTTTGCAGGTAATTACGTCACCTTCATTCTAGAATTATCTATATGATTTACCATAAAAATAGTACGAACAATCTCACAGTCTGTGGTGGAAGTATGAGTGAACCGGATACATTCTGACCACCAAACATGTATATACAGGGTGACAGATATGTAACTGACTGGTTTATATCTTGAATATTTGTGAAATGAAATAAAACACTTCCATTTTTTTCATCTTAATCTTTTATTGAAACTTAGAACTTATGTAAGAAAAATAATATCAGACAAATGTCCGCCTCTAGAAGCCGCGCATACCTGAGCCCTCTTTATTACATTTTCTACTTTTTGGTAGGTTTCGGTAGGAATATTTTCAATCGCTTACGTAATATTGTTCTTCAGCTGCTCTACAGTATTTGGTTTGGTGGCATAAACCCTATTTTGTAAAAATCCCCACTAAAAAAGTCGAGAGCCGTTAAGTCCGGTGACCTTGGTGGTCAGTTGACATCAACAATTCGAGAAATTAAACGTCCCGGAAATATTGCCGCAAAAGATTCATTGTTTCCGTAGCTGTGTGACAAGTTGCTCCGTCCTGCTGGAACCACATGTTTTCCTGGTTAAATTGTTCGATTTGAGGAGCCAGAAAGTTTTGCGCCATATCACGGTAGCACTCGCCAGTGACACCTGCAGCGACTTCAAAGAAGTAAGGTTCAATGACACTTCCATACGAAACTGTGACTCGATGAGGATGTAGTGGTCGTTGATGGATGACAGGAGGGTTCTCTAATGCCCAGATACGACAATTCTGCTTATTAGCAAATCCGTTCATATCGAAGGGCTTCATCGCTCATTATCAGTTGTCGGTAAAATCGTTATATTGGGTATTAAGCTGCAATATTGTATGACCGTATTGTCGGCGACTTTCATGATCACTAGGCTGTAGTTCTTGGGTTAACTGAATTTTGTATGGCCACAAATGCAAGTCTTTTTACATAATAGCGCATAATGACGTGCAACGAATACCCAGTTCTTGAGAACGATGTCTGGTAGACGTCTCAGGGCGCTCCACTACACTTTCACTCACTATCTCGATGTTTTCCGGAGTACCAACAATTTGGCAAGTCTTCACCTTCACCTGTTTGTTCAAATTTCCGCACCAACTGACGAATAGTGTTGACACTGGGCACATTATTTCGACCGAAATCTTGTCGTAGCTTCCGAATCGTTGCAACAATCGATTCATTATTTCAGTAAAACGTTGTAATAATACGGACGCGTTGTGGGATCGTGTAGCGCTCCATGATGAATTGGACACATGTGCTCTAAACAACTATTACAGCACCACCTACTGCGTGTATCAAAAATGGCGCGAAATTTAAATCAGTCAGTTATATATTGGCCACCCTGTACTTGCCGAGTCTCAAGGCATTCTTGTGAAGTCAAACAACCGTTAACAATTGGTGTTAGGCCCTTAAATTAGCTCTCTGGCCTCTAGAGTATGTTTCACGAGTATCCATAATGTGAGAGCAGGTAACAGCTGGATATCTAGTAACACTCCAAAATGCCTCCGGGTTGAATGGTAGAGCGGATCTTGCTATACGCTAGTAAGATCAGAATTTTACCATTTGTCAAGAAAGCTGATATAATTTATAAGTTTTGGAGCTTTGTTTGTAGGTATATTCTTTTGTGTGCTTATCTTAACAATAAAAACTATTTATTATTATACCAACAAGTAGGCAGAGAGATCATGACTATATTTCAAGTCAGGAAGAAATAAAACAAGATAAACAGTTTTTGACTGTTAGGTATAAACAGTTCTGGATTCATTATTGCCAACACTGCAGACCTTAATACAAAGAAGTCACTTGCTGATCAGCTGTTCACCTCAATAGACGGCTAAACATAATGGATTCTGGTAAAAAAGACCAAATACTCATGTCCCTGTAAGTTAGAGTAATTGACAACCCAGGCCTAGTATTGCCAACCCAGCGGGCAGACGTGCCATGTACATCCTATACTGTTTTAGTTATGTAATTAGATAACATATTGTATGAGCATCGGTTATGTCTTAGGCTGTCCAATTCCGTACCCAAAACGCGAGTTTCTCACGGACGACGACCAAGAAGAAAAAAACGATAACAAAAGACAGAATCAACAACAGCAACAAACTCAGAATAACCAGCAATCTCAGCAGCAGAATCAGCAGAACAATCAGGGAAATCAACAAAGTAACCAAGACAACCATAATCCCGCAAAAAGGGTGAGACTGTCCGCTCCTCAAGGTCATCCAAGCCAAGTCAACCAGCAGGTGAGTACTCGTATTAGCATCTTCTTAATCTGGTATATTCGCAAGAACGTCACAATAATGACGTATTATTACAAACTTTTACTTAACTTGACGTTTTTGTTAGTACGTATATAATGTATGGGGCAAATCTTGGAACTGAATTTTGAATCATTTAACGTTAACCGATTGAGCTGAAATTTTCTACACACGCTTAAATTAACTGATGCCATTTTGAAACCAGTATGATGGATGCTACAAAATGGTGATTCATCATTTCCATAGTAACCCCTATTATATGGGTATCAGATGAATGATGAGAGAAACACAATAAGCAATGTGACTTCATTCTAAATCCAATATGGTGGCTGCCGCAAAATGGCGATTTACATATTTCATGGTCACCTCTACGACATGGGTACCAAAGGAAATGGCTTGATGAGAAAAACACAATTAGCAAAATAGCAGTTTACATTTTTCATAGTCACCTTTATGATATGTGTATCAAATTAAAGGGCTTTATAAGAAAAATATAACAATCAACGCGATGTTAATCTAAATTCAATATGGCGGTCGTCGGAAAATGGAGATTCAAAATTTCCACAGTCTCCCCTATACTATGTGTATTAAATGAAAGGGCTTGATATGGGAACATAATAAGCAAAGTGACATCATTCTAGATCCAATATGGCGGCCGCCGCTGAATGACGATTTATAAGTTACGTGTTAACCGACAGGTTCACCATTATATGATATCTGTATCAAATGAAAGATCATCAAGAGAGAAACACGATAAATAATGTCATTTTAAATTCCATATGGCGATTGCAGCAAAATATCGATTTATCATTATGTGATTTATCTTTTGAAATATAAATAATAAGTTTTATGGAGCCAGTGGCGTAACAAGGGGGCGGGGGCGGGCCGCACCGGGTGTCACCATTTTTGGGGTGACACCCACGCGGTGACTCAACTTTTTCAGAGTTCAACTCCAGAGAAGATCGAAGTCTCTTCAAGACCTAGCTTCATTGTTTGATATAATACAAACAAATACTTTGCTTTTGGCGAATGATGAAGAACAGAAATTAGCTACAACCAAATTTACTGATTTTCATGACTCAGAAACAGAATTACTTTTGGAGATACCAAGACTGTGAAGATACTTAAAAGCCACTAATGTTACAGTTTCTGATTGGGTCTTTCTAGATTTTTTTAAGTTTATTGTAGAATGGGATATTACGGAATCTCTTCCAAATCTTATGATTGCACTAAAATTGTTCATGACGGTTTGCGTGTCCGTAGCTTCATGTGAAAGGAGTTTCAGTAAACTAAAATTAATAAAACACTATTTGAGGGCAACAATGACCCAATCGCGGCTTAGCAATCTTGGTATATTAGCCATCGAACACGAGGCAATACAAAATATAAATTTTGAGGAAGTTATTTCTGAGTTTGCCGCTGTTAAAGCTAGAACGGAGAGATTATAATTGTAAGATAAAATTATTTCTTCTGTCTTAGTTTTTATTGTGTTTTGTTATTCATTCAATATTTCAAATATAAATATTGAATGATCCATGACGTTTATAAATCATATAAAATGTATTGCTTTTGACTTTCGATGGGGTGACACCACCAACTTCCGCACCGAGTGCCACCCAAGATAGCTACGCCACTGAATGGAGTCATATTAATAAAATATACGAAATTAACTAGAAATGACCAAACTAGTTATTTAACATCATAGATTCAAAAAAGTAAAAGATAAATTAAAAATAAATAATTCTTAAAAACAAGCTTTTATTTAGCTGTTCATAAAATGAACTGACATTTTAAAAATATTTTTTTCTGCTTGGAAAAATTATACGATGATGAAGCTCCTTCATCGGAACAAAAATGTTTTTATAATTTCAGTTCATTCTATAAACAGCTCAATAGCTTGTTTTTAAAAAATATTTTTATTTATTTATTTATTTTTCATTTGTTTCGTCTGATTATCCATTCGCACGTGATACTGTTTCATCCTTTTTATGAGTCACCAGTCCTGTACATGTAGGTCATTGGGCGACTTAAAGTGATGTGAAATACTATCTTGTTTTTTTACAGCAAATGCCGATATCTCAGCAACAACAGGAATTCCATCAGCAGCAGATGATGTACAACAATGGGCAACAACAGCAACAAAATTTCCAACAAAGATTTTGAAACAAAAATCATTTTTGTATATAGTACGGCGCAGTGGTGGTAATTTTACATAATGCTGTATGATTGATTTTCGAGATCCTAAGTTGGTAATGGTGGAAGATATTTTTCTTCCTGTTTCAGTTTTAAGATACCTATATAAACTAAGAACCTCAGATAACTGTAGTTTTTGAACTATTTCTGTTATTTCGAAGTACAAAGACGAGTTAGTCTATTTCTCATACCTATGTGCAATGTTCAATACAAACTTTTTTCTGTCTGACGGGGTTCAGACACTACTGATACATGGATCAATATAGGTATACTAAGGGACATAGAAAATGAAATGCAACGCCGACTAGGAGTGCTGTAATTTTTAGAATACTTTTAAAAGTTTTAGGTCTACTTATAAATAGAATTTTAACTCGAAATTTCGCAAAATAGCTGAGATATCCCACCTTAATGTTAATAATGTGGTGAAGCACCTCTGTTCGCTACACATTCGTTAAGTCGTCGCGGCATTGATTGGATTAGGTGTTTGAGGTGTTCTTGGTTTATTATATCCCAGGCCATCTGAATTTGGTTTCGTAGAGCCTCCAATGTTTATTCATTTTCAACCTTCTCAATCACACATTATACTGCAGTGCAGGTACGATTTTTAATAACTTATTGCACTAACAGAGTTAAGTTAGTGTTTATTTATTTTTATTATATTCGACTTTTATAGCAGTAGAATATTGGACACGAAAATGGTAAACTTCATGTACACCTTGTAATTCCTAAGTCAACATTCAAGAATAGTTTATATTTTTCGAGCCGATCTAATGACATGTATGAAATTATAATAAAATCCTTTTACTCTACATTTTTATTTTATTTCGCTCCACAAAATCAGACTTACAGGTTTGTTCCAACAATAACTTCCGAACTAGTTCGGAACTAATTCGGAATTATTTTCCTGCACATGCCCGTGATAAGTGCAGTTCAGAACTTACTCTGAAGCATTCTGTTGGAACAGAGAATTACATGGATTGATGCGTTTTCACTTGTATCTGTTGCAAAGTAATCATCGTCACCCATTTTTTGAACAGATTTTTCATTCTGCAAGAAATAAGACTCGGATTAATTTTCAATATTAATATGAGAGACTCTTGTCTGGGCACGCAATAATTTGCTTGCATTAACTTCCATTTACATCTACAAATACGCCATCTTCGTTTTTGAACACTGCACGACTTTAGCATTTCAACGCATAATTCCGCTTTATTCAAAAGGTATATATTGCCCGAGAATATACAATAATTGTCTGACTGAGTTCCAGAGAAGCACGAATATGTTTACAACCAAAAATACTTGTCGGTAAGCGTGGGAAGTAAAACATCAGAAATTATCTGGTCGAGAAATACTTTTACTCTTTACAAGAATCTTTTAATATGTAAAAATTACTATGTTTTCCATTAACTTCTAGTAATTCGTTACCTTTGAGGTTTCTGTATAATATCCGGCAGTACATGTATTTTAATTTTAATGTATACCCTTTTCAAGCTTTATCGACTTGTGCTCCTCGCCATAACGTCTGTTGTACAGGGTCCGTCAGAAAGAACGCATATTTTTCGAATGGGTACTACATCGAGTGGGCTGGTCCCGTGTCGGTGGGGAAGGGCGTGTTGGATAGTGGGAAAAATGTCGTTTCAGTTGGCAAGATGGTTTGGAACGTGTGTTCACTTTACGTCGGTACTTTCAAGATGGCCAGTCTCTCGTTAGAACGCAACGTGAGTTTCGCGTTCGCTTTCGTATTCCACGTCGTGGGACAATACCAGACCGTAACACCATTTTGAGATGGGTGGAAACATTCAACACAACAGGTAATGTGATGAAGAAAACACCGCCAGGGCGAAACCGTACTGTTAGCACCCCCGAAAACGTAGACAGAGTGAGAGTTGACACCCTGCAAAGCCCGAACCGTTCCGTCCAGTTCCCTGGGGATCCACAAGAATGATTTAGTGTTCCATCCTTACAAAATCCAAGTTTGTCAACAACTGTTGCCAGGGGATTATGCACAACGTGTTAATTTTGCACAGCTCATGATTGAACTGTTGTATCCACATTTCCATCAATAAAATGAAGTTTTCCTACTCCTTTTGATGACATACTGCCCCAGACCATAATGGATGCTGGAAATTTCACTATTCTCTTCAGACAGTCAACATGGAATGCTTAATTTTTTTTGCGAATAACTCTACTGCGACTGTCACCAACACAAACTTCGAATCGGGCCTCATCACTCCATTGTATTGCACACCATTGTTGAGGTGTCCATTGTCTATGTTCTTTAGCCCATCTAAGCCGATTTTTCTTTTACAGTGTAGAGTTAATAGTGGCTTTTCTTTGGCCTATAAACAAGTTGTGCAACTTTAGGGTTTTTACTTTTTTTTATAAGAAAACTTGCCTTGCAAGTGCTAAATCCCAGTTGGTAGGCCTCTCTATGAGTTGTGGACCTCAAAATTCTCCTTCCAACAGCGTCACTCCACAGAGCACTTAATTGTAAATAATTAAATAATTGGCACGCCTGTTTTTCACGATTATTCTTCTTAATGCTCTTCGGTCGGCATTTGTGATATTACTTTTTTTCACATATCGTGGCTTAATATTAACTGAACCAGTTACGTTATATCTTCCAACAATATTTCTCACACTGCACCGCGATAAGTCTAACAAAGTTGCAATTTCTGAGTTTGATTACCCAGAATAAAAAAATTTAATTATCAGTAACCGAATTTTCTCACTAATAACCTTTCCTCTACACATTTCGAAAACCTTAACTACCCAAAACTATTTTAAATGTCTTCTGACAACTGTGATTAATAAAAACAATTGTCATGGCTTTTATTTTTCACAGCCACCTATGCGTTATAGATTTATTTTGCATTGAAATGAAAATAGGTTGATATGCTGTAATTGCAACATGTGTTATTTTTATGCTACAAATTTGATTAGGGAGTGATAAAGTTGGTGTTTTCTACTATATATTATCAAAATATTCATTGTTAATATTTTAAACCTATAACACCCTGCTATATTTTTATTATTTGTGTTTGATAAGAAAGAAACTAAGATTTCAATAGTTGGGCCAACTGAAGTGGGAAGTGGCTCATATTCTGCGACGGAAAATACGCCCCCTCCCATGAGTAATGATTTTCATTTACGAGGCCTTAGAACAGAAATTTACTTAGCACAATGACACAAGTGTGATCTAGGGCTTTGGTCACATCAATCATCCTTCGCGAGTCCGATGGGAGAAAATGATTAAAATTCCTCTATCAGCTACATATACAGTTGCAGATGTAGCAAGATATCCGATGCTATATGCTGCATATAGCAATAGCATCCTTTATTATTACCCATATATTATCTGCAGCAACATATCACTTCAGACCTGCATGAGTACCTCGGCGTTATCAAAACGTGATTTTCAATAATATTATAAAGTGTACATATAGACACATATTTAACACTTCATATTATATAGGTAGCAGTAATCTTCCCGTATCTTTACAAATAGTATCACAGATAAGAAAAAAATACTATTGTTCCTGAAATGTGATGAAGTTCATTGTATGATTATCATTAGTAGGTGCCTATCCAGCTTGATTTCGAATCATGGTAAGAACAATAATGCTTAATTTTAGCAAAAAGATCACCTAGAATGCTTAAAAAGTTTGGACCTGTTGTTTACACAGTCTACCGTTGACGGTTGACGATTGATACTTAAAACTAAGAAAAGAAATGGAAGAAAGGACATGAAGGGGAATAATATTTTAATTTATTACGAATATTTATATTACCCCTTAAGCTATTTACTTCCAGTAATTACAGGTAACGCTTTTGATTCACAAAAGCTAAATTTACCAGTCTTTTTGGTGTCTTTTCACTAACGATAGTTAATGTAGCATCATCATGACGAACTCTTCGAAAATAACAGATGTTTTAAGCTACCTTTACGTCTTTGTCAAAATTCTCTATAAAATAGACACTGCTTAATGGCTCGTCGGGCAAGTCCGTCTCAAAGAAAATCGGTCAAATGGAGAACTGAACTGGGAATTAATGGTTTCATTACGTTAATGTATATACCTTTTGTTTTTTGAACAAACATTTTTTTTACAACTTGAGTAGGTGTTTCTGATAGATTTCTGGATTGTATAACGAATCATGTTCCTGTAGTTTTTGTCTCCGTGTGGAATTATATCAATCCTACTTAATGGAGAGGCAACAAAGGATGAAAGTGATCTGAAGGTCATTATGGAAAGCGTGTTTCTGCCTCCTCCACGATAGAATCATTGTTTTCCTCAATCACCCAAAATATCAGATCAAGCAGGATGTCATCGAAATTGCAGAAAAAAATTATTTTTCCTGAAACGGAGCACATTTCCGTGCCCTGGTTTCGTATCCCTGTGGTAGTAGTCAGTTTAATAGGAGTGATTGGATTTGGCTGTGGCTTTTTTGAAGTTTAACTGTTAAGATATGGCAACTGCTCAAATTCAAAATATCGCAAAACATGAAATTTAATATAGTGAAATATAATTGACATTTACAAGAACATAAGAAAACGATACACCCCAGAAGTTCAAAATAGTAATTCACAATTTATTTATACGCGTAGAAAATAGAACACTAAGGCATACTCATTTCTCATAATAAGGTGCTTCAAAGAAACACAATTAGTCATTTTCTCATTCTAACGACGTGGAGCGTTATTGCATTTTCATGATTGCCTGTTGTATTTTGTAGTAGTGGGTTGTAGGTATCTTAGTTTCCATTTCATTAAATAATTCATAAATTTTCAAAATCAAGTGCTCCTTGAAAGCCGTCCCGTCATTTAAGCTAGTCCCTTTGTTTAGATCCACACATAAAAGTGATGCAGAAGTTATATCTGGCGACCACAGCAGCACTATGACTAGTCCTATATATTTTCTACAACATAACGGTACATCGTGTACGGCGGTTTTGTACTTCTGGGCTGTATCATTAATTGGCTCTGAAGTTTTGTAATGTTCGGAAAAATATAAATGATATTTTTGTATACTAAATTTTATGTTATCGCAGTATTTTGAATTTGCGCAGTTGCCAGATCTTCCCAGTGAATCTTCAGAAAAGCCACACACTGTGAAACTGGATCATCCTTAGTAAACTGACTACTACTACAGGAATACGAAACAGGGCACGAAAGTACATAAGAAACAAAAATTTTTATTTTGTTATCGAGTGAATGGATATTTTGGTCAATATCAAGAGCTTTATTTTCCGAAAAGCTTCTATATCTTTTTCTGTAATTTCGATGACATTCTGCTTGATATTTTGCTGAACATTTTGTTTGTATCGCTTCGTATGACTACGAGGGCCACGCTATATATTTTGAGATACACGAAAACTAAGAACTATTTTTCGAAAACTAGTTTATTTATGTTCAAAGTATTCTCCTCCAGCATCAATGCACTTCTGTAGCCTAACCTTCCACAAATGACATGCTTCTAACCAGTCAGATTTTGGAATGCCTTCATCAAACTGATTAATTGCTTGATCGATTTCCTCTTCGGACTAAAATTTTCGACCACGCAGATTTTTGTTCAAATTGTTGAAGAGCCAGAAATCACACATTGCCAATTCTGGCGAATAAGGCAGATGTTCTACCATGTTGGTGTGGCGCTGGCGTAAAAGGTCTACAGTTAGTTGGGCTGTGTGGCTAGAGGCATTGTCGTGATGCAGGATTGCACCTTAGCTACAACTTGTTTTGAATGAAGATGATCATGCAATATGGTGTGCACTGTTGCGGATCCTACCCCAAGAGTTGCCTCTATAGTCGTATAT